AAGAAGAGGAAGAGTGTGAGATGGTAGTGCAGACTGCCTTTCCTGAGAAAAGGTTCAGAAAAAAGAAAAGAATTCAAGGAGAGCTCACAGAAGATGAGCATCTAGGATCAGCTGATATGAACTTCAAGGTTAAAGTTCACAATGTCATTGTGGACACAGTGACAGACAGTATCCATAGAAGGTTTTCTGCCAATGCAAAACTTTGCTCAGATTTTGTCTGGCTAGACCCTCAGAACTTTGCTCACATGAGGGAAAATAGACTCCCTGGCTCAGCTCTGGAAGAAATAAGCAAATGTCTGCTTAAATTTGACAAAAGAGATACAGTTGGCACATTATGTAGTGAACTCTACAGCCTTGCATGTCAGTGGGACAGACTAAAGATGTCCCCTCTGGAGGGTTATACTGTCAGGACAGCTGGTGCAATGTCACAAGGAAGCGAGCAGGATCCTTCAATGGCACAGCAGGATGCTGAACTAGAGAGCAAACTTTGTTCTTCCTGTAAAAACTGTGTCATTTGTGTTCATCTCATCCTGTCTCAGTATAATCTGCTAACTGATGCCTACCATGTGATTGGACTGGCCTACAAGTTGTTATTAACACTGTCCATCACACAGGTATCCTGTGAACAAAGTTTTTCTATCATGAAGTTCATAAAAAACAGACTAAGGAGCACTTTGACCCAGAAGAAACTTGAGGCCTTCATGCTCATGTGCACTGAGAAAGAAATTCTCATGTCTTTGGACAATGATACAGTAATAAACAAAGTCGCAGAGACCAGTGCACTTCTCAAGCGTTTATTATTGTTGTAGGTTGGGCATGTGTTTTTGAAACTACTATGCAAAGGGAAAACAAGATAATGAAGAACCTTTTTTAGGGGGTATAATGGCATCATTAGAACATTATCTTATACTGTGAATTGCAAACTTGCAAAAAACAGTGCAATTTTTTTCATTCTTTGTTCATACTGATTAGATGTCTGTGAACACTAATTGACTGGTATTTGATTTAGCAGAAAAGGACAATTTGATGTTGTAAAAAGTGTTATAGAGCTTATTTGTTAAAACTAAGTTGTGGTGAAACTGTTTTCTTACAGAGAAAAAAGAAACTAGTGCTAATAGAAAGTGCAACACTTTATTGTATTTATCACTATTTGAAATCTATATTTTCATTTATTATTTTATTTCATTTTAAAGGTTTGAAAATCTCAGAACAGCTGTTTGAACAGAAGGTAGGTTGTTATATTGTTAGAGAAAGTGTTGTAAAGAACAATGTTGGAGACGTGCACTGATGTTAAAATTAACCTACATTGTAAAGCAACTCTTTCTTGCACTGAATTACAAGGCTTTACAGAGTAGTGCTTTTGTAGACTATACATATGAAGTTGTAACATGATTTTAATAATAAGTTGTTAAGTGGGCCGGTCTGGGGTCTGAAACTCCAGGGCTGAAAATGTGTCCCACTCCGGCCCTGTTAGGCCCTGTCCACACGTAGCCGGGGATCTGCCAAAACGTAGATATTTTTCTACGTTTTGGCCTGTCATCCACACGAAAACGGAGTTTTTTCACACAAAAACTGATCTTTTTAAAAACTCCGGCCAAAGTGAAGATCTGCGTTTTCTCCGTTTTGGGTGTCTGCGTGTGGACAGACAAAACCGGAGTTTTAAGGTCCGCAACGTCACTTTCCACGACAAAAAAATGCTGACATCACGTGTGCGACCTGTGTTTACATTAGCCGACAGCATGGATGCCCTCAGAGCTGCGCTCGCTTTATCAATAGTCCAAGCGCTTTTTGCTTGTTTGCTTTTGCAAGCGGAATTACTGCTCCTTGCGGAAGACCACAGACGAAGGACGAGGTTAAGAACGGGGGAAGTACTGCCGCCTACAGGTCTAGCATGTCCTTAACAACGTATTCATCCGGGTACGTGTGGACAGTTTTTTTCTTAACGAGGTGGTGTGGATGCAAGTTTTTGGAGGGGCGGATATTCGTTTTTTAAAAACTCGGCTACATGTGGACTAGGCCTTAGTTTGAGCGTGGATTGTTCACAAGCCTCATTTTGAATGCAGCAATTTTCACACATTCCAGGTGTATTTCCATCTTTTCTTACTCACCATTTACAATGAGACGGTTGTTTTATTTACCGTAACGTGTGTTTAAAATGTCCTGCAATAGAAAGAAAGAATTGTGACAGGTATCTCACTGCAACACTTGAAACTTCTGGTTGTATTTCATTTTAAAAACTGACATTTCTAATGCTCAGAATCAATGTCTCAGTTTTGGCAACAATGAAATTCATTTCTGGACTAATTTACTGATGCTGAGCTGCTCTGCTCTCAGAGTTCTATTATGGACATTGATCAACATCAGCAACTAACTATAAATGATAAATATTTAACATCTGGCATGATTTGAAATAAATAGACATTTCTCTGAATGATCTGCGAACTCTCCAGCTGAGTGTTGTTTAGGGTTAGTAGGGTTTAGGGTCCTCTTTAGGGGACTTTATTTAACTTGTGTCTAAAAGAGAAACAAAGTAAAACCTCTCACTGCATCTTTTGACAGTTTAGTTGATAATTTCGCTTCAAAAGGTGAAATGTTACGTCGGTTGGTGAAAATGTCAGTTTTGGCAGCAATTAAATGTATTTTAGAAATAATTTACTGACACTGAGCTGCTCTGCTCTCACCTGCACAGAGCCTGGTCTGGTTGCTGGAGCAGCACCTGGGCGTGGCACTTTTTAAAATTATATTTAGTTCATTGTTAACCGTATTTACAAGCTCATTATAATCATCACTACTGTAAAGTATTGTTGTGTCATCTGCAAATAGTATGAGTTTCAGTATATTAGATGTGTTTAAAATGTCATTCATATATATTAAATAGTGATGGCCCCAACACAGACCCCTGGATCAAAAACAGGAGTCTGTTATTGGCTCAAAATTCAGCTTTTTATATTAATTCCTATGAGACTTGGTTAAAGCGATTTGTAGTTCCTTGTGTTGCCATGGTAATAGATGACAGGAGTCTGCATTAAGAAAACAATGTACAATGTCACAAGACTCTTTTAAATTTTGAATAACATTTCCATATTAAAGTATGTTGATACAGTTGTGTCTAAAACGTTGTTAAATGTTGTTACTTAGCACATTGCCATGGAAACGCATAACACAATATCAAGTTAATACAAGACTCCTGGGACCAAGCAGGTTGAATTGATGTATAATACGTGTGGGTGCATATTTCCTTTTAGGCAGAAGACGAATGAAAACTCTCAGCCAATGAGAGGCCAGCGAAGGAGGAGGGGGTGGTTCCTGCCTTCTGACTAGTGTTAAAATGTCAGCTATGCTGCTAGTTTTAAGTGTATAGAGCTAAGAAGATGAGAAACAGCAGTATGTTACAGGCTCAATATTAGGCTTTTCACATTCATTTCCATAAGACTTGTTTGGGGATATACTTATGCACTTGTGTTACCATGGTAACAGATAACGCATTTAAAATTGAATACAAGATTCCTGAGACCAAACTGGTCGTTTTGATGTGTCATATGTGTGGGTGCTGGATCCTGCTTGGACAGAAAATGGTTGAACACTCTCAACCAATCAGAGAGCAGCACTGTTTTCCTACCTTGTCCCTGGCTGTTGGAGGCCTGCAGCTGTACTCCTGTTAATGAGAGAAGCCTTTAAATCTGTCCTTCAGAAGTGAAATTGGACCTGCCAAACTTCTCATCATCATTCGAAAAGCACTGCACCAAATTCAAAAAATTCAAAAAGCGTGAGCGACAGAAGGCTTTGATGATCGTCTGTGTGAATTTTTATGTGCCTACCATGAATTGTCTAGAAGCTATGACGAGAAACTTTTAGCTGTGTGAAGCTGATCAGAGGAGAAAATCTGTTCCTTTAAAGAGCAAGTCACTCCAAATCAACATTTTTTTTGCTGATAAACTATATAAATGTGAGTCTAATCGTGCAGACACGTGTAGTCAATAATTCGACACTTTAGTGCATCTTAGTTAAAATTTAAATATTCTGCCTAAAACTGTCAGCGATGCACCGTCGTCAGGCAAAAACTCAACACTGCATTTGAATTTAAATCTGCCGTCGCTATTGGCTAAGAGGTACACTATGATGTTAGATGGTACATTATGATGCCACAATGTCGTGAGTGTGTGCATTTGTTAGCGGCTCCACCTTCTTGGTCTGCTAAGCAACAGCATTTGTTGCATTTTTCAAACAGGAAGTGGGAGTTGAGTAAGAATCTAGTAGGGGTGACTTGCTCTTTAAAGGAGACATAACATGCTTTTAAGTTATTCCTTTTTACATCTAAATCCTTCAGTTGGGGTCTAAATACAGTGGAACTGCAGTTCTTTGGTCTGATTTCCTCATTATTGTTGCTCTACAGACCCTCATCTACCCCTGTTCTGAGGAGAGTCTTGAGAACGAGCCGTTTTTGGGTACTGTCTCTTTAAACTGGAGGAGGAGCTGTAAACTCCGCCCCCCTCCATAGTGCAGACCTGTACTCTCCTCCCCCAGTCGGACTTTGTAGTTCTATAGAGAAATCATTATTTAGCATAGCAGATTTAGCATAGCATATTAGCATTTTTAAAACATGTGGGGAGGGTAGTTCATCAAGCTGTTTCAAGGCTGCTAACTCTCTCATGCATTTTTCTGTAGTCACTCACACACACCCGTCACGGCCGACGGAGGGACAAGCTAGCAGGCACGTGCGCGCGCGCGCACACACACACACACACACACACACACACAAGGAATGCTGCTTGCTTATTTATTTCTATAAAAAATGTTTTAAAAAATGATACAGCTCATTAAAACACCATTAAAAGAATACATTTTTTTAAGATCTCTATCTATATATATACATACATATAATTATAAATAATTTTATAAGTAGTCTTATTTAATATTGGGTGTCTTAATGGCTGAAAATGGATAAAAAGCAGTTACATTTTAATTTAAAGATTTGAGATTCGAGTCAAAAATAAAGAACATTCCTCCAAATGTTCTTTAATGTGATCATTATAATTCTAATGCTTACAACTTTGTTTTTATTGTCTGCAATGCGTAGCCTATATCTTTATTAAATGTGTTTAGCTGTAAAGTGGTAATTCTCTCTAATGTGTACAGAGAGGTGGACATCAGTGCTGCAGTGAAATTCCCAAGATCAGTCTGCTTTGCTAACAAATATAGTTAAATCTTACCTGCATTCTAAATAAATACCGTTAAGTGAAAACATCAGTAGGCATTGAGTTATTGATAAAATCCCTAACAGCCAGAATGGAAGAAGAGCATGCTGGGTCATCCTGGACCTGAGCCTGTTCTGTGTATTTACCTACAGGATGCAATAAATGTCTACAAGGCTGAGTTTGGACCATTACATCTAAAAGAAAACATACAATCAGTGATTTTTTTAAATTGTTTACATTAATATACAAATTTTCTAAGTATTAACCTCACAGCAAATAAGTAGAACAATATAATAAACAGGCTTTAGTAGTTAAACAGGCTTTAGTAGTTAAACAGGCGTTGTGCACACAGGTAATTTGTGTCTCGGTGCTGGTGGTGTCTAGGTCTCAGAGTTCCTGTCCTCCTGCCGTCTTCTGTTGTCCTCAGGATACGGATTGATGTTTCCTGATGATGAGGGAGGGGCAGTATGTGGGCTTCAAACTGGTCCTGGATAACAGTGGGAGACCTCCGTTGTCTGAATACTGAGACCAGAGAGTTGGTGAGATGCAGATCTTCTCTACCTCATCTAGAAACGGAGTTGGTTCAGGGAAAACTTTTCCAAAGACCAGTTCCATGATGTCATCGTCATATTCTGCAATGATAGACAATAACTTTAATGACATATTTTGTTTACAAGCAGCTTTAGGAAAGTCGTTTCTTTAGCTTTCATGTTTATAGTCACGTTTGTGTTTGTTCACAAGTTCACTTTGCTGCAGTGACTTCATATTCTTACAAATGTAATAAAATAGTGACACTAAAATTATACAAATGATTCCTTATGAAAGGAAGCTCATTAGAGAGCAGTGCAGACAGACTTACTACTCTATTAAATCCACTGTGTTGACGCACTTTAATGACTTTGTCACGCTGCATTTTAGCTGATATGGGACTTTATTTACTGGATGCTAAGATTATATCACACTCACGTAGAATAACACACAGGCTCTCTGCTGTTACAATCAGTGGGAGGTTATCATCTGGTGTAAAAGAAGGCGTTGATCAGAAATCACGTTTTATTCCACGAAAATCAGCCAAATCCGCATTAATCTGGGTGCTAACTTTACTAGCATACTGTGCTAGCGATAGCAAGCCGGATGCTAACGCTTTAGTGCTGCTAATGCCCGTAAATCTAAAGTAAAGTTTGTCGACATTTTAGAGTGATATGAAGCTTACCGCTCTGCTGCTGTGTCCCGGTGCTGCCACATTCAGATAAAAATGACTCCTTTTAGATAGATGAAGCCCTCAGTACTTACTAGCCTGAAGACACGAAAGAACGAACCGCGCGCGCGCACACACACAAGCACAAACACAAACACACTACTTTTTCTTCTGTGTTTTTTTAGCAGTAGTGTCATCAGCTCCTGGGTTTAAATACTGCCACACCACCCTTCCTTAAAACGAGGAACAGTTTTGAGCTGTGTGTGGCTAAAATAACCAGACATTCTGCATTTTTCCAATAGGACTACAAAAAATCTTAGCGAGAAGAAAAAATGGCGGATTGGCTCTGTGTTTAGCCGAGGGCCATTACCATATTTGGTAGTTATCCTCACTAAATTAATTACTGATGTAATAGATTATGTAAAAACTGAACGGGTGGACAAATATGCCCAAAACTTAATTATTAAATATCTAAATAGCAACTCCAGTGAATAATATAAGCCTTTTTGCTCACTTAGACACTTAAAATGTGAAACACACTGTGTTAATGGATAAAAAAGTGGGTTTTTCATGTTATGTCTCCTTTAACATGGGTTTCAATGAGGGAAAATCTGGGTCTCTCCTCTTTCTGAGGCTTGTAGCGAAAGAACGGTAACACTTATAGATAAAATTAAACCCATTCTGAAAAGCTGACAAAAATTCCTACTTTTTGAGTTATAATTTGTTTTGGTAGTCCAAACGGTCTGGGGGTAGTAAAGAGCTGTTCACAGAAGATGTGAAGTTCAAAAGTTAGAGTGCGGAATTTTCAGTTTAGAGTGGTGGGAAACTTTTTTTTAAATTTTCTCAAACAAATGAACCGTATGACCACAATGTTTGGAGTACAGTCATGAATTATAGCTCAAAACGAAGGTATATTCGTTAGCTGTGAGCCAGCATGTGTCTCATTTCAATCTGACCTACGGTTCTCTTGGGACAAAGCCAGAAATGGAGAAAGGGAGGGTCACCGCTCCTATCTTTCACCATTATAACTTTTGTGAATTTTTCTGAAAATTTCATGTCGTACCTCAACTTCTACCTGCGATTTTAGAAAAACCGTAAAAGATATCAAAAAGCCTCTTTAATATGTTAAACAGGAAAGTCTTGAGAGTTTGTTAAACTTTGAATGAAGTCTCTAAGTTAAAAGGAACCCAATAGAGTTTTAGGTGAAAAAAACTGATAGGAATTTGCTGAAAATTGACCAATCCCATTCATTTCAATGGGAAATTTTTCGCAGAAAAAGCTTAATAACTCAAAATTTTTTAAAGATATCAATGCCAAAAGTAATAGCCGGAAAGAGCTTAACGAGCTGAACATTTTGATATAAAATTGTTGAAATAGTTAAAAATTTGAAGGAGTAGAAAAGGTTCAAAAAGTGTACGGTAGCAGAATAAGAAGAAACCAGTAAAACAATAGTTTGAATGCTTAACAGCATTCAAACAATTAGCACATAATTCCGACACTGACAGGAAACAGAATTACAGTTGTTTGTCAAGTTTGGAGTGTTTATAGAGCAAAAGAGACCCACCATGGCAGCACAAAAAGATGCAAAAAATCAAATTTCCATTAAATGTCCCCTTTAATTTTGCACACACTTTCCTGTAACAGTATTTGCTGTAAATGATTAAATTTGCACAGAAAGTTAATTATGCAGTTTACAAACCCTGTTTTAAGCACAATCAAGCATGAATCCCATGAACTTTAGGTTTTGAAATTTCCTTGATCTATCAAATCCATCCTTCAAATGTGACTTTAATTCATGTAAACATCCAGTTGCTCCAATATGATGTCATAAGCTTCATGCAAGCCAGATTGTGGTCATGTGTTAATATGAGTGAATGTGTGTTGTTGGTTAAATGGACACTGTAGAGGGGTGTGTGTGTGTGTGTGTGTGTCGAGGGGGGGGGCACTTGTCAGTGTACAGTCGTGGTTTCCACAGCAGACGCAGCTGTCAACCCAGTAGGACTGAGGCTGTGTCATTACAACTCTATTTTGGGATTGTGTGTTGTTCAAAAGGTCAGATAAAGAAGCATAGGAATCCTCACGGGGGGGGGGGGTGGGTCGGTGAAAGGGGGTGAAGGCAGATGTCCACAAACACGGGCACACAACTTAAACAGAGCTGGGTTGGCTGAGAGGGGGAGAAAAGGGAGACGTGGTTAAGAAGGACGTATAGAGCTTTTGTTGGATGATTTTTGAGGAAACCTGAAAACTTCGAGATTTTTCTGGTTATAGTTTACAAAGAAGTCTATTTCTGTTGGAATAATAACTTTATATGATCATCATGGATGGAGAAACACCCACCCAGGATACAGAAGTGGTCTCTCAGTCAGACACCAACAAAAACCAGGTTTGTGCTTCATGTTTGTCTTCATACTCGTAGCTCTCAGTGACTTGCATTATGAAGCGGGACAAGTCAGGTGGAGAATGTGTGGCCACAGCAGGCGCTGTGCTTTTAGCTGCAGTTGTCAGTGTTACACCTGTTCTTACTCCTGAGCATCTCTCATGAGTTAGAGGTGCACATCAAGTTCACACCCCCAGTGGAGTTAGCTATTCTCGTTCACGAGTCACCCCCACAAAACCTGACCTGGTGCTGAAACGAATAAAAGATCACATGTTGTACTGCTATTTCTGCTGTTTTGCAGGAACATGAGCAAGGCTTGGTGGAAAGTAAAAACTGGAAAGAGACAGCAGAAGGTCAGAGGATAGTGGACGGTGGAGAGAAGGGTGGGGCAGAAACTGTACCAGATAAGAGTGAAGGTGATGATCCAGATAAACCTCAGACCATCTCACAGCCTGCTGACTGTGACACTGAGCAGGAAGGAGAAGATAAAAACAAAACATCAGCTGCTGCTAATGAGAAAGAAAGTGAGATTTCAAGAGAAGAAAAAGATGTGAAGGAGAGTGAGAAAGAGGAGGAAGGCAAGGAAGGTGGCCAGGTGAAAGGGAGCCATGAAAGTGAAGGAGAAGCAGGGGGGATGGACACAAAGGATAATGAATCTGATAGAAAAGAAAAAATTGAAGTAGAAAATGCTGAAAACAAAGAGGCAAAAGAAACAGAGGAGAAAAAACATGCAAAGCAAGCAGATCAAGGAAAGACAAAAGAGACAGATAAACAAATGAAGCCTAAAAGGAAAAGTGTCCCCAATGGCTCCTCCGTCCCCCGACCTAGACCGTCTGCACGCTCCATTAGAGCCTCTTCAAAAAATGACATCATAGCCAAGTTCCAACAGGGTGCACCAGAGTAAGTCATCACCAGCATTTAAACCATTGTTTACATTAAAATATGAACTCACACATCATGACAAACCGTTACACTTGGTGTCATTTTTAGGACACCAATACCTCGTAATTTCAAAATTCAGAGGTCATCTGCTGCCATGGCGACAGGAGCCTCCATCAAACAGAAGATTCTCCAGTGGTGCCACAGCAAGACACGCAACTATGAGGTAAAAATAACTGCAGGTCACATCTAAGATTGTTGAAAAGACCCAAATGATGATATGTTGTTCTCTTCCCTCTTTTGAAACTTGCAGAATGTTAACATTGAGAACTTTTCATCATCCTGGAGCAATGGGCTGGCATTCTGCGCTCTGATCCATCGATTCTTTCCAGATGCTTTTGACTACAGCTCACTGAAACCAGAAGAGAGGAAGAAAAACTTCACCCTGGCTTTCCAAACAGCAGAGTACAGACTCAGAAACAACAATGTGACACTTCTGTAGATGTTTAAAGTGTTAAAACATCTCCCCTAATTATTCAATGAATTCATCAGAAGTGCTGAAACCACTCACATCTTGTTTTAAGTCCTTTTTTTTATTGTTGTTGTATGAATATCTGCAGGTCCCTGGCTGACTGCTGCCTTCTGCTGGAGGTTTCTGACATGATGATGATGGGCAACAATCCTGACCCAATGTGTGTGTTCACATACGTGCAGTCCCTCTGCCACAGCCTCTCTAAAATAGAGAAACAGAGGAAGGACAAAGAGCAGGAGGAGAAAGAGAAAGCTGGGAACAAGGGGGAAGAGAATGAGGAAAGAAATGAAGCTGTGGAAGAGGCATCCAGTACTGGCAGTGAGAAGAACCAGGAGGAGAAACAAGAAGATGGTGAAGAAGCGAAGGGCAGTGGAGAGGAGGAAGATGCTCCAAAGAGCTGCAAGATGGAGGAGGCTGGGGGAGCGTTAGTCGAGACACAATCATAGAAACAAACAGAAACACATAAAAACTGAATAGAGTCAAGATTGTTGGTGTAAGTCTTAGTTCACAGTATGAAGTATGCAGTGCTGTGGGGCATATTGAGTTTGTATTTCACTCATTACTGGGTTTTTGTTGGTTTATTTGTGTGCGTTACCCAGAAATATTCTGATTTCCTAACAAGTGTGTGTTTATACAAACAATAAAAAATTTTGTGAAAAACACTGAAACGTGTGTGGCTATACACAAAGCATATTCATTAGACAAATAAAACCCAACTTTCTGCAAAAAGTTTGATTGGTTGGGTTGATGGATCAGGCCCCGCCTTCTGACCACGCCCAGTCACATTAGGACCCCATTAGGGTCCCGAGTGGGTTGAAAATAAAAATAAAAAGTAATTTCAAAAAATCAATAAAAACACCTGGGGTCAATTGGACCCCATTAGGAATGTGGGTGGGTTGAAAAACTGCTGGGTTTCCCTAAAAAAAACAGAGGATCTCCCCCCAAACCGCCAAAATAATTAACGTTTTAGGTTATATTCAATTTTACCACAGGGTAACTGATCTTACTTTTATACTAAGTAAGAATACTAACAATTTGTTAATTTAATTAATAAAATCCAAGTAATTCAGTCTTGTTCTTTCAGCACCATGGACAGCAGTATTATACGTCCTGTCTTGAGACCATTCATATGTAAATCACTTGACATGCTTCTTTTGAGGTCTAGTGTCTTTGGGGGACGCCATATTAGACACCATGTTTCCTTCCGGCCGGTTTAGGGTCCTACGCCTGTCGATGACATCACACTGGATGATTGGCTGGATGTACAACTTATGGAAGTAACGTTACTGCATTCAAAAACATTTAGTAGGGATGCACCAATACCACTTTTTTCCAAACCAATGCCATACCAATACTTGGACCTGAGTACTTGCTGATACCGATTACTGATACTTCTACCACACACACAAAAAAAATACTTAATAATAATAATAAATGCAATGAACTGGAATACAGGTTTTATTTTCTTCTTTACTTTCAACAGGAAAAGATGGCGAGTTAGATAAAAAATAAAATATATAGCCTTAGCTTTAGCAAACTCGATGTACTGCGGCTGATGAGGACGTCTCAGATGTTTTATTAAGCTGCTGGTATTGAATGACGTTTTCACCTTTCCTCCCCTGGACATTTTATAAGTAAAAAGTTTGCACTTGGCCTTGCTTCCGTCATCTTCACTAATTTTAAAGTACGTCCATATGGCTGACATGTTGTATAACCGTCACGACGTGCGCAGGCGAGTTGAGCCGGAGGTGAGGACCCAAATGCAGAGGAAGAAGCAGGCAAGCAGGCAGACAGGAAACTTAAGGTTGTAAATAACACGGAGCACGCAGGACCTAGAAACAATGAACTGACAAGACACACAAAACTGAGAGGGTTTAAATACATGAGGAGCTGGGACCTTGGGTGAATGGGAGTCGAGAGGCAGGTGGGAGCAGTTAACATGGACACAGGACTGAACAGAATGGGGAGACAGGACAGAGTGTGACAGTACCCCAGTACGGGATGTGCCGACAGGAGTGGTGGAGCCACTGGTGCCGACTTTGCTTGAGGTGCCGAACCTGGCGCTGACTTGGCTTGAGGCGCCGAACCTGGCACAGACTTGGATTGAGGCGCCGAACCTGGTGCTGACTTGACTTGAGGCGCGGCCGGGGGCGGAGCCTCTTGGACAGGCTGGGCTGGGGTGGAACCTCTTGGACAGGCTGGGCTGGGGGAGGAACCTCTTGGACAGGTTGGGCCAGAGGCGGTGCCGCTGGCTGAACCGGTGGCAGTGCTGCTGCAGGTGGTGATGCTGGCTGGACCGGAGGCGATGCCGCTGATGGGCGTGGAAATTGTGCCGCTGAATGGACTGGAGGCACTGGACCCGGTGCTGACTGGACTGGAGGTGCTGGACCTGGCGCTGACTGGACTGGTGGCGGTGTCGCTGACTGGACTGGTGGCGGTGCAACTGACTGGATTGGAGGCGGAGCCGCTGCAGGTGGAGCCGCTGGATTGGCAGGAGGTGGGGCCGCTGACTTGGCAGGAGGCGGAGCAGCTGACTGGACTGGGGTGGTGCTGCTCCCAGAGGACAGCCAAAGCTTGGGCTGAGCTGGTGAGGTGGCCCAGAGAATCAGGGTGGAAAATTCCTCAATTTGGAACTCCTGGAGGCTGATAAGATCTTTCAGCCTGACCAGCTTAGCCAGGAAAAGGGCAAACTCTGCCGGGTGGACTGCCGGTTTGGTCCCTCTCATGGCCCCCCTGGAGAGGGAGGAGGCCGTTCAGCCGGAGGTGACGTCAGCCGGGACCGCAGCGCGCCCGTGGGGCAGTTCTTGGGCTGGAGGTGACAGCGGGGGCCTGGGTTCCCTCCCAGCGCCGGGGACCAACTCCAGGGGAGCACATAGCCAGTCTGGTGCCGACAAAGCAGGAGCGGTCCAGCTGCGGCTCCCAGCCCAACGTCCCATCTGGCTCCAGGAGGGTGGAGGGGATCGCAGAGGCCGAGATTCGATGGCGGCATCTGCGGCGAGGCGGCGCTGGAAGAGGGGGTGTGGAGCTGAAGCTGGTAGTGAGCCCTGGGAGCAGACCGTCCCAGGGCAGGACTTCCCCGCTGAATCCTTCAGGAGGTTGGTTAATTCTGTCATGACGTGCGCAGGTGAGTTGAGCCGGAAGTGAGGACCCAAACGCAGGGAAAGAAGCAGGCAAGCAGGCAGACAGGAAACTTAAGGGTTTTACCGACACGGAGCACGCAGGACCTAGAAACAACCAACCGACAAGACACACAGAACTGAGAGGGTTTAAATACATGAGGAGCTGGGACCTTGGTTGATTGGGAGACAAGCGGCAGGTGGGAGCAGTTAACATGGACACAGGACTGAACAGAATGGGGGGACAGGACAGAGTGTGACAATAACCTAGCTACAGCACCACCTGGTTTTATTATTCTGAGGCAGCACTCCTAAACCCACACTGTTACTCTTTAGCTCAACATCCCCTCCTAGTGGTCAATACAAAAACTACAACAGAAATGACAATTCACAATAAAGCCACTTTCAGGCAACTGCCTTGGTATCGGTTAACTTTAACGAGTACATGGCTATGGTATCGGTATCTGCCCGATACCAGTATCGGTATCGGTGCATCCCTAACATTTAGGCAGTAAGAAACATACATTTAATAACAAAACTGCTCAACTCTTTCCAAAACATATGTGAAAGAACAGAATCAAAAAAGAGATGCAATATATTTGGCCAGGCGGTATTCCCATAGTATGATGATGTCATCGGCGGGTGAAGGACCCCCGAGCAAATCTCGAAACTATAGTGCCAGAAAACTACAATTGGCATTCCATTGTCTTGACGGAATTAACTGAAGGACCATCAAAGTCTAAGGAGTCACACCAATATTACATCATTTCTGCTCTACAGGTAACAACATTTACCCTAATGTTGTATTAAACTAGCGACAGTCACAGGGATATGGTGTAAAACTACCCTGAAATGCACGCACTGCCCCCTAGCGCCAAGAAACTACACACTGCCCCTTTAATGTTGACAAGGTACACTATGCAGTGCATATGATAGATACACAAACATCACCTCTCAGTGATGGGTCTCTATGGGACAGGAGCAGGCTTAGAAAACAAATTACATATTTCTTACATTACATCACAGTACAGTGTAAGACTATCGCTTTTATGGATTTATAAAAAACATACATAATTCCTGAAAGCAAAGAATGTAGCTTTAAATATCATTATGTAGATATTCTGTCAGAATATTCAACAATCACAAAAATTAGAGCATGGTCCAAATTGGGTACACTAATGTACTATATGTAAATGCATTGTATTCATTAAACTTAATTATCTTTAAGAAGCCACTTATATCATTACTCAAACCATTAGTGTCCCCACCATCACACACACACACACACACACACACGCACACACACACACACACACACACACACACACACACACACACACACACACACACACACACACACAAATTTGAAATAAAGAAATCTTCTTGAATTCTGGTATGATGTCTATAAGTTTGGTTCCCCTCTGCTCCCACCTCTGGAACTACACCAGATTGATTAATGTGTCCATTTTTGGGTTTGCTTTAATGTTCTCTTATCTGGACAATCGGAAGTTCAGATTGCCACACAAAAAAATAAAATAAAATAAAATAGGTTGTCATTCCTACCGGCAAATATATCTGAAGAAATATTCCAGATTTGTTTTTAACTGAAAACAGGTTCGAATCATAACTTGTCCCTTCTTTATATGGATTACGGTGATCGCCACCGGGAAACCAGGAAGTCCCGTGTGTACTCATTTTGTGAGCTAACGCGCAGACCTTGTTGCGCTGTTTTCCAACACAATCGTTGGCTGCTTCACCTACAGAGAACATGTCCACAAACATGCCGGTGGGAAGCATGAACATGGAGTCGCAGCTTCTGTCCATCATGAGCGTGCTGGTGAAAGCGGCGGTGGCGGAGATTATTCAGCTGTTCTCGGAGAGCTCGGACTCTCTCCGGCTACATCTGAGCCAGAGTCTGAAGGAAAACGAGAACCTAAGGGTGAGGATGAAGGTAATGAGGAGCGAGCTCTTCTCACTAAAGCTACAGACCAGAACCAGCCGACCGGCCAGCCGCTTCTCCTCCTTCAGGGGGAATGTTCCAAAGCCACGGCCGAGGTCACAAGGTAAGGCTAACTTTACCAGGAGCTTTTTACCACCTCCTCCAGGGCAGAAACTAGGTTTTATACGGCCCTCAAGCAGCATTTCACTTATGCCCCCAGCTAAGCCCTTTTTATTATCTCATAGCAGGGGCGCAGATAGGATTTTTAAACTGGGGGGACAAAGTTCCAATGTACCCTCCCCCAAACACATACACACACGTGCGCTCACACACACATACACAAACTATTACAAGCGCCTTAACTAGAGCTCAGCCAGTTTGTGTAATTTCATCCAATGGTTTACGTAAAAACTAACACTATTATATACGTGTTTGAAGCCATTATGCAGTGGAACGCTGGCAACAAAGCTCTGCCTGATCAACATTATAAATGATAAATGAGCGGCACTTGTATATCACCTCTCAGAGTAAGGACTCCAAAGTGCTTTACACTGCAGTGTATCAGTCATCCATTCACACACATTCACACACTGATGGTGATGAGCTACGATGTAGCCACAAGTGCCCTGGGGCGCACTGACAGAGGCGCCCCACTATTTAATTCAGTCATTTGTTATTCTCCCAATCAAGTACTAACCAAAACGTCATGCTTTATGCAAAACATTAAATGATTTTCAGCATACCAATCTTTACAGAAAACATAAAAGCCCTAAAAAACTGCACATAAAATATATTTAAAAACGATATTCACTTATCACTTAGAGCAGTAGTTCCCAAACTTTTCAGCCTGACCAACAGATGTTCCTTCGTATTTTTACGTTATTTATACATTTCCATTATATTTGGAAAGTTTTAATTTATATAAAATATATAAATCTCTTTTAAAAATTTATATTTTACTTTTTTTATGATTATGTGGCACACTTGACTTCCATTTATAACGCATCGGTATCTGCCTCTTTTTACGGCATTTTTTTTACATTGTCGCTACGTCTGTCACGTTTGCAGTGTTTTACCATTGTTTCTACATCCATCACGTCCCTAAGAAGGTTAAACCAACATCAGACCCAATGTTTGGAGCTTGTAAACTCCACACACCTCTCGTGCAGCACCAGCTGTCTGATGCTGCAGCAGCGTCAATCGTCCTGGCTGGATGAGTGAATTTCTTCATCAGAGTCTATATTCTGCTTCATAATCAGAGTCACTCATTACCAGACAAAGTGATCAGTCAACAAAGACCAGACCTGCTGGCAATTATATGTTTTATCTAATATTTGCGCTCTTCATGTTGCGCACATCTCCTCCTCTCCCCGACTGGGAGCCTCTCGGCGGGAGGCAATTTTCAAACTCTAAAAACTCCCAAACTTTGCTCAGCCTGAAGGTTCCACATCTCCACTATCATTTGGTGTAAAGTAGTAACTTCATGAGGGATCATATTTGTAGATGAGACTTGTTAAAGTCAGCAATGAGGCTTTGGCGCTTATAACCAACATGCATAAACAGACAGATCGGTCCCGCCTACTTACACTGTTGGTCTTTTTTAAATACGCAGTAATTGTTGCCTTTTTCGCTTCATCCTGCATCCTAGCAGCAACCACTTTGGCGCCTCTGGAGTCGGTGTTTGTTTACGTCATGCTGCATTCATTGTAATTGGAAAAAGGAGCTTCAAGCGCTTAACCTCCGATTTTGTTTTCTTTCTGGCCTTAGTTGGGGGGGGGGGGGGGGGGGGACGGATCGGGGTCGATCTGAATCTGGGGGGGACAGATCCCCCCGTCCCTCACCCTATCTGTGCGCCTGTCTCATAGTATCAGTTTTATTTTGTTCACACCTAATTTGATGTTTAAAAAGGTTTTTAAGTTTACAAAGGAGTTCTGTGGTGAATCAAAGCTCAGAAGATCAACACAACAGAACTAGGGTGACCAGATCCCAACTTGCCAAATGCGGGACAGAGACTACTCAATGTGGGACAATGTGAAGTTCCAATGTAATGAGAAAAACAAACAAAATATATATTCTGCCTTTTAGCCCTAACGTCATATATTTCTTTTATATATTTTATTTTAATTCAACATGAACAAGCATAAAGCAAAAGCTTTACTATTTCACAGTTCCTCTCAAGTTACCACAACATAACTCAGGCCCTGTCCATACGTAGCCGGGGATCTGCCAAAACGTAGATATTTTTCTACGTTTTGGCCTGTCATCCACACGAAAACTGAGTTTTTTCACACAAAAACTGATCTTTTTAAAAACTCCGGCCAAAGTGAAGATCTGCGTTTTCTCCGTTTTGGGTGTCTGCGTGTGGACAGACAAAACCGGAGTTTTAAGGTCCGCAACGTCACTTTCCGCGACAAAAAAATGCTGACATCACGTGTGCGACCTGTGTTTACATTAGCCGACAGCATGGATGCCCTCAGAGCTGCTCTCGCTTTATCAATTGTCCAAAAGCTTTTTGCTTGTTTGTTTTTGCAAGCGGAATTACTGCTCCTTGCGGAAGACCACAGACAAAGGACGAGGTTAAGAACGGGGGAAGTACTGCCGCCTACAGGTCTGGCATGTCCTTAACAACGTATTTATCCGGGTACGTGTGGACAGAGTTTTTTTTTTTAAACGAGGTGGTGTGGATGCAAGTTTTTGGAGGGGCGGATATTCGTTTAAAAAAAAAACCCAGCTACATGTGGACTAGGCCTCAGGCTCTTTGGGCCTTCTGTAGTGGCTCTGATCATTTTAATAATATAGATAGGCCCACAATAATAATAAAAAATGCAGGTTTCAGCAGCTTTTCTGAGTTTTCATTGAATGTTTTCCACAACAGAATGACCAGTAATAATTTTTAGATCTGTTTGTTTGTTTTTAATTAATTTTCCACAAAAAGCTGCATCTCACTGGAAAATTATCCATACTTTTTGCTATTTTTTTCATAATTCAGAAACAAAACTTTTTTACATGACAACAAATCTCTTCTAAGTTTAGGTGAGAGAATAAACAACAGATTCTAATCTAAAAAAATTCAGATCTAATGTTATAATAGTTTCTTAGAGTTACTTTTTGCCTCAAATTTTTTAGAGTGATCAAAGCTTCCATTTATTCTCACATTATTTCTTCACTGTGCTTCAAGGGGTTCAGCATGTACGTAGGTACCTGAAACCACAGCACCTTGTCTGTGTTAGAGCCTCCGTTGCGTTTTATCATGGACCTGTCTAATTACTGGAAAAACTGCTTTTGATCTCTTCATATCAGACTTCGCCCCGAGACATGAAAAATGACTCGGGTCACCCTAGACAGAACAGATGATATACTAGTTATAGGGCTTGTGATCGTGATGTCATCACCGGCTCGTCCACCCTGTTGGGGGGGTGCGAGTCCTGTAAACAGCGCGCTCAGTCTCGTTCTTACGGCTTAAATTAATCCATTATTCAGTTGATCGGTTATATAATTTACTCTAGTAAATCGTTGCTGTGTTGTGGGGTGACTCATGATTGCCAGGTGAATAAAGGTGGAAAACAAGCTAACTTTTCACCGTTTAGAGGCAAAACCACAGACACCAAGTATCTAGCATAACAAAGTCTTGTTGGCTCACTTGGATCGCTGCTGTATGGCGACCAAACATCATCTTCTGGAGTATTTTCATTCAGTAAGTTACAGATGGTGTACGTTTTTATACATTGTTTCTTTCCTTCAACCGCAACATGCACACAAAACCTAAAATAGCATTTCCCTCTGTTCGAAAAGAAGCACGTTCTTGTTGTTGGTATCTTTTGATGAGCAATAAAAGAAAAGAAAGAAAACGGTCTTTTATATTGCGCCTCTCAAGATAAAATCACAAGGCGCTTCACAAGAACAACAAAAAACTTCAAAAACTTATTAAAAAAAGGGTTAAAATAATAAGAGATAACTAATATAAAAATTAAAGAATTGTAATCAAAAATTTTAAGGAAAGGGAGAGAGAAAATGAATAGGAAAGATGAAAATCAGTGGATCCTGGGAAAGGTGGAATAGGTAGAAAGAGCTGAACAAGGAGAGGGTGGTGATGACGGGCACACAAAAGCCAGCTTGAACAGGTGAGTTTTCAGCAGATTTTTAAAGGAGACCACTGAGTCCATGATTCCTGACGGAGGGTTTGGTGTGAGAAGCAAGCTGACCAAGAGAGTCTCTGACTTTAGAAACCATCGTGTCTGGGGCACAGATGAAGATCTCAGTCTTATCTTCATTCAGCCGTAGAAAGTTCCCAGCCATCCAGCGATACTTGTGATCAAATCACAAGTATCACGTCGAGGCTGCTGGAGCACGCAGAGAAAGTCGGAAGATGAAGAATCCAGCGGGAGCGAAGCTCCATTATGGAGGAAGGAAGGAAAACAGCTCTGCAGATAAACAAGACGACGTAAGTTTAAATAATTAAACACGCTTATAGTGTAAACATTGTATGATTATACATTTTAGATGGCATTCTTGTTTAGCAGATTACATTAAGTGAATATTTCAGATTATATTTTACAGGGTATCCGCGGGTCCTTAAAAAGTCTTAAATTTGCTTTTCCAAATTTAAGGTCTTAAAAATCCTTAAAAATGACAAATAATCCTTAAATACAGTTTCCAAAGGTCTTAAATGACCAAAGACACAATAAACAAGATTATTTTATTTCAATTTTCATGAATTTCTAGTTAGTGTTCAGCTTTTTTGTGTATGACGTTGGTGTAAGCAGAACCGTACACGTTCAGTTGGTTGTGAACGGGGGCTATTTTTAGATGAGCACTTTAGCTGGTTAAGCTAGTGGGAGCTCGCGCCATGGGGAAGTGCAAGTTTAATGGTAACTGGATGGCTATTCCCACGTTTGCGACGTGGTTAGCACCGGTTCCAGGCAATGGCTGGAAATTGTAGCTTAAATTTGGTCAAAGTGGCCTTAAAAAAGGTCTTAAAAAGTCTTAAATTTGGCTCCCTTAAACCAACAGATACCCTGTTTTTAACTCTTGTTCTCTTTGTGTTTTAGATGTTGCTGCTCAACTCCTCACCGTCCATTTGGGTCCAGAACAAAGCTGATGACTGGTGGAAAAGGGTTTTTCTGACTTTTACTGATGACTGATGGAGAATTTCCAAATGTCCAGATAGACCTTATACGTCTGTCGCCGCCTAAAGCGTGCCCTGGAGAGAATGGACATAACATATCGCTGCTGTGTGCTTCCTAACCTCAGTGAGAGTCCAGAGAAGAGTGAATACAACCAATATCCACGGTCATTTTTGACGTTTGACAGAGAGAACATACATGTAGACATGAACTCACTATTAAAGATAAGATGTTCCTTTGGAACTTGTCACACTTATCAAAGTGATGTTTCTATGCAAAATAAATACCCTGTTACCTGTGAATGTCTTTTGTATGTTTGTTCTTTGCATTCCATCAAATTCTATTGTTTGGTTCTTTTCCAAACACAAAGTATTGATTTGTTTTTCCCGGTTTAGCTGACAAGTTTCAGCTAACACTGTGGCCATCCTCAGAGCACTGCTGATGCTGGTTGCATCACTTCCTTCTCCGTTTATCTTGTGCATTTCTCTTTTGTATACAATACAGAAAATACAATAAAGAAATCAGCCGTAACAGACTACTGCACAAGTGAAAATCATATAATGGACTGGGACAATGCACAGATCATAAACACAGAACAACAAAAATACAAAAGATGGATTAATGAAGTGATAGAAATACAAAAATGTGGACACACAACCATGAACAGAGTTGATGGAGTCTATGCATTAGGTCACACATGGGACAGTGTCATTGGCGAGGTGGGCTCAGGCAGCAGAGGATGATGTTGCCCTACTGCTACTCTTGAGTTAAAACAAGAATTTCAACTTGCTATAGAATCAGGTGTGTCAGAGCAGGGATACATAGGGCAGGTGTGTCAACTTTTTCACCCTTGACCCGTTTTCATGTCTGCTTATGTCTCAAAAATGCCCCAAGTCCGTACTTGTGAGAGCACCATGTGAGCACCTGTGTGTGTACCTGCACTTAATAATAATAATACATTTTATTTATAATGCACTTTACATTACAGAAGTAATCTCAAAGTGCTACAGAGTATAGGGGACAGGTATAAGGTACACAGCTAGTTAAAAACAGTTAAAATTTCAGGATACTATCAAGCATGGAAAATAAAAACAGTCCCCAGAAATAGATAAAACCCATCTAAAAAGTCATTACAGTGGATACAAACAATAAGTAAAAACAACAAAATAAAGTAAAACACTCAATAAGTCATTGTGCACTAGAAAGCCTGTTTAAACAAAAAGGTCTTGAGGCCTTTTTTGAAAAGCTCCACAGATTGTGTGGCCCTTAGAAATTCTGGGAGAGAATTCCAAAATTGAGGTAAGGTTTCTCTATAGTACTACTCAATAATGAGTACGAGAGGCCACAGACCTGCCCCAAAGACCTGTGGATGATGGAGGAGTTACAAGCCTCAGAGATGCAAAGGTCTCCCCTGGAGCATGGAGATCTCAGGGAGACTGCCACCGGAGAAGCCCCAACCCCCCCTCCTGAGTGGCGCAGAGGGTCACCCCGGTGAAGCCAACCAGCAGCCGTGACAGAGGCCGAGGAGATGCTGATGGTGAGCCCCCAGGCCCATCTGCAGCCTCCCACCCCAGGGCAGGCAGAGCTTGGAAGTCAGCTGCCTTGGGCCCAAGGGTGCCCTAACCTGGCAGAGAACCGACAGAGCCCTGGGATCTGGACCCCACCAGGCAACCACCGGGAGAGAGCTGGCAGATGCAAAAAACTTCCAGCTCCAGTCCTGAAAGCTGCAAATACGCAGGCAGACTGAGGTTCCACCCACTAGCAGGAGACGTGGCAGGGGCAGGGTAGGCGAAGATGTGTAGCACCACAAAATGTCCCCAGAGAGGGGAGGAGTCCAAGACCCCACCTGATAGACACAATCACAGACAAACATAGTCACACACTCCCACCCTCATGCTCACACGTAAACACGTTCAACCTGAAGACACACAACTATGTACATCATACACCCACTCACGCTCCCCATACACACCCTACCCACTCTGGTCCCGGTACTGCCGTGCAGAGGGAAGAACCATTCCCCGACACCAGGACTGGTCCGGTTCCCACTGGGTTAATGGTGAGCAGGTATTCCCGGCTAACTCGGAGCAAAGCGATCCACCACGCCAGACCCCCACCAGTTTGATTGTTTTTAAGCAGTTACATTTTCATTATTTAAAACACAAATAAATCCACAAAAGCATGAGCTATTTTAATTTAGTGACTTCTATTTTTTCCATATAATTAAAAATATCTTTATTTTCCCTCATTTTAATAATTAATCAAAATAAAAATCTGACAATGTCTCACTTATTTTATTTTATTTTATTTTTTCATTTTTGCTTCTAAAACAAAAATTCAAATACCAAAAAGTACACTGACCAATAACCTTTCGTTAATCTTTAGCTCAGTTATTGACTCAATTTAAAATTTTGATCTGAAACTCTCGTTCCTGGTGCAGTTTTAAGTTTTTGGGGGTTATTTTTTGTATTTTATTTAATTATTTTTTTTTTTTTTTGAAAATTTAAAAGTTCACTAAAATTTTATAAGTTTAAGCAGCAACACATAATAGCAGAAAATAGTTGTATACATTCTTCATTAATACCTGAAGGGAATTAAATATTCTTGGGTGCCTTTAGGCCCCAAATGGTGTTTAAATTTTTATTATTATTATTATTATTAATAATAATAATAATAATAATAATAATACATACGTTTTATAAAGCGCTTTTCACAACAACTAAAAAACGCTGTACAACTAAGAGACAGACAACAAATAAACGCAGAAACAATAGGTTAATGTGCTCTGAATGCTTGGCTGAATACACATTCTCTCTTTCATCTTAATGAAAGATACATCCACTCTTCAGCCAATGGATTTTAAAATCTTATAAAAATAATAATTTAAGAAACATGATGTTTCTTTAGGTAATATACATCAATGAGCAGGTCTTGGTTAGATGTTACCTGCATATACACATTACATCATAACATTTCTAATTTTGAAATTGTATAATTGGGAGCTTTGATATAATTTAGAAACTATACTTTTCATGGCATTCAAAAAATGTATTATTGTTTGGTGTTGTTGTATGCAGTCACTCTAAAAACAGCAAAAGCGGGTATTGCCTGAGTTTTCATCCTGGATCTGAGACATGTTGACAAACAGGATGTCTCCTCACAGGATCCAGCAGCAGCCAGACGATTCGGCACACCGTCCTTGACATTTATATAGATGTCAGTCCTGCTCTTACAGGACTCGCCACCAGAGGCTGACTTTACACTATTGTTTGAGCGTAGACTCATATTTTCTCACTGTGCATTTGTTTTACAGATTTGATTTTAAGAATAAAAACAAGATATTTGTAATTTAATCTACACACCTGCTGCTTATGTATTTTATTTTCATACCAGTTATCCATCTGACAGTCATATTATTTCTCCTTACCTCTGGCAGGTTTTATGAAGACATCAGTGTCTGCAAAAGCTCCTGGAGGAGCTTCTTCCATCAGTGTCCAATCAGACAACAAGACATCCTCTTCTGTTTCTCAAGTGCAGGTAAATATGGCCATTAAACACACACCATTTATTTAGAAAATGTGTTTGATTGTCCATGTCTGCTCTGGTTTATTAGTGTGCAGATGTAGCAATTCCCGATGTCATCCTGATCAAAGATGAAGACGACGTAGGAGGATGTGAGCCTGTTGTAGGTGAGTAAGTGTTTTCAGTGCACATTGTTTATGGCAATTAAAGCTGCGAAACAAGCTAGCTTTAAAACGCAAACATGGTTACAGAACCCTTACCCCAACTGCCGGCTGCCATCCCTGGCCCACAGCCTCCTGACACCCAAGAGAGCACAAAACACCAGTCACCATTTATCTATGTCCAAACGTCTTTTGTTGTCTGTGACTTCAAATGGTGGGGGGTTTTTCAGACTGTCCTGAAGTTGGAGTGATAGCAGCTGGCTGTTTCTCCTTCCCTGATATTATTGAGTAGAGAACCTCACACCTGTGTGTAGGACCCAGGTAAGTGCGGTGGTTCGGCAAGACCAACAACCGGATGGTCTAATCATTGGCTTTGGACTAAAAAGTGTTATTGTCGAAGGTTTTTATACAAATGCGAGAGAAAAACTTCATTAATTTCTTTTTAATTTTTTTTATCTCCACAAAATCTTTTAGCCTCAATGTCAGAAGGTTGTTGAGAGGCATAAAATATTTTAAGCTAGCTTCTTTTGCAACTTTGCTATTGTAGCTTTAGAAGAATGGGAACACAGTGTAAAATGTAAGTAAATCCAGAATACCATTTTTTGCCAATCCCATGAAGACTTTTATTTGGCAAATATTGGCAAGTGTAAATCCACCCCTCGTGTTTCTATGTTTTAAAGATGTCACCATCATCTAAATCTAAATGAGCTAATATCTCCATGAAATGCAAAAATGTCTCAGGTTTACTCATCTGATATTTTATTATTTCATCAGGAAAAAAACAGTTTTATGAGATTCTGTTGTTCTAATGTTGGGATTGTACAGACAAAACAACTAAAGTAATAGGGATGAAAGAAATTATCGATATGGCAATATATCATGTTATATTTTCCTGCGCTATTATATCGATATTTAAAAGCCGTGTATCTAAGTTTTGGAAGAATTTACCGCTAGTTGGCAGCAGTGTGCAATGGGTTTTGTTTCCACCATTGAAATGTAAATCCCTCTATTATGCTTCAGATACCTCATGTTAAACATGTTACGTATCAGTTTGGACTGTTTATTGAATTTTTCTATAATAAAATCATTTTAAAAATCGTTAATATCGTCTGACTGAATGTATCGCAATATATCATTATATATTGTATCGTGAAAAGTATCATCGCCATAATTTCACCAATACACATCCCTATAAAGTAAGGCTCAAACACTTCCTTCAGAATAGTGCAGTTAGTGCCAATGACAAATATAAATTTGAATATAAACAAGCCCGAAAATGTCCGGTAGGAATACGTATCTTCTTCGTTATTTATATTTATTAGATGTCAGTATATTGTTTAGCTCCAAGAATAAAGTTGTTTAAAATGAAATAGCTTTTTTTTAAAAATAGGTTTTGGTCCCTTTCAGGCCAAGATAACTTTGGAGATGACGGCGCGCCGGACGGTGCTGCTGCTGAGGCTCAGACGTTCGATGCAGCTGCATCCGCTTCCTCCTGCTTGACGGATGATAATGAGGAGCTGAGAATTGTGAGTGTTCACAGTGGAGGAACTGGAGCTCTTCAGAAGGATGGTGTCACGCTCTTCTCTGCCTCTGAACTTCAGGCTTTAAGCTCCCTGTCAGAACACAGCATCACCTCTGACAGCCATCTGAATTTCACCACCAGTGCCAATGACAGAGCGCCCATGAGAGGGATGCGGGAGAACAGCGTGGAAGTTGTGAGAAGCAGCCAACTTGAAAGAAATCACCCCACTCAAATGGCTTCGGCGATGATAAATCCTACGTTAAGCTTAGCTGCAGCTGGATCAAACAGTCACGGAGGCCATCCCAGTCACATCAGCCAGTTCTCCCAGCAGCAGACGGCCTTCCCTTCCATGGTCAAATCTCAGGACTGCAGCTTCTGTGGTGAGCGCTTCCACAACCGTGAAGACCTTATTGTGCATCGTGCCAGCCACACTGGGGAACATCCCATCGCTTGTTCCTTATGTGGCAAGTCCTTCGTCAATAAAACCACTCTGAGCATCCACATGCGCATTCACACCGGAGAGAAGCCGTACGCTTGTGCTCAGTGTGGGAAACGCTTCACGCAGAACGGCAGCCTGAAGATCCACCTGAGGACTCATTCTGGAGAGAAGCCGTACCAGTGCAACCAGTGTTCGGCCAGCTTCAACAACCCCAGCAACCTGCGCCGTCACATGACCACACACAATGCTAATACAGCGCTCTGATTCAGAGCTGGTGGATGACTTTTATATAGAACGAGCTTTTTTACATTTTCCTAAATATTTTCAGGTGAAAGCGGCAAAAAGAGTGCATCCTAAAAATAAAAAGTTGTAGTTCTCTTTTCTGCTTAAGAGGGATCTTCATTGAAAAGCACAAATACCAATGCTTCATTCAAATGTGTGTGTGGGTTTCAAATAACTAATATCTTCTAGTTAACCGGTAGATCCAGGTGAGAGAGTAAATCTGTGGATCGCTCATTAAATCAATGTGTATCTAGTAGAAGTCGATGCCTTGTAAATCATAGGGGGGGGGGGGGGGGGGCTAATGCAAACAGTTAGCTTCCACTAGCTAACCCAACAACAGCCTTCCCCGTCGTGAGTCAAGATGGGTGGGTCCATGAATATTAGTGAGTGTGACATAGATCTGTCAGACTTTTCTAATCCTAGAGTTTTCTATCAGGAGCTGGTGTAGGAGACTATTTTCATGTTCAGCCTGCATGAAAAACTCAGAGATTGATTATAATCAGAAATGATCATTAAAAATATTTTTCTGTGTTCCATAGGACTAGAGAAACACTGCAGGTGAAGAGAGTTGTCGGTGAGCTGTTTTTGTTTGCAATAGATGATTTAGTAAAATTTCTTAAAACAAAAAAATAATTTGCTAAATGAAACTCAGACAAACTGGTTATTTGTCAATGAAAGGATAACCCTTACTTGAGTCTTCCGGTATTTGGTTGAAAAAAGTTATTCAGCAGCTGGGATGCTCTTTTGTTTTTATACTCCTGGTGCCAAAAAAAATGTTTTTCATTTTAGTAGTGCTGAAAGTTTCCCAAATGCTCAACCAGATGTCAGTAATTAACCCATCTTTCCTCTTCAAAATGAACTCATCATTTTTACTTTGTAAAAAATGTAATACCATGCGTTTTAATTATTTTGTTGTGAATATGTTTTGTTGAGCATTAAATTTTTCCTGCAGAGCCTTCAACATCTTCAAGGCTAAAACCTTTAAGGTGTTTATAAGTAATGTGTAATCTGTTAGGGTAGAAAATGTTGCCGTTAATTGGAATTATGAGAATTTTTTAACTTGTGATAACTGTCTTTTTTTATTGTACTTTTTGTTTTAATTATTAGGACTTTTCCATCTAGGAAGCTTAAGTGTAAAAAGTATAATTAAGGAGGATGGTAACCCAAATATTTAAATTTGCTAGGGTTAACGTGTATTTTTTGTTTTGTTTTTATAAACTACCTATCTCCGCTGCTGTAGCTTTTTCCTGTGTACTTCCCAAAATGTTCCAGAGTCAGCAATATGGTAAAGTGACTGTAGTGTAGATGTTTTGCTATAAATTGTACTAAAAAAACCTTTCCAATCATACTTTGCTCCTCCAGAGAGCAGCACTGCTGCTTCTCATCATAAGATGTCATCTTTTTCCTCAAAGTGTGTGTGTGTGTGTGGGGGGGGGGGGGGGGGGGGGTCCTAAAAAAAAGGAAACTGAGGGAAATTCCTCACATTGTTCCTTTTTCCACTCAACCCATGTATTTTCCAGGTTTCGGTTGTGTCCTGCAGGTTTTTTCTTGGAAATAAAAAATAACTAATGAAAATTCCGATCAAACGAATTTAAAAGTTTAAAATAAAAAATAAATTAAGTTTAAACTACACAGCCATGCTTGTACCTTAAATTGTTGTGGTCAAGCATGGTTTATTTACTGAAGGGCTTAAAACAAAACAAAAACGTACTCCAGAGATGATCACATGTAAAGTCAAGTGTGACTGTCAGTGGTTTTTAATGCTGGTGTGAAATGATTCTACTTCCCCACAAAATGCAGCTTATTCTCAGACCATTGTTCTCGTGCAATCAATGAGATGACATCTGTGTGTTTATGTGCAGGCGGAAGTACATGGGAGGTGGCTGAGCCTGCAGCGCGTTTAAATATCCGTCTTCCCATTTGTAACGAAAGACCTGCTCATGCCTGGAACCGTGTGTTTTTATTCAGCAGCAGTTTGGCGGTCACTACTGGGACGCTGAGGCAGCCGTACACGCACACCTGTATGGAGGGTACATTTTGAGTGCGCCGCCGGCTTTACGGTAAACTGACCCCGCCCTCCATTAGAAAACTGATGTCGCTCCGTTTTTTCTGAGCTTGACCCACAAGGGAGAGAAGGAGGGGATAAGAGGGTAGAAAACGCACAAAACGGAGTCGTCTGGAAGGGGTCGGGACAGGCTTTTCCTGAGCAGGTGAGTATAGTGATTGTTTACAGATGGTGGTTAGTTTGGTCGTTTCTCGTCTAATTATAGGTGCTCTGCAGCGCTGGCAAAGGAGTGGTCTCCTATTCGACAGATGAGCACGACTCTCGTTGGCTAATGTTAGCTAGCGACGCTAACATAAAAGTTCAAACAGTGACCCACTCTTTTTATTACCTCTCAATTGTTTCGCGACTACAGCAACATTTGTTATTCATAAATATTATAAAACACGCCTCAGGGTTAGCAGAGACGCCTGCTATTTCAGTGAATTGTGTTGCTAATCTGTGAGGAAGCTAGTTCTGCTGCGGGCTCTCGGTCGGTTATTGTGATGCTAACGCTGCAAGACAACCAAACCAGGTCATACGTTTGCTGAGCGAGCATTCAGCCAATCTGAGCTCGTTTGAGTTTATTTATCCGGGCAGTAGTGTTGGCACACCCGCGGAGTTGTTTTTAATGTTTAAGTCCTTGTAAGTTCGGCATTTCTTTGCATCCCTTCCTCCTCGCTCCTGACCCACAATTGTAGCAAATAATTCACGACTGGATGCGGGATTTATCCAGACCAATGCTAGCAGCTAGCCCTGTGCTTAGTTTTTGGTGCTTTTAGGGGCTGTGTCCCTTCCTGGTCAGAAAAGGTAAAACATTTGGTCCGCCTATGTTAAAAATAACAACTTAATTTTAAATGTGAGAATTGAAAAACGTTAGGTTGTTCTATTTTTAAGAGCTCTGGATTCAGTGTGCCATTTTTGATTTGATTTATCAGTCAAAACGACAGACTCCCCTCTCGTACCGAGGTGCTTTTCAAGGCATGGGTACGTTTTTGGACACGACACCTGCTAATACACTATTATATTTTAAACCACCTTCAGTAGCAGACAGCCTTATCAGATAGATTAGATAAGACCTTGATGTTAATACAAACCCTCCAGGAGGCTGACAGAACTAAAAACTGAGCATTAAAATGTGAATTATTTTATTTAACACATTATTTTGTTCATTCCCGAAGCCGGTTTAAACTCTTGATGCAGATCCATAATAAGGATGGGGATTTGTCACACTATGAACCTGTCTGGTGGGTCGTGTGTGAGCTTGTCTTGTTGGGGAAATGTTTGGGTGGGGATAACCGTCAGCATTAGGGTGAAGTAGAATACCTTTTTTTCCTTCAGGTAAACATCGGGTTCACACAGACACACACAGTGGTTTAGACTTCCCTTTGGACTTTAGGCCTGTCCTGGTGTGTGTTTATATAACATGTTTAAACTCTAGGTGTAACAGGCTCAGGTCTGATCTGACACACTGCAGGTGCCGCCACTAATAACACCACACACCAGCCTTTTCCTCAGCATGCCTCCCAAGTCGTTGTTTGATCATTGGCAAATGGTCTGGACGTAGACTGCCATTGTGTCTGCTGTCTTAAGGATGGGCAGGTTAATCCGTGCTGTGTGTGTGTGTGTGTGTGTGTGTGTGTGTACATGCAAACAGGTTAACTTCTCATGTATATGTGTTAAAAGGGGCGGATTAGAAGGGCAAAGCTTCAATCCCATTACAAGCCATGCTCAGCTGTGGCATCACACTGACTACACATCAAATCGCTGAGAGTGTGTGAACAGATGTGCATTTTAACAACGAATCTGCTGTTTTAGTAGGACTTAACCGTGGATGGCAGGTGTAGGCACTCACCGCCCTAACTAATCAATTTCCCTCTGGGATTAATAAAGTATTTTTGAATTGAATTAACTAATAAGTCGGCAGAAGCTTTACTGCTGGTTACATGTGTGCATGAGCACTGGGATCATCTGACGGGGTTAAATGAGTCGTGCTGACGGATGGCTGCAGAATCAGATGTGGATATCTGACTCGTGGTTTGTCAGGGTTCAGTCAGATGTTGTTAACCTCAAAGCATGGTGCTTGTCATTCTGAAGTTTTGTTACCATCATGCGTTGAACAGCAGAGCATGACCCTTTCGTTCACTCAACCCTTTAGGACACGTGGTCATATGCTTATTTTACTTTGAGGCGACATAGTTTGTGTTTAACATTGGTGATATTTATTTTAATGCTAGGTTGTTTGAATTCAAAATGATGTTGTTATGTACTGTGATTTGGATTTATTTAATGCCCTTTGAAGTCAGTTTTTAACTGGAGTCATTGTTTCTCAAGATAAGTAAAATAAACAGTGCATGTGAACAAAAATTTGTAGATTTACATTTCCTGCCAGACTATAAAATGCAGCATGTAGATGGATTAGTCCTAATTTAACTCTTATTTTTGTTTAATTAAGAAAAACAACTGGGAACAAACCGATTCAGTGGTGGAAGTAGAGGACAACGCTCTGAAAGGTCATAAAAGCAGAACAGAAAATGATGAGAGCCATTTGTTTTTAGTTAATAGGAAGTGACTTGTGGTCGCATGATTACGGGGGCGAAAGTGCTGGGTTACCACCACCGGGCGTCCTGTGGCTCTTGTGTAAGGGCAGATCTGTTGTGGAACATTTCTGATAAAGACTCGAAGACTCTCCTCTGATGTCCAGTCTGTAACATCCTGTTACTCAGGAAGCTGGTAAGAGGGGAAAGAGGAGAGGAGTGGCAATGGGACAACACTGATTGTTTTCATTGTTCAACAAAACTCACTGCTGACTTTCAAGGCCAAAAATAACAGCCGAGAGGAATGGGGGAGTTATTAGTACGCAAAGAGAAACCAAATTCACCTACACACACACACGTCTGCCGATGTTATCTTTGCACTCCAGCTCTTTTCATATTTGTGTCCGTTGCACAAACTACACATTGTTCTACCGACCTCCCAGACTGACAGCTGCGAATTCCTCCCGCCCATGGTTAAAACTGCAGGCACTCACACACACGCTTGCAAAATCACAATCCCTGCTGCGCCTGCCATGAAATAACCATCATTGTTTCTAATTTATCTAGCAGGAATTTTGTGGGTGTTTTTGTAAACATTTTGTTTGCAGTGTCTCAACATGTAATTATGAGAAACTGGCTGAGAAGAGTGGTGGTGTGTGTCGGCACTGGTGTCACAGCGACCATACATCTGGCCCTGAAACGCCACTACAGTAAACACTGATATCTGGATGAGAACTAGCTGATTTCCTTTGCTTTAACGTGGACGAGTGGGCGGGCTGCAGGGCTGAACTGGCTTTAGACAATGTGAGGAATGTAAGATTAGCCTTTTATCTTTATTTCAACAACCCTAATCTTATCTCTGCTGCTCTATTATCCCCATGTTTACTTTCACATTGTTCCTCTGGTAGTTTGAGCTCTTTTCTCTCTGCTCATCCCTGACTGTAGTGGACAACATCTGCCCCGTCCTGGCCATGGCCGTACATTGTCATGTGCAGGTTTATTATGACTTCATGTCTTCCCCATTAGTCAATCCATTCCCAGATGTAAGTCATCATCCTGCTTCCTGTAGTCATTTGCTTCTTGGGAAACGGCGTCATAGCCACTCCCTTTTCTCTCATTAGACCCTCCCACTTCCCCTCTCTCCTCACTACACCTGCCACACCCAAACCGGGAACATAAGCTTGTTTGTTTTTGTCACTATTAAAAAAAATAACAAAACAAACAAAAAGAACATGCACAGGAACCGTTTTTAAGGGTTTCATTTGATCTTTAAATTTGATATAGTTGTGACTATTGTGATGTGACATCACATGGAGCGTCTGGGTTTCATTTTATGGGGGGGGTGCCGAAGGGGGTGGGCGGGTGTAGCACAATCTGAACCAGGTGAAACTGTGAGTCACTCGTCACCATCTCCAGCTCATTACGCCTGTGCCTGTCTCTCTGTTTGCACATGTTAATTCACAACCAAACACCTGAGTGAGCACCTGCTGCTGGAAGGGTAGATGCAGGTACCTGTTTGTTGCCCAAACCAACGACTGTCACGAGTGTGTCTGTGCTTGTTTGCCAGACTGAGAGACTGGAAGAGGGGGCACAAACCTCCCATGTGTTGTCTAACTGGTCGGACGGGTTTGCCATGCGTGCGTGGGTGGGGTAAGCCTTAGCTAATGAGGAGCCTTGTTGCTGCAGTGGAGCATTTATTAACAGATAAAAGCACCCGGGTCTCCACGGTCCACTTCTCTGGCTCCGAAAGAATCATGTCCTAATTTGAGCCGAGATAACCCGGGATGTCGAGGGGATAAAGAGCAGTTAGGTGTGGAGAAAAGCATTAGGCTGATAAAGTAGAGACGGAGAAGATGATCTTAAACAAACAAAAGTGCAGATTAAAAAAGCACCAGCAGCACGAGCTGATGGGAGCCGATTGCTGTCTCTGAAAGTTTTTTCCTCTTATGTCGACGGTGGATTTCTGGTTGCAGGTTGGTCAGCCTCCCACAGCTCGCTGCCGGACACGGGCCTAATGTTGAGTAAATACAGGGTGTGTCTAAACGCTGGAGCTACTGTGCATCTTGTCTTTAACAGGGCTTGTTCCTGCTTCCTGTGCAGAGCTGTGGCCACGTCCTGGTTTTCTCAGACAGAGACCTCTAAAACACGTCTCCTCTCTGTCTCTGCAGTCCTTCTCTCGTGTTTCTGGGCCCGGCGGTTCACCAGATTCCTACACATGACTGACTAGAGCTCCATCTCTGATTGCGGTGCCACCTCTCACCTCTTTTACCGAGCCACGCCCACAGGTGAAGGTGTGTATTTGTTTTCTCTGAGCCGAGTGTTCAGACATTGTGTCTTCTGACTCCGGTGTCACATTTCAAACTACAATGAGAACTGCAGTCTTCTGTAGATGAGTTGTGTTCAAAATCTTCTGTATGGGTGTTTTTAAAATTAAATAAACAAAATCGCAGTAATCTAACCTTCTGGTGCTTGAAAGAACATGATGATACGACCAAGGACACGTTATTGATTGTCACATCTAGTATCTCTGAAGTATTATCAAGTGAATGTGGGACAAAACCCTTTCAAATCTTTGTGATAAAAGTAATGCTTTGATGTTTTGCTTCCTAGTTTGGCTCCTAAAGGTGGTCAGAATCCCAACGGATATTCACGTGCATGCATGCATGAGGTGAAGCTTATTGATCTGCATAGGAGGATTAATGTGATGCATAATTTGATTGGTTCAGTAAAATGTGGCATAAAGAGTCCGCTCTCTTCCTGCTCCGTTGCTTTTCCTCAGCTTTAATCTGGTTTGAATATTAGTTTAGCTGTATTTTGTGTTGCAGAGAAAAATAAATGTTTTTTGTTGTTGTTGCTGTTGCATTCTAGTGAGATGCAGCAGTGTGAAGCCTCATGAACCAGACATGACAGGCCTTGTCAACAATGCGTAGACTGGGAGATTCTTCAGGTCTGAGTTTCAGGAACATGACTGCTAAAGCGATGACTATCCCTCCCTCGCTGAAAAAAAAGCAAGATCAACTCTTGTGTAATCCTAAAACCGCCCTAACCCTCAGAACTCTCAGATTCTTTCTTGGGTGATGAACAAGATAAGATGGAAGATCTTCCTCCTTTTTCAGTATCAGCCCCCGAACCCTGACCCACCCAGTTTGTCGGAGTTTCTGTTCTTTGTTACACACATCTCCCTGTGCTGTTGTGTGTTTGTATGGTTGTGTGTAACGCCCCCCCCCCCCCCTCCCAACTCTCTGCCCCTGGGGTCATGTAGCGCGTATGGAGCAGTGTGAGAATGCAGCGGCTCTGCTGGAGTCGGTCAGGGAGCAGGAGGTGCAGTTTGAACAGCTGACCCGAGCGCTGGAGGAGGAGAGGAGGAGAGTTGGCCTCCCTGCCACCAGCCCCTCCGGCCTGGGTCGCCCCCTCCCTTACACACAGGTAACACGCCCCAAACAACCCAAAGCCTCTAACATCTTTTTGGCAACACATCCATCACTTCATGGATTCTCTTTCTCCTCATCCAGTGAATTTATGCAGCATCTTTTTCCTTAACATCCATAAGTCATCCATTTTCTTCTAAGCCCGCCTCCTTGCCATCGGGGCTCAGTGTGCATCATGACATCTTCCTTCACCAGCTCTGCAGCTCATCTACAAATGCATCAGTGCATGCCTGCATAGCTCCAGCACCTTTAGCATGCCAGAGATGATCACACACGTTCCCCTGTTGTCACTCACCGGAGGCTCTCTTAGTCATTTGTCACTTCCAGTTGTGGAATGTCAGTCATTCCCGTCTCTGCTCCTGCATGAATGAAGTTGTTACCTGTCGTGCATGTGTCATCTAGCCCTGCACCCAGGTTTTCACACAGCTCAAAGTGTTTTATTAATCAAGCTGCATGCTGGTTATTTATCGATCTGTGGTCATGGCATGTGCAGGGGGCTTTTGTTTCTCTGCTGTTTGTTGACATCATAACTGAAATTATGTAAATGTGTCTGGTCTGGAGGCTTTTGACGGGATGAGGAAGCTCTGTCCAAAGCGTCCCGGGGTCCGGGCTGCTTTATTCAAACGGCTCGTGTAGCTTGACAGAACTTCATTCATTGCCAAAGGAAAAAAAGATGGCTGAATGTAGCTGAGTGTAGTTGAAGTATTTGATGAGTCATCTGTGGGGTATTTTGAGGTTCATGTTGAAAGACAAAGTAACACTTGGTTTCTGTTAGAGTTGACTATTATGGGAATTGCAGATGACACTTCCCAAAGGTTGGTTTGAGACGTTGGTTTATATTCTCCTGAGAATAACTTTAAACGCTTTCCGGTGTAAGACCAGTTTAACCAGGAATCTTTAAACTTCACTGGTTTACTGCTGAATTATCTGGCTAACGAGGGTCTGTTGAGTAGTAAATGTAACAGTCTGAGGGGGACAATTTAAATGTGTTTTCTACAACGTTATTTTTCTGTAATTTGCTTTATTTTTAGATCAGATCCTGTATTTTGTTTAATCTGAGTCTTCTCATGGATTAAAGCCAACAGAGCTGTTTACCACTGGGTGTGATGGGATCTGCTCTCATGTAGAGGAAGTGTGGCTCCCTGGCTATAAAAACGCTATCTTTACTTCCCATTACTCTTTAACACCAGTCCTTCCTCGTTGTGGATGCAGTGTGTTGTGCTTTAAAAGCAAGGTGTGTTTCTGTTTTCTCTTTTAGACGCATTACAGTAACACTTAAACTGATCGGTGTGTGATGGGGAGCGATGTCTGGAAAAGATTACCAGCGACCTAAAATGAAGCACATGATGCCACTGATCTGTCGGTCGACTCAGATTAGAAAGTTGCTCAGCGTGTGAGTCGGTGATTACATAAGAGTTGAGTGCAGGAGGAAAGAATGATGTAAGTCTGACCGACTGCACTCCAACATGTCCGTCTCCAAGTCTGGCAGCGATTCACGCGCCACCATCAAAACACGGAGATGGTTCAGTTGGCTCTGGTTGTGCCTCAGCAGCAGTAATATTATCTGGGGAGGTTGTTTAAATAGAAGCAGATAGAATTGGCTGCAGGGAGGTACGTCTTTGACCTCATTTGTGTGTTTTTATTTCAGGGAAATGGTAGAATAAAGAGTATTTATGCACCATGTGGTTAACTGCCTCACCTTCCTCTTTGACTCTAGAACGGGCGTTTAGGGGATGCAGACATAGAGCGTCTGAAACTGACGGACTCCTACATGAACGGCACACAGGTGTGTGTTTCTGTGTTTTATCAGATTGTTTTGAGGGCGGAGTCGGCCGTTTTACATGCTTGCTGCCTCTGCTACAGTACAGGATGGTGGACCCTGCACACGGTGCTCTTGATGAGAGCTACACACCAGAGGATGAATCCCTGGAAGCACACTCGGTCTTCTCTGAGGAGGGAACAACGCGGCGGATGGAAAATGGGGTAGAGTGATGCTAGCTACACGTGTTCGCTCTACTTCAGCAGATCTTGTAGATCTAACAATATTCTGATTTTTCCGCCAGATGAAGAAACCTATCTCACGCCCGGTGCTTCCCTCTGTGACTATTGATGGGGGGTTGTCACCTGGTATGGGTATGTACAGCGCCACGCTGGACCGTGGTTACAGGACGACTGGTGTAGGCGACTACCCGACCGCCACAGTACCCAGAAACTACCACTACGGCCCCGTGGGAGGATACGATGACTATCGAGGGCCCCCGTCAGAAGCGTACACCAGCCTGAGCCGCGGCTCCCACATGGATGATCGTTACAGGTACAGGAACGCGGCTCGCTTGCATTTCATTTTCCTACAGATCCGCCTGACGGGTAAAGCAACTGAAACTTCTGGTTGATCAGCACATTCCAAAGGCAAAACTCCCCGTTTTGTTTCAATACTGAGACTCACACCAACTTCACGGAAATATCTTCAACTTTTCTAGATTATTACCGACAACGTTTGGCCACATTCTAACCAGAAGACCTCCACAGGACTTGGTGGTTCTGGATAATTAAAGAAATGTCTGACCCAGTTTAATTTTTACTGTTTTTCAGTTCCAAGTAAAGAGTGAACACTTTAAAGCGTTTAGCAGATGTTGTGGTTTGACTGATATAACTGTTTCCTCTTTTTTTGTTTTCCCTCCCTTCTGATGGTTCATGATGTGAATAATCAGCCAGAAACATCTGAGGTTTGCTTGTGGGCCACAAGATGACCTGGTGATAAGCTTCCGTAAACCCGATGAAGTGTCGCATGTGTTTTTGAGGGGAAGCAGAAGTTAGAGGCAGGGTTATGTAACCAGATAGCTTGCATCTGTATCTATTAACAACACTCACACACTTGGACGGGAAGGTTTACTTGCATCATCCCATCTCTTTTAGGGCTGTTGATGGCTACAGGACTCTGGATTCTGGTTACCGGGCTCCCAGTCGTCAGCAGCTAGACCCGTATGCCGCACAGCCCCAGGTGACTCAGAGGATGCGGGCTTTGGGCTCGGCTCTGGAGATGAGATATGGCCCTGGTCACTTCGGTTTGGAAGACGAGCAGCGCCGCATGGGGTACGACGACTACTTGGGGCCTCCACCGATGCACCCTGGAGGCTACGGTACCATGCCGCGGCTCGGTCCGTCCTCAGCGGGAATGGACAGACGCAGGCTCCGGTAAAGCCGTTAAACGTTCCTGCTGATTACGTGTCTGATTTAGGATTCTCTTCACTGTTGCTGCGTCCCTTGCTTCCTGCAGGAGCTGTGAGGACACTTTGGATGGTGCCATGGAAGGAGTTGACCCTTATACGTGGAGTGTTCCCATGACGATGGACCGGGGTAGCATGGCTTCTCTGGACAGCACGTTGATGAAGCCCCCTCCCTCTTCATGGAGACAACCAGAACTACCAGAGGTGATTGCCATGCTGAACTACCGCCTGGACCCAGTGAAGACTAACGCCGCCGCCTTCCTCCAGCATCTCACCTTCAAAAACGACAAGGTGACTAATTGCACGACGCCTGTCCAACAGCACTCTTCTACATCTTGTTTTTCTGAATTTTCTTACTTTGGGAAAAACATGAAAGCAGCTTGCTGATTCCTGTTTTCCAGGTAAAGTCGGATGTTCGTCGCCTCAAGGGTATTCCAGCCTTGGTATCAATGTTGGACCACCCCAGCAAAGAGGTCCATCATTCAGCCTGTGGAGCACTGAAGAACATTTCATATGGACAGGATGCAGACAACAAAATAGCTATTAAAAATTGCGATGGAGTACCAGCTTTGGTCAGGTTACTGAGGAAAACCCACAATCAGGACCTCACAGACACCATCACAGGTATCCCCGCTGGCGGGTTCCTACACAAGGAGCTTCTTTGTTATTTTTGTTTCCACATTTAATCCAAACATGCATCCAGGAATACCCACGATTATCATTTCTTCTCAGGCACACTGTGGAATCTCTCTTCTCACGATTCGGTAAAGATGGAGATTGTGGACCACGCTCTTCATGCCCTGGTTGACGAGGTGATCGTCCCTCACTCAGGCTGGGAGAGAGGCGGCAGCAGCGGGGTAGAAGAGAGCTGCAAACCACGACATCTGGAGTGGGAGACCGCCTTGACCAACACCGCTGGCTGCCTCAGGTATGGGAGGGGATGGAAAGTGGAGGGATAAAAGAAAAGGGGAAACATACAATTATGTTCTTAACTTTCCCCTCTCCAACAGGAATGTCAGTTCAGAGCGGAGAGAGGCCAGGCGAAAGCTTAGAGAATGCTCCGGACTGGTGGATTCACTCATGTACATCGTCCAGTCACAGATCAACCGCCAGGAAGTGGACAACAAGGTGTGTTTTCTTAAAATAAAAACACTTAAATGTTTCAAGTCCCCACATCTTTATTTGCTGTTACCTTCTTCCTGTAGCTGGTGGAGAACTGTGTCTGCCTCCTGAGGAACCTGTCATATCACGTTCACAGCGAAGTCCCCGGCTGTGAACAGTACGCAGAGAGCCTGCCTGTGAGCCAGGGCCCGGCTCAGGCTCACAAAGGAGGCTGTTTTGGGTCGCGAAAGGGCAAAGGTCAGTGTTGGATCTTACAGCTGAGAGTTCCACCGTGTCTGAGATGATTTATTGTTGAAAGAACAGCAGCTGCTGGATGGCTTGAGCTTACTGGTGGTGGACGCACCTGGTGTTGTTTTTCACACTTGACCACTTGTTCTTCTCCTCCCTGCTCCTCCCATCTCTCCACCCTTCATGCCTTCCTCTCTCTGCTGTGTTTAGATGAGTGGTTTTCCAAAGGTAAGATTGTCCTCTTGCGGTTCTCGTGGATGTTTTACCTCATCACTTATTTTACTAACAGAAGTTAACTGCTGCAGAGACACAAGGTTCTTGACCTGAGTGTACATGCAGCTCATGAGCATGGTCATTTTCACTGAAACAATCCTGCATGCAGATGGTGCTCGTTCTTCTGGTTGTACAGAAATGCCATCCTCACTCATTTCACCCTGCAAGCCATTATTCATTGTGCATGTGCAGGTGTGTGTAAATTTATTTTCTTTCTTGCAGCAAAGAAAAACGGAGATGATGGAGGTGGAAATCCAATAGAAATTCCAAAGAGGACAACACCTGCCAAAGGTGTGGTTTAACTTTTATATGTCACATAGTGAAATGGCCTTTATTTGATTGGTTTTTTGTAGATGGCCTTTTAGTCTAGGGCTGCCACAGTTGGTCGACTCATCACGTCAACAAACATAATAGTTGACTTTTAATTGGTCGTTAGCGTCGCTGACTAGGTTATTTTTTAGCATAGCTATACATTAGTGTTGCTGACCTAGCAACCGTCGCGACCTACCTGTTCAATAGAGTCGCTGACTCGGCTGATTGTTAGTGTAGCTAAGATGGCTGTTCCAGGAAATGAGGAAGTTACAATTTAATAAATATTAATTTGTTATTTTTTTGCTCTTTAAGATTAACATCTGCAGATTTTTAATTGGTGGTGCTATTTCATGTGAGTGCTATGATGGGGTTAAAAACCTCTTATTACTATGTTTGCTTTAGACATTTCACTATATTGTTGTTTTATTGTGCCCGTTTCTTATTTTTGCACCAAGTACTGCACTGCAGCAATTTCCTAATGTGAACCTGCTCACAGATACTGCAATAAAACCCTTATGATTCTGTAATAAATAATAATTTTTTTTGTCCTTTATAGTCTGTTTGAGATTTGGCTCTCGTCTTGGAGCACCTGCATCTGCTCTTTATCTTTTTGCCTGTTTTCAGCCTAAATGTTTGTCAGATGCTGTAAATCCAATCCAACAATCATCTCTCTCTGTTGTCCTCAGGTTATGAGCTCCTCTTTCAGCCAGAGGTGGTTCGTATCTACACATCACTGCTCAAGGAGAGCAAGAACCCCTCTGTGCTGGAGGCTGCTGCCGGTGCCATCCAGAACCTGTGTGCTGGCCGATGGAGCGTTAGTATCTGTTTGTTTTTTAAACTACAGAATTCTACCTGTTGAATAAAATTCAAACAACCCAATGTCTTATTCTTGAGGCATTTTGATCTATATTTGTTCCGACAGATCTATTTACCCCTTGGTGTTTGTGTGTGTGTGTGTTAGTATGGTCGGTATATCAGGGGCAAGATGCGCGAGGAGCATGGCCTCCCCTTGCTGGCAGAACTGCTCAACTACAATAATGACCGTGTCATTCGTGCTATGTCTGGAGCCATGAGGAACCTTGCCACAGACAACCGGAACCGTGAACTATTAGGTCTGTGTACTTTTAACAAAAAAGATGCCGCCTTATCTCTAGGTCAGACTGCTGATGCAGTGTTTTTGCCCTGCAGGTTTACATGCTGTGCCTCACCTGGTGGCCAACCTGCCTGGAGGCCAGAACCAGCCGGGGCGCGCCCTGTCAGAGGAAACCGTGGTTTCACTACTGAGCACACTGGCCGAGGTGTTGGGCACCAATGTGGAGTCGGCCAAGATTCTCAGAGAAAAACAAGGCATTGAGAGGCTGATGCTTATTATCAAAGATGGGTAAGTGCTTTCTGAACACATCTCAACTGTCTTTTGTTTGCTTTAGGGATGCACGATTTATTGGCATCAGTATCGATATAAGTCGATTATTTTTCTTCTTACTGTATCGGTCCAATATGCAGGGGTAGAAATCGGTCCAATATGCAGGGGTAGAAATTAACTACACAACCAACTGGCCAGTCGGGCCGGTAAGACAGAAAAGTTACCGGCCCCGCTGGTCATCTGCTAAAACAAGTAAAAAATCACAACAACAACAAAAAAATACAATAAAAACAGAATTAAAAAAGGTGAGTTTTTTTTTTCAAACAGACATTTTAAGATAAATTAAAAATAAATAAAAGAAAATAAAGAAAGAAGCAAAAGATGACAGTTAAAAATTTTTTTTTTTAAAGATTTAAAAAATGCAAAGATGACTTACTATACAAATCTCTTGGCAAATGGCTGCTTCCCACAGGGTTCAAGTACAGGTTCGATCATATCACGGTTTTCAGTAACTGATCGGATCGTTTTTCGGATCAGCAGAAAGAAAAGGAAACAAATAACTTTGCTCTTTATTATGTACAGTGGGGCAAAAAAGTATTTAGTCAGCCACCGATTGTACAAGTTCTCCCACTAAAAATGATGACAGAGGTCAGTAATTTACATCATAGGTACACTTCAACTGTGAGAGACAGAATGTGAAAAAAAAATCCATGAATTCACATGGTGGGATTTTTAAAGAATTTATTTGTAAATCAGGGTGGAAAATAAGTATTTGGTCACTTCAAACAAGGAAAATCTCTGGCTCTCACAGACCTGTAACGTCTTCTTTAAGAAGCTTTTCTGTCCTCCACTCGTTACCTGTATTAATGGCACCTGTTTGAACACATTATCTGTATAAAAGACACCTGTCCACAGCCTCAAACAGTCAGACTCCAAACTCCACTATGGCCAAGACCAAAGAGCTTTCGAAGGACACCAGGAAAAGACTTGTAGACCTGCACCAGACTGGGAAGAGTGAATCTACAATAGGCAAGCAGCTTGGTGTGAAAAAATCAACTGTGGGAGCAATTATCAGAAAATGGAAGACATACAAGACCACTGATAATCTCCCTCGATCTGGGGCTCCACGCAAGATCTCATCCCGTGGGGTCAAAATGATCATGAGAACGGTGAGCAAGAATCCCAGAACCACACGGGGGGACCTGGTGAATGACCTGCAGAGAGCTGGGACCACAGTAACAAAGGTCACCATCAGTAACACACTACAACGGCAGGGAATCAAATCCTGCAGTGCCAGGCGTGTTCCGCTGCTGAAGCCAGTGCATGTCCAGGCCCGTCTAGGGATGATTACCGAATTCGGTACTTTTTAAGGTACCGACCGAATTCCACAGTACCGACCGAGCACCGATTCACTTCATTTCAAACAGTGCCTCGTTTCGGTACCCGTCCTTCACAACGAGAACTTGCCTAGACAGCTGCGCATGCGCAAGAGCGTTATGTCGTCGGCCGCTGCGAGCGTGTTGTAAACAGAGCAGCATGGTAGAAGGAACGTACGCTAAAGCTTGGGTCCACTTCACTAAATGTGATGGGTAACTGGGTGATGATGAAACCAGCGACAGACAATGATCTAAGTGAGACATCCTCATCTCAATCTGCTCCGGTAGGCAAATAAAATGTTTAAGATAACGTTAGCTTGATTTGTTAGCTCCCGTTACGCTAATGGTGCGTTCGCTTTCTCCTCGGAATTCCGAATTCCCGACTAGAAGAACATGAATGCGCTCTAAAGTTTGGCTTCACTTTACTAAATGCGACGGGTGATCGGGTGAAGATGAAACCAGCGACAACGATCTAAGTGTGAGGCATCATCTTTTTAATCTGCTCCAGCAGTTAAATAAACTTTTTAAGATAACGTTAGCTTGATATGTTAGCTTCCATTGCCACCATTGTTATCAGCTAATGGTGCGTTCGCTTTCTCCTCGGAAATTATAACTTCCCAGTAGGAAAAATCAAATGAAAAAGGACGGCAAAAGGAATGAAGATACACAGTAAATTTAGTTCACAGTAAAGATGTTTGCTTCAGTTTAATTATCAGCTTATAAAACTACAAGGACGATGTTAAAATACAAACAGTTGAATGTTATTTATCGTGATATTTATCAAATATCGTTATATATTGAGAAAAATATATATTTAATTATAAAAGAGAATTAAAATAATAAACACTCAAAAGTATCGAAAATTGGTACTGGTATCGATTCGTAGGTACCGGGAATTAGTACCGAATCGATTCAAATGTCAAAGGTACCCATCCCTAGGCCCGTCTGAAGTTTGCCAGAGAGCACATGGATGATACAGCAGAGGATTGGGAGAATGTCATGTGGTCAGATGAAACCAAAGTAGAACTTTTTGGTATAAACTCAACTCGTCGTGTTTGGAGGAAGAAGAATACTGAGTTGCATCCGGAGAACACCATACCTACTGTGAAGCATGGGGGTGGGAACATCATGCTTTGGGGCTGTTTTTCTGCTAAGGGGACAGGACGACTGATCCGTGTTAAGGACAGAATAAATGGGGCCATGTATCGTGAGATTTTGAGCCAAAACCTCCTTCCATCAGTGAGAGCTTTGAAGATGAAACGCGGCTGGGTCTTCCGACACGACAATGATCCCAAACACACCGCCCGGGCAACAAAGGAGTGGCTCCGTAAGAAGCATTTGAAAGTCCTGGCGTGGCCTAGCCAGTCTCCAGACCTCAACCCCATGGAAAATCTGTGGAGGGAGTTGAAAGTCCGTGTTGCTCGGCGACAGCCCCAAAATATCACTGCTCTCGAGAAGATCTGCATGGAGGAATGGGCCAAAATACCAGCTACTGTGTGTGCAAACCTGGTAAAGACTTATAGTAATCGTTTGACCTCTGTTATTGCCAACAAAGGTTATGTTACAAAGTATTGAGTTGAATTTTTGTTATTGACCAAATACTTATTGTCCACCCTGATTTACAAATAAATTCTTTAAAAATCCTGCCATGTGAATTCATGGATTTTTTTTTTACATTCTGTCTCTCACAGTTGAAGTGTATCTATGATGTAAATTACTGACCTCTGTCATCATTTTAAGTGGGAGAACTTGCACAATCGGTGGCTGACTAAATACTTTTTTTTGCCCCACTGTAGAAGTGCAACATTTTCTGCTCAATTAGAAACTTGCTATAAAAGCAGGAGTTGCAGAGGGGTCCGATTGCTGATTAAATGTTATAACGGCTTGCCCTCAGAAAACACGCTCTCCCTTTGTGTTCAGCTTTCACTCATCTCCTCGCCTTTCTAATGCGCATTTTATTTTTCTTTCGTTCTCTTTTACAGATTTGTCCCCAACAATAGTTACAGGTCCCACCACATTTCACGGGACACTATGTGGTGAATGAATCTAGGTGGATGGAGTGTGAGGTGTGATGATGATTGAATGGTGTGTGTGCTTATCAGAACTTGTATCTAGAAGAACTGAGTTCTGGGTGTGAAAAGGATTTGGTTTGCATTAAACTAGAAAGTTGGCTCTTATCAAAACGACATCAGACGCAATCATGCTGTGTCTACCTCACCCTTTCTTTGGAGACCCTCTTCGCGGATCCGGAGGTCAGGGAGGTCGGATGACCTCTGGGCACCGAGGTTCAGTAGATTAACCGCAACACCGACTTCTCCGTTCCAGAGATGTCACCAGGCACACAGGTTGGAACTAGTTTGCGTCTAGAGCAGCTGTTTCTGAATAGCTGAAGGAACCGTTTTGCTGTGTCACTGCAGGCAGCTTTTAGCTTGTCAAAGTGCTCTAGGTTAAAGAGGTTTTGCTTCAGATGGCCGGTCCGAAGCTTCTCAAGAACTCACAAGAACTAGAACTGACTCACGGTGAAGTGAGCTCTGGTTTAATGATCATCATATTTAGATTTTCTAACAAATCAGAATTTGACATGTAAAAAGGGTTTTTACCAACAAACCTCAGAAAACGCGCCTCGCGTCAGATACAGGAGTTCTGATTGGTGGAACAGAAAGCAATGTATCATGATATTAGCTTAACCTTGTCATCGTCACGTGTCTGAGTGTGTGAGCTGTCAGGAGATAGTGATTCACTTGTTAAATCTAAAATTACTGATCATACCATAATAATATTCATTTCAACCACAGTAATTTAAGCACAGATTAATCAGAACATTTTATTAATCATATAACATTTGTTCAGCCATATTATTATTTAATGATTATTTAACTTATGAGTTGTCAAAGTTCCTCTTACATGAGAGTGAGCAATCCTGTGGTCTTATCAAAAGAAGGCTTTGTTTGGGAACACAGGCTGACATCTTGTTGCCCCTGAAATGTCACCAAGCACTGCAGTATCCTTCTGCCTTGTTGGAAGAATGTAAAATCCACTTTAGAGGATGGAATTAGGTCTGTAGTTGACCGGTGGCATGTAGGTGAAACTGACCGTTTCTGGACGTTACAACTCTCTGATGAAGAAATTTACTCATCCAGCCAGAGAGATTGATGCTGGTACTGCACGAGAGGGAGTGAAGTTTGTTTCACCATGTTTGGGACACAGTGGATGTAGAAATTATGGTAAAAACATCGCTAATGTAACACGCGCAACGGCAAGGTAAAAAAAGCAGCAAAAAAATCCGCAGATGCGTTCGTTATATAAGGGTGTCAAAGTGTGCCACATAATGAAAATATTCTTTCCCTTGGATTAAATGATCATTATATTCTAGGGAAGGACGTTCCTGAAGCTGTACAAGCCCAAAGAAACCTCACAAATATGGCTAAAAAGCATTTCTCTTGAGTGATGCTGATATTAATGTAAAAAAATACAATATAAAAAAAACAATGCAATGAATGTTTCTAAAGAGCTTTATATATGTATATATGAATTAAAAATTTCAAAATATGATGATTCTAAATTACCTGAAAAAAATAAGGAGGAACATCTGTAAAAATTATCCATTCCAATATGGCAGCCTGGTGCGTCATAATATGCAAATTAGATGAGTGAATTTGCTCCAAACACAAACTTTGGGTTCTACTGAAGATTTGTCATTTACAGTTTACCTTTATCTCTAACCATTTTCAAGCTACAACCTTTTGAAATAGTCATGTCAAAATTGAATATTTTCTTGGAAAAACTCTGGCATCCAACGTGTTAACAAATGATCTGGATATTTTTTTCTAGATGTGTATCAGTTTCGGAAGGAAAGGGGGTGATGATGCATAATTGTTTGATAATATGACAGTGATAGTAATAATCTCAGAAGCAATAATGTGTGTGGTGTGAGTGTATAGTAATTAGGGCTTGGACGATAATCAATTAATCGTACGATAGATGAAAGTGAACTCAATAATTTTTCCCGCCTCAATATATCGAGGTTAAGAAATGTACAACTCTATTATTATGATTATTATTTATTATCATTATTGAATCGCAGTTTAGGTTGTTGACACTGGATAGGCCAGTGTTTTATTGTTTTGGAGCGACCGGGTCTATCTTATTGTTTTTGGTGCAATATTTTCTAACAGTGAGTCCTTTTTTATTTGTTTTTATTTATGTAGAAGTTCTTTGTGACATTTGAGTGTTAAATTAAGGTTTAAGTGTTGCATTTTATAGGGTGTACTTGCAATATGATATATTAACATTACATAGGTGGTTATTTTGGTCTTGACAATGTCGTCGATAATTTGTTGGACAATGTATCGTCCAACAAATTGTGTTATTGTCCCAGGCCTAATAGCAATATATAATTCTTATATTTTGGGTGTTTATTGGCAATAATCTGGCAAAATGATGTTGCGACGTGAAATGATATTTGTTTTTTGATTTTCTGAAATGAATTGGAAAAAATTGGGCGTGGTGCCTCAAGTGTGTCGTGTGTTTTTGTTGCTCTGAGTGAAGGTGGGAAAAACTGCTGCCACCTAGCAGTCTGGGCTTGAATTGCACCACAAGAAATAAATATTGTAAACGTAAACAAAAAGTTCATGCAGTATGTTTTTACAAACTGATTCAGTAACATTACACAAAATAGCACAACATTTCCGTGAATTGACACTATTTATATTCCTTCTTATATCGATGTAATATCAGTAAATATCAGTAATTGGGTATAACAGTGATATTAACCTTTCACTGCCGTAGACAACTTTAGTCGTCAATTGCATTTTTCAACGGGGCAGTCTTGGGAACGAGCTTTCGCCACTTTAGAGTAAACATCACACCTCTAAATCTCATCTTCATCCGTGTGTGTCACACGTCACATGATCCTGAAGCAAACACTCCATGCATTAGGAGATGGTTTTGGGACAGCGCTATGCCTAAAGCTAACTGGAAAAGCTGCTGCAGCTCACACTTCAACAACAGATTTTGTAAGAACAGAAAAGGCTAGAGACGCGCCGATTCTTCCTGATGTAATTAGTGAGTCTGTCTTTGGGTAGTTTGTTGTTAACGTGGTCATAAAGCACCATATTCTGACACTCTTCAAACAAACAGAATGGTCAGAACCGCTGGCAGTCAGGAGCTTTCTGTTCAGAAAACGGCAGACAGTGAATGAGTTGATATTGACTATCGGCCCATATTTTCATATCCGTGCATCCCTAGTTTTTGGGGTATTTTTTATTTTTTTGGTACTTTACCAATGTAGCGTTCTCTAATGAGGAGACGGCGTTTATATTTTTGGGTGTTTTGCAGGAAGAGCTCGGAACGTGAGGTGAGAGCAGCACGTCAGGTTCTGCAACTCGTCTGGGCTCACAAAGAGCTTCGTCGGCCGCTGGAGAAGGACGGCTGGAAGAAAGCGGACTTCATCAGTCCGATCCCCAGCAGCACCACCAACGGCCCGAGCACCAGAACCAACGGCACCTATGAGGACAGCACCGTACCCCTGCTGGACAGAGGTACCAGCATCAGTTATGCATGAGAAGTGGTTCTCTTTCTTAACATTCGTTTCGATGTCTCACTATGGGATACGCCACTCCGCGGATTCCTCAGAAGCACTTATCTCAATACGCCAATCCTGATTGGCCAGTGACCGTGACGTACGCGTCACCTGCTACTATAAGTAACAAGCGTCCCAACGCACGCACCATTAAATCACCTCTTCTCGCTTCGGTGGTCGCTTATCTCTAAGGTAAGTTAACTCAACTGTTCACAGACGGAGCCAGCTAATATTCTCTCCGTCGCCGAACGTTAACTTACCGTCCTGTCCTGACCTTCACCATAGGTTCGGGGCATAACGAGCAGCTTCACACTCCAGTGCATCTGTTCGTTCTCTGCTAACACACCAGTTAGCCAGCATGGAAGCCGCTCCTCCCACCAGAGGAGTCGACGGCGCAGGAGCTCGCCTCTGTACCTGTGGGAACAAAATCTCAAGCAAAGACCCGCACAAGGTCTGCTCGAGCTGCCTCGGGCTGGAACACGCCCAGCTGGCATTGGAAGTCCCCGGGTCATGTGAGAGCTGCGCTTCCTTCACCCTGAAGAGCCTTCGCCGGCGGCTAGCGCGCCAAGCTAGCCTGTCGGAGAAGGACCCTTGCCTGCCGGCCCCTGGGCCACCGCCTGGGGACGCCAGCGAACATGTCCTCCCGGAGCCGGAACCGTGTGCCGAACTCAGCTGGGGCTCACAGCTCGAACCGGCCGGTCCGAGCCACCCCGTCGAGGACGTGTTGGAGTTGGACTACGGAGACGACGAGGACACCTCGGAACTCCTCATTTCAGAGGAGGACGAGGATGACGACGTTTTTCTCCCCATCGCTCAGGCCTCCATGCCTAGCTATCCGTCCTCTCCCAGGGATGGTGCCGCTTCTCCGGCCGCCCACCTGGACATGCAGTCAGTCTGCCGACGCGCTGCGACCAGGCTCAACATCCCTTGGCCCACCGTGGTCACTGAGGCTGTCAGATCCCGCTACGAGGGAAAGAAGCTGCCTCAGGCCACAAGGGCGGCAAAGCCTCTCCTTCCTGCCTTCCCGGAGCTTCTCCAAGAAGTTAGGTCCTCCTGGGACAAACACCCTTTCAGCTCCAGGTCTCCTGTCCAAGGAGCCTCCTCGCTGGACTTCGAGGGAATGGAGAAGGCTGGCATGCTTCGCATGCCGCTGACGGAACCGCTGGTTGCAGCACACCTGCACCCACGGCTCTCGGCAACTTCCTCCAGGCCTCCCGCTCTCCCTGCGAAGGCGGACCGCTTCCAGTCGGCGCTGAACGAGAGGGCGTACAAGGCTGCCGCCATCTCGGTCCGAGCTTTGAACGTCTCCTCCATGCTCTCGGCGTACCAAGCCGAGCTCTGTGAGGACATGAATACGAAGCCGGACCCGGAGGTGTGGGAGAAAATCACCGTACTGACCGACATCTGCCTGCGTGTGCAGCGCTGCGCGGTCCAGGCTACGGCTAAAGCTATGGGCATGATGGTGCTCCAAGAACGTGCACGATGGCTGAACCTCACCAACCTCTCTGATAGAGAGAAGGAGGATATTTTGGACATGCCAATCGTGCCTGAAGGTATTTTTGGCTCTGCCCTGGCATCAATGCAGCAACGGTGTGAGGCCAAAAAGAAAGAGGATGAAGCCCTTCATCTCTGCCTTCCCCGTAAGCCCTCACCGGCGCTGCCGGCTCGGCCGAACCTTCCTCGGGCGGCTGTCCGAGCCCAGCCTCAGTTCCGGATCCCAAAGCGCCCGAAGCCTCAAGCTGTCCAACCAGCTCCTTCGGGCTCAGCGCTTCGACCAGTTTGGCCTCAGAGGTCCGGCAACCAAGCCGCTCCGCCGTCGGGACAATCCACCCAACCCGGCGGTCAGCAGGTGAGGAAGAAGAAGAGGGCAGCCTGACTTTCCCTCCCGACGCTGCAGCTGGCGGTTCCCCGTTCGCCAGCTCCTCCTGTTCGATGTTGCCATGGTGCCTCCTCCCCCCCCCCCCCCCCCCCCCCCCTCACGGAACCCCTCAGGCAGAGTCCCCGAGCGGTCCAGGGTGGGGCCAGGACGTGCAGCCGGCTGTGCCGGCTCAAAACACACGTCACAAGCACTCACATTGTTTTTCACAAACATGTCACGCTCAAGTAGCATTAAAACGTTCGCTGACGCATCCAGACTAAATGTCAAGGGCGCAGCAAAAATCAATAAAAATGTTACCCATGAGCGGAGCCAGGCGGGGGCGGCTCCTGGCGGACTTACCCGCCAGCCACGGGTCGTCCCCGTACGCCTGGGCCGTCAAAGCACAAAGCCCCCGCGCATGCGCAGTGGTTGCCATGAGCACCGCTGCCCCACAACCTCTGGAGGGAGCTGCTGCTCCGTGTGTCATGGCTGTGTCACCGCTCTCCACTCACATGGAGGAATGGACAGCGGTTCCTGCTTCACGTTGGGTGCTGAGAACTATTTCGAGAGGTTACAGGCTCCAATTCGCCTCAGTTCCTCCTCGATTCTCCGGCGTAGTGTTCTCCCACGCCCAGGGGACGTCAGCTCACATCCTTCAGGGAGAAATCTCCTCGCTGCTGGAGAAGGGAGCGATATGCATTGTGCCTCCCGATCGGTCTCAGAGCGGTTTCTACTCCAGGTACTTCCTGGTCCCGAAACGGGGAGGGACCGGGATTCGCCCGATCCTGGATTTGAGGGCCCTGAACCGATGCCTCAGAAAGTACAGATTCAAAATGCTCACGCTCTCATCCCTTTTGCGTCTGATTCACCAGAACGACTGGTTCACCTCAATCGACCTGAGGGACGCATACTTTCATATTCCCGTGTACCCTCCACACAGGAAATTTCTGAGGTTTGCCTTTCAGGGAGTGTGTTACGAATACACCGTGCTCCCATTCGGCCTCTCGCTGAGCCCGAGGGTGTTTGTCAGGTGTACGGAGGCAGCGATCGCCCCTCTGAGAGGGAGGGGCATTCGGCTGGCCACGTATTTAGACGACTGGCTCCTGCTGGCACGGTCCAGAGAGGAGGCAGCGTCAAACACGCTGGTTGTGATCCATCACTTGTGTGGTCTGGGTTTCAGAATAAACTGGCAGAAAAGTGCTTTACTCCCCTCCCAGAAAATAACCTTTCTAGGTCTGAATCTGGACTCAGGGGCGTTCACGGCCCGTCTCTCGACACCGCGCGTGGACGCGCTCTCGCTCTGCCTGGCGCGCTTCCGCCTACACAGTTCGGTGCGGTTTGCGTTATGCCTCAGGCTTGTGGGTCTCATGACGTCGGCTATTTCAGTGGTACCACTCGGCCGTCTACACATGAGAGATTTTCAAGGCTGGGTGGCTTCTCTGGGTCTCTCTCCAGTGCGCCACAGAGCGCGCAGGGTGACGGTCTCTGCAGTGTGCGTCGCGGCGCTCCGCTGTTGGCGTCACCCCTCCCTCTTGGCACAGGGGGTGCCTTTGGGGTTGGTTCTCGTGAGGAAAGTGGTCACGACAGATGCGAGCCTGTCAGGTTGGGGGGGGCTCCTGGATGGTATCTCTGTCAGGGGTGTGTGGAGCAGAGCTCTGGGGGACACACATAAATTATCTGGAACTCCTCGCGGTCTTTCTGGCCCTGAGGCGCTTCCTGCCTTTTCTCTCCGGCCATCATGTCCTAGTGAGAACAGACAACACCACGACTGTGGCTTATATAAACCACCAGGGGGGGCTGCGCTCCATGCGGTTACACACGCTGGCACGCAGACTGATCCTATGGTGCAGCAGGCATCTCCTCTCAATCAGAGCCACCCATGTCCCAGGTGTTCTGAATCGGGGGGCGGATCTGTTGTCCAGAGGGACACCCCTGTACGGGGATTGGAGCCTGCATCCAGCTGTGTTGGAACAGATTTGGATCCGGTTCGGCACAGCCGTAGTGGATCTTTTTGCCTCCAAGGAGAATGCTCAGTGTCCACTGTTTTTCTCCCTGCGCGACCGAGACGCTCCACTCGGCGTGGACGCGCTGGCGCACGACTGGCCACGGGGACTGCTTTACGCTTTTCCCCCAGTGGCCCTGATACCACCCACCTTGCTGAGGGTACGAACCCAGCGCCACACTCTCATTCTGGTGGCCCCATACTGGCCAGCCATGCATTGGGTGGCGGACATTTTCCAACTCCTGGAGGGCCAACCTTGGAAACTGCCGCTTCGCAGGGACCTGGTGTCCCAAGCGGGAGGCTCGATCTTCCACCCTCATCCAGAACGGCTGGCCCTGTGGGCCTGGCCCCTGAGGGGTGCGGGCTAGTGTCAGCAGAGCTGCCCCAGGCAGTCATTCGAACCATTCAGAATGCTAGGGCCCCCTCCACTAGGTCCCTATATGACTGTAAATGGAGGGTGTTTGAAGCCTGGTGTCAGGGCAGGGAGGTCTCACCCTTCCAATGCCCGGTGAACGTCATTCTTTCTTTCCTGCAAGACTTGTTGGATGGGAAGAAGGCTTTCTCCACCATTAAAGTGTACCTAGCAGCCATTTCCGCCCGACACTTGGGTTTTGGGAAGAAATTGGCAGGTCAACACCCCCTGGTGTGTAGCTTCATGAGGGGCGCGCGCAGGCTTCTCCCTGTGTCTCGACCCCTGGTGCCCTCATGGGATCTGTCCTTGGTGCTGTCGGCCCTCTCCGGGCCTCCATTTGAACCTATGGACAGCCTGGACCTTAAGATCCTGTCTCTTAAGGTGGTGCTACTCCTGGCTTTGGTATCTGCAAAGCGAGTTAGTGACTTACAGGCTCTCTCTGTGCACCCATCCTGCACCCAGTTTGCACCCGGTGACATGAAGGTGTCCTTGAAGCCCAACCCTGCCTTTGTGCCTAAGGTAGTGGACTCCTTTTCTCCTATTATCCTCACAGCTTTCTACCCACCACCCTTCTCCTCTCCTGAGGAGGAGCGGTGGCACAAGCTGTGTCCGATTCGCGCGCTCAAGGAGTATGTGAATCGGACGGACAACCTTCGCAGGGGGGACCAGCTTTTTGTGTCATGGGGTGGGCCTCGTAAGGGGAAACCCGTCACAAAGCAGCGGCTTTCCCACTGGATTGTGGAGGCTATTTCTATGGCTTACTCCTGTCAGGGCATTCAGGCACCTGTTGGGCTCAGGGCCCATTCTACTAGCGGCCTGTCTGCCTCTTGGGCCCTTTTTCGGGGGCTGTCAATCCAGGAGATTTGTGCTGCAGCAAGTTGGGCTTCTCCACTTGCATTTGCACGCTTCTATAAGCTTGATGTTTCGGTCCCTGCAATGACTCACACGATTCTGAGTGTGGGGTCTTTGGCGGGCCAAGACGTATCCCTGTAGGTTGGTGATTGCTGGATAAGCTGTCTGGCAATACGGGAGTCTCCATATCCCATAGTGAGACATCGAAACGAATGTTAAGAAAGAGAACTTTAGGTTACTGTCGTAACCCCGGTTCTCTGAGTAACATGAGTGAGATGTCTCACCAGACAACCTTTCTTGCTGGGCGAAGCGAGAAGAGGTGTTTATCTTGAATGGTGCGTGCGTTAGGACGCTTGCTACTTATAGTAGCAGGGGGACGCGTACGTCACGGTCACTGGCCAATCAGGATTGGCGTATTGAGATAAGTGCTTCTGAGGAATCCGCGGAGTGGCGTATCCCATAGTGAGACATCTCACTCATGTTACTCAGAGAACCGGGGTTACGACAGTAACCTAAAGTTTTCGATCTTCTGCCTTTGCTTGAATCATGATTGTTTGGTTTCTCAGGAGAGAAGAGGGACGTGATTCCACTGAATGACCTTGGATCGGGTCAGTACTTTAATCTGCTGCTTGTTATCTATCAGTCGCTGTTCAAACCTGATAAATGTTTATTTTCCCCCCTACACAGAGGCCTACTCTACACTGGACCAGAGGGAGAGGAGACACACTCTGGATGAACCCACAGACACCTTGCAGGTCCTTGAACTCACTGCTGCATCTGCTCATAGCTTGACTAACTCCTAACTGACACAAATATTTTCTCACTATAATCTTGTAACCCAACAGTCACTGACACTTTTCTCACACTCACTTCCTGTTCACCTTCTCTCTCTCTTTCTCTGGTTGTCTCTCAGCGAGGGGTGTATGGGGGCAGAAAGGGCTCCCTGCCTCTGTTGGACTCCTACGATGGTTAGCCCCATCCCCTCCCCCTCTACCCCCCTCTGCATGTAATGGCATGGTATGTCCAACTGACCTCTAATCCTGCATGTTCTCTATGAGCCGTGGTTATTTTGGTTTCTCGTGTACGTGTGTATATAAATGTTTTCTTAACTCCAGACCCTCGGGTGAGCTGGTCTGTGTCCACAGTGGTGTTGTGAGACACATGCAGACGTTAACTCGTTTTAACTCTAACATGTTCTCTGCTGTACTCGTTGTTCTAGTCTGCTGCAACGTGTTGCGTGTGCGTTGTGGTTCCTCTGGTGTTTCAGTCTGGATTTGAAAACGCAGAACACAGATTTAAGCAGCAATAACGGTTGTGGAGAGGTGTTGTCACAATACCAAAACCTTTACCTGTAGCTTCTCTACCAGTAGAGCAGGTTATGTTGGTGGTTATTTCACTGTGTAAAGAAATGATGCAAATGTAGATTTTTAGTGTTTGTTTTAAAGCCTCCACTCAGCTTTGTCTTATGGCAATTCAGTCCTTTCAGCACCCTCTAGTGATTTTGCATGGAACTACAATACCATAGTAGTTTTTGGCTTTGACTAATAATCAGATTTTAAGCTAACATCGTCTTCAGACGATCTTCCCAGCTTCCTTTTTAGGTCTGATTTGTGGCAGAATTGTCTGCATCATATCAGCTGTTTTTCAAGTTAATTTGGATCACGTCACCGGTGGGAAGAGAAGAAATAAAATCAGTATTCCATTGGGCTGTGACTGCTGGCAAAACATTTCAACGGCATTCATGAGGGAGTTTTTAAAGTTACTCCACTCTGTGGCTCTCACTTTTCTTCTGAATCGATGTTTCTCTAGTCTTTCTCTTGAAATAGTCTGTCATGACGGGCCTCTGGAACACTTCCCAGTTGGGTTTCTGTGAGTCAGCAGGGCGAGAAGACTGATACAACTTTGGGTTTCTGGCATCATAAATGGTTCCCTTTGTTGCTAAATTAGGAGGAGAAATTATTCACAATTTGTTTATTCTGTATCTTGTTGCCCAGCTCTATAAAGCTTATCGCTGAAGTGTCCGACACATCCGTTGACTCTAGGATAATCTCAGTTCGCTGTTGGAGTCGGTAAAGTTTGGTATTTGTGACAGCACTGGTGCACAACGTGCTGTATCATTTTCTTACTGAATACATTCATTTTTTCAAATTTTAATTAATGCTTTTTGCTGTTTCTCCAGAAAAACTGATAGTGTGTATCACCCAGACGGGGCCGGCGCCGCCCTACCACTGCTACTGAGGAGAGAAGCGGCAGAGCGTCTCCTCTCTTTAGCCTCCTCTGTCTCCACACAGATGGGATCAAAACATGAGGGGCTGGCATCCAAAGAGTTTAATGCAACACACACACACACGCACACACACTTATTTCAATTAACTGTAGCAGCAGAACTCTGTTTCACTTATAAATTATAATTGTCTTCTGTAAAGGCAGTTGCCTTTGACAATCATTTAACTTTCATTCTGCTTTTATCCCATTTGTTTTTGTTACTGTCAAAAGTAAAACCTTTGAATGGTGAAACATGGCTCCATCCTGATGGCAGATTTGTATTTAGACTTCTATGTCGGGTTTATACTGTATATAAAAGAAAACGGGATGACTGCATTAAGTTTTGGCTCACTAATTTAAACGGACCCTTTCCTGGGAGTGTTTGGAGGTCGAATGCACTGACAGGCTGCCTGTAGATAGAGAATGTTTATATAGGAGTTATTTTCCTGTCTAGAGTTATTTCCTGTGTGTTGGGATGAGCACAGGCCTGAAAGGCTCGGTGTGTGAGTGTGTGTATTTGTCAACACTAAACCTGTGGCTGTGTGTGTATTTTGTGTTAAAATGACCACGGACCTTTTTTTTTTTTCTCCCAGCGTGTCTATGTGACTCACCAGACACTTACCAGATGCCACAAGTTGTTTTGGGTGATTTCTTTTTGTATTGTTTCTTCCTGTTGCCTCTTTTTGTGTCTCATGTTCAACTTTAAAATGTTTCCTTTATTCCCCAGTTTAATAAAAATTAGTTTGTTTATTTTTTGTCTGGATTTAGCAGATCAGTACGTTTGAACCCGGTACTGTGATGTGAAGCTGTGAGGAAACGCTACTACATTCAAACCATTCCTGTCTCTACTGTAAAAAATTATTTTTTTTCTAAATTGGGATTAATTATCCTCCTGGAAATCTGCACGTTCTGTTTGTAGCGTTTGTTTCTTTGCTCTGAAGAGACTCGAGTTGTCACTGAATTTGGAGAGATGATGTTTTGAGGTCAGGAGGAGGACAAAAGCACACTTTAGTCTCTGAATTAGGATGTTTTTGTATTTTCCTCTTTGTGTCTGGTTTATTTCCGGGGTTTTTTTGTGGGTGAGAGCATTATGCATTTGTTCAACTTTCTAATTTATCTTTTACAGTTTTGAAAAGCAAAACAGACCAATCTTGTTTGATTATATTTCATAAACTCTTCTCACACACACACACAGATATTTGTACTGTTGCCTATCCATGTAAAATGATGACGTACATTCACGCCTGCCTTGTTGCTTTTTTCAGTGATGTATGTAAAACTGTTGTTTGTTTTTTTAAATAAAGATCTTTTCTCAGACTAGTTCTGGGACGGTGTGTGATGTGGCTGGGGGTGACATAAGGGAGGATTTCTATCACTAAACATTTCTAATTAAAGAGGACATCTGCCTTTGTAATTCCATCTCCTGGCACTTGCTTGGGCGGGTGACAAACTCTTGAACTTGACACTGTTTGATCTTCACACCTAACATTAGTCTGCTCCATTCAGTTTATTTACTTTTTAATGATCCAGGAAGTCATTCGTGACACCAGGCCTTAATTTCCCCCCCCACTTTCGTGTTAACACGTTAATCTAATTTAATTCCTGACGCTGTCGACATGACTAATGTCACACTTATGAACATAAAGTCACTGCAGCAGCATAAGGAAATGGGAGTGTTGATGTCGCCAGCCTCGCCGTTGTCTCCAGTTACGCGTAGACGTTGCGCAGGTTGTGACGGGTGTCTCGTTGTTTTCAGTATGCAGGTCCTCTGAAATGCATCCCAAACAGTTTGAGAAGCAGCTGCTGGATCTTTGAGTGCATGTCGGAGTGTAAAGGCTTGATTATAGTCGGGCTGAGATGTGTAATGTGTCGGCCACTGAGACTAAATTAATTTTACTGTTTGGGGCTGAGCCAGAGCACAGTTCACATCCTGGGGTTTAGCAGCATGGCAGATTTTATGTTCTCCAGCTTAATGGTTTTATTTGCCCAGTAGTTCGAGGTAAATCAAACTTGACTGATGATTTCGAGCATTTAAGACATGAAATTTCATGTTGGTGTGCTATTATTTTCTCTTCAGATTAGAAAAATGACATGACATCTATCTGGACCAGGGGCGGCTCCAGAAGGGTTCAAGGGTGGACCACTACCACCCTAATAGCAAGCTTGGACCACCCCCCCACTTCCCCGCCTCAGGCAGAGCCTAAACTTTTATAGGTACTGATTTTTATCTTTCAGCCTAAGGCCAGATGTGGAACCACAACATAACAGATCCAAACTTGACAAATGTGGGACAGAGACTACTTGACGTGGGACAACGTGAAATTCAAACGCAACAAAATGACGTGAAAACATAAGTAGAAAAAGAAACTTCTATTCTGCCTTTCAGCTCTAACATCCCTGTTACACACAATTATTATATTTCATGTCTGAATTCCACTTGAACAAGGAAACAGCTAAAGCTTTCAGACTATTTCACAGTTCCTCTCACATTACCACGACTTAGCTCAGGCTCTTTGGACCTTCTACAGTGGTTCTGAGCAGCTTCAGCTGAATGATTATAGAAGTCAGGAAATAAGAGTCCAAATCTTGCATTCTGAAGTGGTGGTTTACTAGTTCCTGGACACGGTGAACCAGTGTTTGTTTTACCCCTTGTACGACTTGCATGGCATTGAGTCCTACTGGAGAACAGTGCAAATGTATTGATTAAATGAAGTTTAGACAACTTTAAAGATTTTAATTAATGTGTAGAAGATAAATGGTTTTAGAAACTACCGGATAACTGAATTACCGAGCTCCACCAGGAAAATACTAAAACATCATTTGTTGCAAATTTAAAACAGGCCACGCACATAAATGACCAAACGAAAACCTTTAAAGTCTATAAAAGATGAACTTGATTATAAATAGAAGCTGTAATCTGATGTAGATGATAAAATCCTAGAACTCTGCAGTCACAGCTGTAATGTTAGAGCTGTGATTATTCACATGAACGTCTTCAAGCTGCTGCAGCACATTTCTGACATTCATGCATGTGTTTCTGTTAGTCAATGTATGCGTGTAGTATTTTAACCTGTGCTGCTGGCACACACACACACACACACACCCTTAACTCAGAGATCACCAAATGTAGCGGGACCCCCTCAGCCCCCCTCCCTCTGTACCGGTGTCCTGTCATTGGATGTCAGATCTATTTATGGTTCCACTGCCGCTCTTCATTTCTCCGCTCTGTGAAGCTCAAAGAGAAGCAGAAACGTTTAACTCCACAGCTAGGAAATCCGAGGGCAAGAACATCCCAGAAGGGCCGCTCCACGAGAGGAATGGCTCGTTTTTGAGGGATTTATTGGTGGATTTGTTTCAGCAGGGCCTCTGGAGTTGTACCGTCCATGCAGGGAAGGCACGTGTTTGTCTTCATTCTCCACAACGGTCTGGTTAATCAGATAAAAGTGAGTACAAACTGATCAGGTGGGGAGCAAAAGAGGAGACGTGACTCATGGCTTCATCTGAGGACGCGGGTCCGTCTTCAAATTTAGAAGACGAGTCCTCAGACTGCGCTCCGGCCCCTGAGTCTTCCCGCCGCACAACCCACGCTTATAGCCAGAGTGGCCTCAGCAGCCTGAGCTACGGGGTCAGCGTGGCCTGGCAGCACCTGAGGCCCTTCCTCCCCTTCTTCCTCATCAGCTTCATGATTATACTTTTAATTTACCTGCTGCAGACCATCATCTACGGAGGGCCCTTCAAGGATCCACTCTTCTTTGTCAAGTTCTACGAGCGGTGGCCTCGACCAACTCCAGATCCTCAGGACTCTCCGTCCTCCTCCAAAGTTTTCACCACTGTCCCCTCTCCATTGACAGCACAGGTCCTCTACGACCTGCTCAGACTCAATAAGACCAGATAAAACAGGGAAATGGTTTATGATGGAGAGACAATAACTGAGCTCAGAGGGACATCTGACAGGAAAACTATCCTGTGGACAAGAAGAACAGTGTCTGGTTATCTTCGTTCTTTTGCTACGACCAAAATGAGACGTATTGTTTGAATGAGAATCGGTATGTTTGAAGATATAATTGTCGTGGTCTCTTGCCTTGTCATGACTGATGGATCAATGACTGGAAAAATGAAACAGCCCCAAAAATTTTAGTGAATTAAAACAACAAATCTTTAAATGAGTACATTCGATATTGATGTTTATTTTGTGAGGAGCCAGCGTTGTTCTGAACATAGGAAGTGATTAGATTTCCTCCAGTCGGATGAGCAGGACTCATCAACTGTAACTGAAGTTGCAGTTACGCCAGAGCTTCCCAACACAGCCTCAAAGAAAATGTCAACGATTACTTTCAGTGATGACATGATTTTCCTGATGGATGGGTTTCTTCTTTTTATTAAATGTAGACACTCATCAGAATGTTCATCTATAAAATTGAGTTGATTTATTCACTCTGTGGCTTTTTTTATGGAAATCTAAAGTTTCGGGGCTGTCTCGTGCAGAGTAAGTGTGATGCCAAATATCTCATAAAACTGGGTGGAAATGTTTTCCTTTCAAAAAGTATAATGTATGAGGTTGTTTACAAGAGACCCAAATAAATCGGGGTAGGGTTTTTATTTCCTTTGATAAAATCAGCAAATGCTTTAGATTTTTTTTATCTGCTTCATTTTAATTTTATTTAAATCCACATGTTGATGGTGCCTGCATGACCTCTTGTGATTTGGCGCTATTTAAATAAACTGAATTGAATATATTACATAAAGGAAAATATCTTTTAAATGAGAAGCAGTTCCCTTCTGAAATACTTAAAACTAAACAATAAATAAAAATGTGCATATTTTACAGTCTGTGAAAGAAGTCAGTCTCTTCTTGAGTCATCTAATTTGAAAAAGTCTGATAGGAATATTTCAACACTGCTGTTGCATCAGAACCACATTTCCTCTTTGTGTTCCTGTTTTACTCAGTTGGTAAAAAAAGATCTCACTCTGATGAATATTAGCTTGTCTTGACAGACTCATACAGACCATTACCACACACACACACACACACACACACACACACACACACACACACACACACACACGCACGCACACACACACGTCATATTGTTTTACCATCCTAGACAAGCATCTTCTGTTCTTTCTGTCATCATCACATTATATAACATCTAAATACAATAAATAATAAAAGCAATAATAACAACAACAACAACAACAACAACATCATAAACAACAACAACAATAATAATAAAGCAATTGAAATCATATCTGAGTTCATTCATTAACTTGTCATTTCAAAAATATTTGTTCCATTTTAGGCGTATCTTTGTTACAGCAAAATTATTACATAAACTGACTGATAATAGAGATAAAATAACCAGAAACAATAATTTTAGATGTTTGATGATTTGCTCATAAACAATAAAACACTATTTGTTGTAGACAGGTAGGATTGTGTAAGCCATCTTTAGTTTGAGCTAACTGGCTCTGTTATAAAAAACACAGAAGCGTTGAATTGACATGACTGTACCAAAGTTATACTTCTATGCAGTTACAACACTTCATTTAATAACTGATCAGTTTAGCTCTGATTTTAAGCGTTGTTTACGGTATTTAATGTTATATTTTATTTCTGGATGTGTACAGTGATTTTGTAAACTCATTTGTTTTATAATTTGTACTTTCTGAACTTTTAATATAGAAATGCAACTCACGGTATTAATAACAAATACATTGTAACAAAATAAGTTTTATAAATGTGTTTTTTTATTAATATTACGGTACCTTTTGGGAAATTGCCAGGCTCCAGTTCCTTGTGTGTAAACGAAGAAGGAAAAGCAAATCGGAAATGCTCTTGACCTCAAAGCTGGTGTTTTGATCTTTGTCCAGGTGTGGTAGTGGCGCGTTTTGCCGCCCCCTGGTGGTGGATCGAAGGATTACAGCGTCCTGCCCTCGCCATGCACGTGAGCTGTTCGTCAACCTGACATTGACCTCTTGTGGTCAGGTAAAAATAACAAAATGCGAAAACTGAATTATAGTTCTTACATTATTTTGTGAGCTAATGCTTTGTTTTAAGGAGGGTTGCAAGTTTTAGTTTGTCGTCGGAGCGGATATAAACGTTAGGGACCAGAAGGTAAGTGAAGCCACCTGCCCGTGTTTTACCGCCGCAGTTTTAGCTCAGGTGAAGGAGAGCAGTGGCTTAAAAACCAACGTGGCGGTTATGAAAGCGTTATTAAATTCTGCGTCATACCGTTTGTGACCCGCTAACTAGCGGCTAACTCATCACGTTTTAGTCCTGCTATCATAGGGCACATTGACCCCATGTTAGTTAGCCCGTGATGCTAACTCATTTTTTAATGTATTCAGACCATCTAATTCAACCAGGGAACGTTTTATAATTCAGGTGGTTTGACGAAAAAATTAACAGTTTTTGTAATAATTAATTTAGCGTCCAGTTTAGTTTCACAAGTCAAAGTCCTTGTTTAATTTTAAAGACGATTAAAACAACTTAAAACATATTTTTTTGTTAAATGTATGGCTTTTTTGTTTTCATATTAGTCTATCTATACTTAGTTGTTCATAACTTTAAAAACCTGTAATTATATTTTTTATCCTCACAGACTCTGGATGAAAGATAGCCAAAGGTAACAATTAACATAAATGTGTATTACTGCACCATGCTCCTGCAAAATAAGCCAATTAATGTTAAATAAACTGTGTTCAAACTGAATGTCCAAACTAAAATAATAATAATACAAATTAAATTAATACAACAGAATGTAGCATATGTGAAATTGAGCCAATTTAATTTAACACATTTCACTAATAATTCGGTGGTCTAATATTTCTTAGTCATTTACCACTAAAGGTTTTAGTAAATAACAAAAGTTTTTCCTTTTTCTAAATACAAAATCACAGAGCTTATGTCTTTTTTTAACTCACCATCTCATCCAAATTCCCTAAAGATCATGTTCAAAATCATTTGTAATTGTTTTTTTTAAACTGTGTTTTATTTCTCCTTACATGAAGTGGATGGAGAAATGTGGTGCTACCAGAAACCAGGCTTTGAAGCCCAACTCCTCGCCGAGCTGCAGAGACAGCAACAGCGCAGCCAGTTTTGTGACACTATACTCCAAGCAGGAGGTACAAACAAATGATCACAAAACTTGGGTCTCGATCACTTTTATAAAAGGTTTTCTTGTCCTGGATCATCATAAGCTGACTACATAGTTGGTTATGATTGCTTCCTGCAGGTGTGTCAGTGCCAGCTCACAGTTGCATCCTGTCTGCTGTCAGTCCTCGCATGTCCTCTGCTCTGTCCTCCGCACCGATGCCTCCTGCAGGACAGAGCCGTCTCCTGGAGTTCCAGGCTCTGGGCGCCTGCACCCTGCTTCACATGGTCAGGCTTCTCTATTCTGGAGAAATGTCAGGAGAAGGGGAAAACGAGAAGCAGCAGGCCATTTTTGCTGCATCCAACCTGGGCATCAACGGGCTGGTGGAGGTGACACAAAGTAAAAGCAGAGGGGGAGGAGAAGAGATGGGCACGCACGTGGAGGTCGGAGTCCAAACGCAGGAGAACGAGGTGACACGTAGCAGGTGGAGGAGGGGGGTGAGGGAGGGGGTCACTTATTTGTGGAAAGAGACGCCGTCAGGTGGTGGAAAAGATGTGTGGACGCAAACAGAAGAGACAAACCTGCTTCCTCTCACTCTTCCAGCAGCCTCTTTTGACACGATTGACTTGAGAGCTCTGCAGGATTTAGGTCAGACTGATTCTCATCAGTTTGTTCCCGTTACTGTCCTCTACCCCCCGAACGAAAACCAAACCATTCAGCTATCCTGTGATGCTTTCACATATCAGCAGGTAACAGCTGGGAGCACATCTGTAGCTCCTGTGGTACCTTCGTACCCCTCTGAGCCTCCTGCTCTTCCTCATTCCTCCAGACAGACAGAACCACAGAGCCACTGGGATGGTCCCCAAGGAGGAAACGTCCCCACAGCTGAGGTGTGGGAAGACGACCAGCTGGAGCAATTTGAAGGGAACCTCGCTGGATTCCTCAACTACTTTCTGAGCCAGGAGAGCAACCAGGGCACCCGGAGGGGGAGAGCAGTGAGGAGGCAACGAGGAAGACCGAGGGGAGGTGGGACAAGAAGGCAGTCAACTGGGAGACCCAGAGGTAGGCCGCCAGGGAGGGGCCGTAGGACGTTCACTCAAACGGTGGATGTGCAGGAGGTGGGGGTGAGCAAGCAGCAGAAGTTGTTACTGGACAGGGGGAGCCTGAGGGCACATACGATGGGTCAGGGTGGAGGAGCTGTAGGCAGGAAGCTGTTCCTGGAGACCAGAGGGGCTTTCCAACCAGCCAGGAAGTGCCGGAGAATGAGAGATCGTAGCAAAGTGTTGGAGGTCAGCCAGAGAGGGGGGAGAAACCCCCAGCAGGACACCCCGAAGCCGTTTAATCAGGTGGGTCAAGAATCATCTGACCCACAGAAATTAAATCCTTAAAACGATGATAAGTGTCACCATCATTAATCCTACACATGTCAAAAAGGTAGAGCATGGTGAAAAGGTCCCATAATTAGTTTATTTATGAAGGGACTCATCACATAGTGAAATGGTTAATTCCCTTTGTTTTTAATCATTTTGAATATTATGATTTAAATATGAAATTAAATTTAGTGTCTCATAAAATTTGAATATTGTGAGAATGTTAAATGTTAGAAACTCGTGTGGTCAGACCCTAATCGGCTAATTAACTCTAAACACCTGCAAAGGTCTCTGGAGCCTCTCAGTATGGGTCAGTTGAACACCATCAAGAAGACTGCTGTCTGGATAAATCCGTACAGCAGGGGTCTCCTGAGGGGTTGCTCGTGAGCTACTAGTAGCGCTCGATGCACTTAAAGGTCACTCGCCAGCGAGCCATCCCGGCTGACTTCAGCCTAGCATTTTTTTTTTTACCTTGAATTGCTGACAGTTTCAGTGTCACACAGTCGCCCTCTTCAGAGCCTTGTCGGTGTCACTTCTGCTGTTTATCCGTGGGCAGAAAAAACATGACGATTAAAAAAAAGACCAGAGCGACATCGTCCCCTACTGCCCGTGGATGAACATCAGAAGTAATGCCGGTCACATGTTCAGGGCTCTGAAGATGGCGACTGTGTGACCCAGAAACTGCCAGCAATTCAAGGAAAAACTTAGCTACGCTGTGTTTTAAGCAAGAAAAAAACACTGGAGTCCTGGTTTTGATTTAAGGAGTTTGATGTTGAGCAGACAAACATTCCCGGTAAAATATTCTGGGCGACCGTGTAGTCCTATCTGCGTTAATAGATCGTTAACGCAGATTAAATGCTGTTTGTTTATTAATACATGATAAACACACGTTTGAGAATTTTTGTGTTGCATTTTTGGGAAAAAGGATCTTAGCACAACATAACAATTACTTGAAAGGTTTTGTATAAAATTCTATGACATTCAATCAGTCAAGCTTTATTTATATAGCGCTTTCCACCACCCTCAAAAGGAGGCCCAAGGCGCTGGTCAAGAAAAGCAACAAAGATAAATGTAGCAAGTCATAAAAACATTAAAGACAAGATAAGAACATAGACATTTGTGAGAACAATAACATGCCAATGAGATGAAATTTAAATAAAAGAAAATTAAAATCAGTTAGTTAAAAGAAAGCTAAGAACAAAAAGTTTAAAATCCAGAAACCAAAATCTTTAGGAGAAAAACGTCCTATAAAAATGAGCCTTCAACCTGCTCGTAAAGACTGCCAGTGATGGGGACTGTTTGTGAGTGGGAGCTGGTTCCAGAGAGAGGATGCAAGGACTTGAAAATCCTGATCACCACGAGTCTTAAATCGGTTGCGAGGGATGATAAGCAATCCCTGGTCCGCCGACCGTATGACCTTGAGGGAACATGCTTTATTAAGAGCTCCGCTAAGTGGGTGGGGGCACTGCCTTGGAAAAACTTAAACACTAAAAGCAGAATTTTAAACTGTGCCCGGTATGAGACTGGGAGCCAGTGAAGGTAAGCCAGCACTGGAGAAATGTGGTCCCTTTTCCTAGTTCCAGTCAAAAACCTAGCAGCACTGTTCTGCACTAATTGCACGCGATGCACAATAGTCTGACCCAACCCAGCATAGAGGGAGTTACAGTAGTCAAGCCTAGAGATCACAAACGCATGGAGTACACGCTCCAAGTGAGTTCTGGAAAGAACAGGCTTGAGTTTGGTAGGGCGACGTAACTGAAAAAAGGCAAGACCGAACTACTGAGTTGACATGAGAGTCCAATCGAAGAGCAGAGTCAAGTCTCACCCCCAGGCTAGTGACGACCGGCTTCCGTAGGGATGAGAAGGTGCACAAATCGACAGTAGAACCTAAATCTGAGCTGCAGCTTGGGTGAAACATGATAAATTCTGTTTTACGTTCATTAACATACAGGAAATTAGCTGCAAGCCATGCCTTGACCTCATTTACACATTTGTTCATTCATGTCAAAATAGTTTAATACTATGAAAAACTGACATTGCTGCTTAGACTCTGGGCAGGGCACGGGGTCAGGGACTGAACAGGAACGGGTTAGCTGCTCCTGTGTGCTCAAAAAGTTATGTTACTGATCTAAAGAAAATGTCAAATCTTTCATATGAAGTAGATTTGTGTTTCATAAAGTATCTGGTTAGTTAGAGTAGGATGTGTTATGTTTAGGTCGAGTTTCAAAACAGTAATATCACTATTTTACAATACTGATGTATTAAAATATAGAGAAAGCAACATGTGACTACAATGTTTGTTAACACAGTAAGCATATTCACACACAGAAAGTATCACTGTAAATAAATCGTATGGCAGTAGCTCTTCTGTACTTTCATTGTGTAAAAGTAGCTCACGGTCTCTAAAAGGTTGCAGACCCCTGCCATACAGGAATCTGGAATGAGGCTGGAGTTTGAGCATCAAGAGCCTCTACACACAGACCCGTCCTGACATGAGCATGTCACATTCCTGGTGACAGTCCACTCCTGAACTAGAGCCCACGGAAGTGTCTCACCTGGGCCGAGGAGACGGAGCTGGACTGTAGAAAGTCACCTTTTCAGATGAAGGCAAAGTTTTCATATATTTAAAGCTACTAGGGGAGTATTTTTATGTGACAGCACCATCTAGTGGCTGATAAATGTATCGCACCTCAAGACGTTCTTATCACTTCCATATTTACGTCCGAAAGTGCCACTTTTTTGTGAAGTTGCTCCTCTAGACGGCAAACAGAACTAAAACTCGTTTAACAATTATTATTGTAATATCTGACGTGTTTTTGTAAACACTGAGATGGTAAATTAATTTTGTAACTTTGGCCAAGAAGCAAACTTCAAAATAGCTCAAATATAATTTTAAATCTGAACATGAATTATGTGTCTAAAATCCAGTCAGACATTTAACTCCACTAATTAATTATTTTGTTTTAATAATGAAGTAATGAAATCATTTTGTTTTACTTTCTCTGTCCTCCCCACACAGTTCTACCCTGGATCTTCGTCTGCTGCCTCTGTTCCACCTGCGGCATCGTCCTCCCTCCGTACCACCCACTTCCCAAACACCACCCTTTCTCCTCATGAGGCCCAGTCGGAACCCATGGACCGTCTTCTGGAGGAAGTCATGATTGGACTTGATATTTTACCAAACAGCAGCAAAGCTGCTAACAACACGACATCTAAAGAAAAAACAAAGGCTCATGTGACGGAGGCCCCTGGCCAGCAGCAGCAGTGTGAGGGGGAGCTGAGTGAGATCCTGGAAAACTTCCTCAAGTCCTTTGAGCAGCACGTTGACAGCTGTAACACCACACAGCAGAATGAAAGGGACGATGGGAGTTTATCAGAGGGCCACATGGTTCAGAGCAGATCCAGCACAGCCCAGACTAGTTCTCACTCGTCTCGCCCACGGAAAACACGCAGACCGGTCAGTGGCTCTGAGACGTCTGAGCCCCAATGTGAAGCATCATCTCAGAGCCTCTCACTGCTACACAAAGTCGTGTGTAGCCGCTCTGCTTCCTCCAAAAGCATGGACAAAACTCAGGAGAAAGCCAGAACCAAAAGAAAAAGAAGAACAAAACAATATCTGCTCTCATTAGAGAAGAAGTCAGTGAAGAAATCGGCGTCATTGACTACAATAGAGGCCACCGTTGTTTCTAAGCTGGTGGACCATCAGCTACAGCAGAAGCCAATGGTGAGACTGGAAAGGAGAAAGGAGATGCTGCAGGAACAACCATGTCTCAGTCAGAAGGACAAGGTAACTGAGTCACCTCTGCTCAATTTAACTGACTATAGAGCTTGTCTCATTTATAACTAGTCAAAAACATGATGACTGGGTTTAAAAATACACAATAGAGAGGGTGTGTATCTGAAGGACCGTTTAGAGCTCCATAACTGACCCCAACATCACACTGGATGCATCAGCAGTGCCAAATGCTTTACTTGCGTGCATCGCTGGTCACCAACTGTACCGGGAGAGTCTCAGCCCTGGGGATGCTTCTCTGCCATCTTCCTTGCTGGACTCATGAGATCATAAAATCCCTCAAAACTTCAAAGATCAGTTTGTTTATGTCATCCACCATTAAACCAAAAACAAGAAGCAGGAAATTACATTTGATATTGCTGTTTGATGTCATATATAATCTTGATCCTGCCAGGGTTAAATCCATGAAAAGCACATTGCTGCCTTTCTTGAAATAAACTGGAAGTAAATAAAGCCGTGAGGTCATACATATAGACGTAATCTATATAGTTATGGAATTGCATTGCTGTAATAGACTTATTCTGAAAATTACTGGCCATTTTACACTGAAACTGTGTGTGATATCCTGTCTAGCCCTATGTTAACTGTGTAAATTTACGTGTCCCAGAAGCGGCAAAATAGAACCCAATCCTATTTTTAGCGGTGCGGCAAACTGCTTCTGGGATCAACGCAATAGATTATAATGGATTCTAGTTGAAGCAGTGACGTTCTGCTGCTGATGCCTCCAGTGTAAAGTCGGGTTCAAAGGTTCTCGTTATTCAATCAAGCTACTTTTTGAAAATACAAAATTCAAAGGTCCAACACCTTGAAGATTGAAGTTTTAGTTTATAAAAAACATATTTATTCAAAACAGTTTAATGTATGACATGTTCAGCTTTTGAAAATAAATCTTTAAAATCAAAAATAACCTGATTTCTTCAAATCTCACTTGAAGTTATAGATAACATTAAAGAGACAATCAGTAGTTTTTACCTTTAATCTCTGCAAATAAAATCCACTGAAACGTTTTTGAAAATGAATAAAATGATCTCCAGTTGTTGAAAAATATTGGCGGCTTCGTACCAAAGCACCATAGAAATCGGGTCTAAAGTACACAGGTCTAGCATCTTTGGGGGACGCCATATTAAACGCCATGTTTCCTTCTGGCCAGCTGAAGGTCCTGCGCCTGTCGACGACATCACACTAGATGATTGGCTGAACAAACGACTTACAGAAGTTTCGTTACCATGTTCAAAAACATTTAGGCAGTGTAATGGATTAGAATTACATTTAATTAAGGACCATAAGACATTAAAGATCCATATCTAGTATGAATCCCATCTTACGGACACTGGGTTATTTAAATCAGAAGATTGGATCTTTTTATTACAGGGACTTTCTAATAATAACACATTGCATTAACTGAGAGACAAGAGAAGAGAGAGACTTTCAAACGTTTAAGGAAATTTATTTACTAAATAGTTTTAAACAATTTAACAAGACTAACTCTCTAATGATGAATGTTTTGTTGGAATGAAGTGTGAGGTGAATGGTGTGTGTGTGAATGATGTCAAGTTCAGAACCCTCGCATCTGGAGAAGCAAAGTTGAGTGGGAGATGATGTTTTGCTCCTAACTGATCAAGTTGAGCCCCTTGGTCATAAACACATGAGACACCAGTTTTGTTGCATCCACATACAGTTGTGGTCAGAAGTTTACATACACTTGTAAAAAATATAATATAATGGCTCTACTGAGTGTCCCGTTATTTCTAAAACTATGATTTTTCTCTGATAGAGTGATTGGAACAGATACTTCTTTGTCACAAAAAACATTCATGAAGTTCGGTTCTTTAATGTCTTCATTATGGGTTAACAGAGAAAAGTGATCACATTTGCTGGGTCACAAATATACATACAGCAGTGCTAATATTTGGTTACATGTCCCTTAGCCATTTTCACTTCAATTAGGCGCTTTTGGTAGCCATCCACAAGCTTCTGGCAAGCTTCTGGTTGAATCTTTGACCACTCCTCTTGACAGAATTGGTGAAGTTCAGTTAAATTTGATGGCTTTCTGACATGGACTTGTTTCTTCAGCACTGTCCACATGTTTTCAATGGGGTTTAAGTCAGGACTTTGGGAAGGCCATTCTAAAACCCTTATTCTAGCCTGATTTAGCCATTCCTTTACCACTTTTGATGTGTGTTTGGGGTCATTGTCCTGTTGGAACGCCCAACTGCGCCCAAGACCCAACCTTCGTGCTGATGATTTTAGGTTATGTTGAAGAATGTGAAGGTAATCCTCCTTCTTCATTATCCCATTTACTCTCTGTAAAGCACCAGCTCCATTGGCAGCAAAACAGCCCCACAGCATAATATTCCCACCACCATGCTTGACTGTAGGCATGGTGTTCTTGGGGTTAAAGGCCTCACCTTTTCTCCTCCAAACATATTGCTGGGCATTGTGGCCAAAAAGCTCGATTTTTGTTTCGTCTGACCACAGAACTTTCCTCCAGAAGGTCTTATCTTTGTCCATGTGATCAGCAGCAAACTTCAGTCGAGCCTTAAGGTGCCGCTTTTGGAGCAAGGGCTTCCTTCTTGCACGGCAGCCTCTCAGTCCATGGAGATGCAAAACACCTTTGACTGTGGACAATGACACCTGTGTTCCAGCAGCTTCTAATTCTTGGCAGATCTGCTTTTTGGTGATTCTTGGTTCACTCTTTACCCTCCTGACCAATTTTCTCTCAGTAGCAGTGATAGCTTGCGTTTTCTTCCTGATCTTGGCAGTGATGAAACAGTGCCATGCACCTTATACTTACAAACAATTGTTTGCACTGTTGCTCTTGGGACCTGCAGCTGCTTTGAAATGGCCCCAAGTGACTTTCCTGACTTGTTCAAGTCAATAATTCGCTTTTTCAGATCCATGCTGAGCTCCTTTTGACTTTCCCATTGTAGCGTTTGTGGGCGTTTGTATCCAATGAGCCCTATTTACCTGGCCTAAGAGAAGTCACCCGCTGTAGTCACTCATAATCACTCACAAGAAGTTAAGAGGCCATGCTATGAAGCTCAGTTCACTGACACGTTTCTAAGTCACCAAAATTGCTAGTTCATGTTGCTGTATGTATATTTGTGACCCAGCAAATGTGATCACTTTTCTCTGTTAACCCATAATAAAGACATTAAAGAACCGAACTTCATGAATGTTTTTAGTGACAAAGAAGTATCTGTTCCAATCACTCTATCAGAGAAAAATCATAGTTTTAGAAATAACGGGACACTCAGTAGAGCCATTATATTATATTTTTTACAGGTGTATGTAAACTTCTGACCACAACTGTACCCTTCAGTGAGAACTCCACGATGGATCCAGAATGCCCAGGTCCTCGGACCTTCCTTCCGGTACTGGAGCCAATGGTACAGCCAGCGTCACAGCATGACAGACTAGTCCTTGGATTGTCTCCAGGTAAAAAGCGATGGGTGTTTCACAGCGTCAAAAAGAGGACCCTCCTTGGGTCAGCGAGTTCAGCTTTTATTCTGAAGGAACCGTTGTTGGTTGGTAACAACGACAGATTTTTCCCAGCTTGATAGTTCTTAGCTTAAAAAGAAAAGTATAGATGGCCTGTCCATACTTTACTTAACATGCGGAGAACTCCAAGGGATCTTGAATACTGAACTTAAGATGGCGTTGGAACTGTTTTATTAATCTGGATGTTCTTGATTCTGGACGAATCAAAGCTGACAGAATTAATAAACACCACAGAGAATCTGCCACGCTTCAGGCGGGGAAGGTTCTGATTGGATCAGCAACAGCAATGTGTCATGTGATTATTTACCTTAATGTATCAGCGTGTCTAGTGACTAAAATAAGTCATTTACTTATTAAAACATTAATCGTAATATTGTGATTTCACAGATCGGTCACATTGTATTATTGACTAACAGTTGTTTCGATTAGCTTTATTGAAAATAGAGTTCTTTGATCTAATGAAAGAAAAGAGTCTTCATCTTCTGTCTTCATTGCTGGAATGTAAACAGTTTAGAAGCGAATGCATGACCTTGAGGCTGTTTCATGCACTCTGGCGCTGTGTCAAAGGGAACTGTGGTCAGAGGATAATAACCTTGAGAAATGGCTCCTTCTCCTTCTTCTGGCACTCGCAGAGTACAGACGCTTCTGCTGTTGCTCCCTTATCTTTTTCCCAAGGCTCTTTGTCCTGTCTGCCTACAGAGCACTTCTCTGCATTTCTTCTGGAAATCCCTATTTTTTGGAAATGGATTTATTGGTCATTCAACGCGATTGATAAGATCTTTTCTACGATGAGAACGGAGGAGGGGGCTCCCACTTGCCCTCAAGGGACACACGCAGCGGTATATGCGCTCGATTCCTGGAAGGTCTGGAGGATCGTATGCCTCTCTCAGTTGTCCATTGAGGATGTCGAAGACATGTGGATATTTGGCTTGATAATCACTGGATTTCTTCTGATTGGAGTGGAAGGATATCTGGTTTTCTGGAAATTTGGGAAGACGGGAGCGATTGGAGTGCGGCCCGCACCCACGGAAAGCACTGCCCGGGCGGTGACCTCACAGACTTGGACGTTACTCGAGGTGAATCGTAAGCTGGACAGTGTCCTTGCTGCGTTACCGGTATTAGTGCGCAAAATGGATGTCATCTCGGAGAGGGTCACCGGACGGTGTGGGGATGATTAGAACCTAAATTGGCTTCACTAGAGGACTTGAATGATCAATACAGACTTCAAGGCAGAGAGGAAAATTATCTCTGCCTAACCCTAATAAAGTCTTGTTACCCAAATTTGACGCCTTGAGCTGCTAACAACAACCCCCACAAAGGAAGGAATGCAGACAGATGCTGTGAAAACCAGTCCCCCCCCCCCACCCCCCTTCAGATTGTGGACTTCTGCCTAGCGAGGTCATCAACCTGCAGTAACTCAATGTGCTCTGCGCTCCTCCCAAGATCTCCCTCCCTCCTGTGGATACAGCTGGCTGAGCGCCACACAGGGCTGCTCCCGCTGGGGAAACAGGATCCCTGCCCCCCCCCCCCCCCCCCCCCCCCCCATCGGAGTCTCATGTTGTGAACTGTGATGTTCATGCTTATATGTTTGAGGCGTTTTTTTTGCATAGTAAAGCTATGCCCTGCCGGGAGTAACTCTGGTATGCCTTTTTTTTCCCTCCCCCAATTTATCCTCATGTAATTCCCTTTTCATCTTTTAAGGTAGCGCGACTCGTGTTGTGAATGACCACAGTCACCAATTCTTGTCATGTGTCTTGCCTATGTATGTCTGATCTCTGAATTGTGTGTACTGAAACTCAATTTCATATCTCTGCATGTCTTGCACATTAGTGGTGTGCATCTCTACCTGCCTCACGATTCGATCCGATTCCGATTATCTGCCTAACGATTCGATTTGAGTCTGACATGCATCACGATTCTTCACACAAAAATTTTCATTACTTAATAAAAGCAGTAGAATAGTTTTCAATTTCTTTTTGATTTCGAAATCCCTGAAAAACAGAACATTCATCTATTCACTATAGTGAGCAATAATTTTTAAAGTGTGCTGCCTATAATTACTTAAATAATATAAGAAATAATGTTTTCAGTAGAGCAGCTTTAAGATAAAATATTACTGAACTTAAAAATAGTAAACAAATACTGTGTTAAGTGATTCTTTCACATCCAGGATCCCAAAACCGAAATTAGCCCAGACATCCGATTTAAATGTAACGGGTACATCTTTGATTACTGGTAATGTTGGCCCTGTATCCCTGTCCGCCTTTTCTGTTTTAAATTGGCGCTAGGGCAACGCAGTGCGCATGTCATTGCAACTCTGCCCCCAGAAGTAATTATAAAACCTCAAAACTTTATTGTCCTGCATAGACATAGACCAGGGGTCGGCAAAGAGCCATTATTACCCGTTTCCCACAGTAAAGAAAACACTGGGAGCCACAGCAGCCGCGGCGTTGTGGGCGGGGCCTACCCTCAGACAGCAGAGAGGTGCTCACAAAGGTGACAGCAGCCAGTACCGGTCGCTCGTGTACGTCAAAGTTATCTTTCATAAGAAGATAATCAATGAAACGATTTATATAAAGTGGATCCAGAAGTTGTAGCCCGTCTCTGCTACAATATTTTGATATTTTTGACCCTGTTGATGGTTTTACTGAGCAGGTGCCACTTTTGTCATACGTTTCTTTTTAAAACATGTTTAGACTGTTCAGAATACAAATCCAGGCTCTGTCACGTTTGATTATTGTAATTAAACTTTGTAGGTGGGGAAGGTCAGAAAAGGATCCGATCATTTTGTTTTTCCCACATTTACAGTGACGGAGATAACGGTGCAGTGCGCCTGGCTCTGGTGGTAATCAAGTTAAATTATATCTCTTTGCAACAATTTTCACAAGAAAACAGAACAGTTAAAAGCAGGGTTCGTGTTGTGTTGACCGGATAGTTCCCGTATTTGACCGTTTTTTTTATATGGAGAAAGAATAGAAAGACTTACCCCGACGCAAGCAGACGAACTGACACTTAATTCGTGTCGCACATCACAGATGTAGCTAAATCACTCAAGAAATGATTCCCATCTGAGCTGGACACTGAGCTCAGTGCAGCTCACTGTCAGTGCGTACGTACGGTCCACAGCGAGCTGAAGATGTGGAGAGGGGCTTGGAGCGTGTCGCAGAACCAGAGCGCATGCAGGAAGATTCCTCCGACTGAAGCGAGACTTGTCACTTAGAAAATGTTCTTGTGAAGAAAGTTGCAAAGAGAAACAATTAAACATGATTAACACCAGAGCCATGCGCACTGTTAATGAGGGAAAACTGAATTGATCAGATCCTTTTCTTACCTTTTCAACATTGTTTAATGTAAAGTTTCGTTCAGTACAAAGTTTAATTACAACAATCCAACGAGACAGAGCCTGGATTTGTATTCTGAACAGTTTAAACATGTTTTAAAATGAGACATGTGACGCATCAAAAAGCGGCAACTGCTCAATAAAATCACTAACAGGTTGAAAAATGTAAAAATATTGTAGACACAGACGGGCTACAACCTCTGGATCAACTTAATGCAAATTGTTTTATTAATTATCTTCTGTTGAAAGATAACTTTGACGTACATGACATACGGTTTTGGCTGCTGTCACCTGTTGTGATTGGTTAAAGCAGCTCTCAGCTGACTTAAGATGGGCCCAGGTTCATGTGGGTGGGCCCAGGCCCGGTAGGTCCACCCACAAGGCCGCTGCTGCTGTGGCGCCCAGTGTTTTCTTTACTGTGGGAAACGGGTAATAGTGGTTCTTTGACGGGAAAAGGTTGCCGACCCCTGGTCTAGTTGAAAGCAACTGTCCTCAATAACCCTGCTGTAGCCTGCTGTGGCCTGCTGTGGCTAGCTCTAACAAAGAGCTAAGACTAACACGAGCCAACTGATATTAACCTCTTCAACCCGACAGACCTGGTACCGGTTTCCGGAATTACTTCCGGTTATAAAGTCATTCCAAAACCATGCTTACTGTTCACCAATAAAAGCAAACTACACACGTACATAACGGGAAAAAGCTAGTCTAAACAAAAAAACATTGTTTTCCATCTCAGCAACACCTAATTCACACACTGAGCCTTTAAATCAGCCGGAAGTAAAAAACACTAACTTCAAATATCAAGTAAAGCCTGAGAGAAACACACAATAGCGACAATAAAATACGATCCTATCCAGAAAGCTATCTACTCAAAATAAAGCCAAGATTCTCTTATTTCAAACAAAATAAGTCTAATTTCTGTACCATAAAAACTCACAAAGCCAGCCACGATCAAACAGAGAACAATACAGCTCTTTATCGGCAGTCATCAGCATAAAGTCTGTCTTACCTTTGCTGATTTGCGATCATAATCCGTGTTCCGGTAAAAGAATCCATCGATTCATGTAATCCATTTTCCCACCATTAAAACGAACTAATTCCTGACAGTTTTTGCCGTGTTTTGCTCCATACAGGCGAGTTAGAAGTCCGCGACGCCATCTTACCCAGAAGATTGGCTCACCCATTGGGGGGGTCATGGTCTTTTTGATTCAATCTGGACACAAAGAAATACAGCACCACACAATTCTATTGGCTGAGAGCTTTAACCCTCCAACTGTCTTCGTGGGGGACCCCACCAGGAAAGTTGACCATTGAACAGGATTGATGGTTTATCCCTTGAGGTCCACGTGGCAGGGGTGAGGTGGCGCTCACTCCTCACAGCTCAAATAAACCTTGTAGTTTATGAGATATACTTCATTCACTTTGGGCACGTCTTTTTCAATAAAATCTCTGAAAAATGGCCTAGGGTTCAAGTAAATAAGCCACGAAGTTAAAAGATCCACATTATTAGACAAAATAATAATGTTACTTACAAGTTCAGTGGCAATAAAGATAGATCACCATCAGTCTGTCATTTCGTAGTCTCCGTTATCTCCCTCAAACACTTGTAGGCCTCTCTAAATTTCACCCTTTTTTAGCTTCATCCCCAGAGACATTACTCTCTTCTTTTTACTTCCAGGCTCTCCACCATGATGCCGACAAATATAGCAGCAATCTTCTTTTTGTTGTGCTTTTTATTCACAGTCTGCAAACTGAGAAATGTAACTGCTTTGATAGCCTTTATATTAGCTACCAGCAGAGTAAGCATCTAACAACCAAAAAGAGCTTCCTTTAGTGAACCTACCCGTGCCACACGACTGCTAAGTGTGGTTTCTGGTCAGCAGAGGGCTGCAGAGTGCTGTCCAATCTGGAGTTGGTAAAGTTTCTACCTCAAGAGTCACTGAAACCCACTTTTAAAGGAATAGTTCAAAGTGTTGAAAACTCTTTAGCGTTGCTTTAACTGAAATTTGCAAACACAGACACAACATTCCTCTAGGCAACCCAGCTGTGTTTTGCATCCTGTTTGGCTGCTTCATTGAGATCTAGTGATTAGTGCACATAAAGGGTCATATGCAACAGGGTGAGAGACGTTCAGAGCAGGTCTTTGATGGATGGATCATGACCCAGTCCAAAAGGATGGGAGGTGCAAAATTATTGTTAGAGGTTTTTTCCAGGATTGTATGTTTTTTTTTATTTCTGCCAGTTTGTGAAAAGCATCTGAAGCAATACGGCAAAAAATACTCCAGAAAAACATCACACACTGTACCCTTAATGACTTAGTCATCTATCTAATCAGAGGCGAGATGTCCAAATATCAGGAAAGCAAGACTCCTTATGCCCAGTAACTATTTTCAAATGTAACTTGTTTTTGTGTTATGTTTTTTTTTATTTGCAGAGTCCTTTCAAGGCCAAGTCCCACGTGTCATCAGGAAAATCTTCTGAAGGCATTTCTGGAGAGAATTTGCAAGACTATTTCCAAACAAATTTTTATCCAATCAGGAGCAGGGTTAGAAGAGGAGAAATTAGGGTGAGAACCAAACTTTAGGGCAGTGGACCTTCTGTCCTTACCAGTCTAAGACAAGCCAGGCCCCCAACCCTAACTCCTACCCACATACACAGCTTAAACGTGATTAATTACTAGCTTTTCACAGACATACAGAGTCATAACTCTTACCCTACTTCTCACTGGACACATCAGCAGAGCAGAACGGTTTACTCATGACTTTTGCTGTGATAGCCATACTATGTAAGAACAATAAGAGCCATGAAAGCATGCTTTAAGCTAGCTTGTTTAGCAGATTTGCACTTGTATCTTTAAAAAATCGTAAAAATACAGAAGAAGTCCAGTACACACCAGGAGAGTCTGGTCATGGAACAGCTTCCTCCCTGTGCTTCTTGCTGGATTCATGAGATCACAAAATCCCTTGTGTTTATGCGATCTGGCATTAAACCAAAAAGAAGGAAATCATGTTTGACATTGCTGTTTAATGTCGTAGATGATGCCATGATTAAAGCCATGAAAACACACCGCTGCACTTCTGGAACGATACTGGGAGTAAATAAGCCGTTAGATCACTTGCACTGATGTAATCTACATAGATATGGAATTGCATCGCTGCAATAGTCTTTCATTTGGAAAATTACCCGGTGTTTTACACTGTAAGCGTGTGTGATTTCCTGTCTAGCCCCAAGGTAACTTTGGAAATTGTCGTGTCCCAGAAGCGGCTTGTAGCAAAAATAGAGCCTGATCCTATCTTTAGCGGCGCTGATGCTTCCAGTGTGAAGTAGGGGTTAGACTATTGGGAATGCTATCGAGATTTTACTAATTCAATCTGGGTTACCTCAAAACCTCAGCACGCACAACATTATGGTTAAATAAGATACAGTCTGTGTGTGTGTGTGTGTGTGTGTGTGTGTGTGTGTGTGTGTGTGTGTGTGTGTGTGTGTGTGTGTGTGTGTAAACAGCATTAAAGCTGCAATCACAAATCTACAAAACAAGCTAGCTTTTAAACACAAACACAGCCACAGAACTCTCACCCCTCCTGTTGACTATCATGCCTAGGCCGCGTCCCCCCGATACCAGAACCTGCGTTTTCAGCGTAAATGAGAAAGTACTAAACACCAGTCGCACTTTTCTATGTCCAAACTGTTTTACCCAACTTCAAATGGTGTTTTTCTTTTTGGTAGTTTGTCCTAACATTGAAGTGGTAACAGCCAGCTGTTTGTCCTTCTCTGATTTGATTGAGAACTTCTCACACCAGTGATGCTCTGTTGCTAAGTATGTGAGTTTGCAATGGGTGGAGGACCCAAGGAAGTTTTTTATTTTTTATTTTTATTTGGCTTTTAATGCAGTTTGACTTGAGCATCTTAATAGTTTTTAACAGTTTTTATTATAGATTGTGACTGTTGTGCGCTCATCTTGTTTTAGTTTTTTATTGTTGATTTGTTTTACCTTGTACAGCGCTTTGGGTGTAGCTTTGCTGCTGTAAATACGCTCTATAAATAAAATTGACCTTGACCTTGACAGTTAGGTGAGACCAACAACCGGATGGTCCAGTCGTCTTTTGGTCCAAAACGTGTTATTAGTGGAAGTTTTTAGACAAATGCGAGAGAATCACTTTATTCATTGAAAGTATTTTTTTAATCTCCTCAATATATTTATAGCCATACTATGTAAGAACAATAAGAGCCATGAAAGCATGCTTTAAGCTAGCTTGTTTTGCAGATTTGCACTTGTATCTTTTAAAAATCATGAAAAATACAGAAGAAGGACCAACTGATTCATAAAATAAAGTATTTGTTTAATTTTTAGGACATTTCGGCTTTTGTCGACAATCCACTTCCAAGAAGGCAACATAGCCCCAGACAAAAAAGGCTTCTCAGCTCAGCTAAAGATGGGAGCACGCTGGTTCAGCCTCAGCCTGTGGGTTCCTCATGTACCGATGAGCAGTCAGAGAAGAACCAAAGAGAAAATGTAGATTCAACAACGCAGGCACAGGAAGAGACTCCTGCAAGGACGGGGGAAAAGAGAAGCGCAGGATCTGATGGGACCAACGAGGGATCTCCTCTGAATAAGAAGATTTTGTTAAATCAGATGACACCTGAAACCTACACACCAAGCTCTGAAGCTTCATATTTCATTCCTGCTGCAGTGGCTTTGCAGCAGGTAGAAACCGTTTCACTGAAGAGTTTAAGTCTTCCAGATAAAAGTCCACCTAAAGATTCAAACGATAAAGAGAGGAGAAGCAGAGATGATGGGATGACTGTCGTAAAAGAAATGGAGGTTCCTGAATCAGAACAGGAAAAGCCTTTACTGTCACATGACTACGGAGAGGAATGGATTGGAAAACTGGAAGAGGATGAGGACATCGATGTGGTCGGAGGTTCAAGCCCTGTCCCTAATCCAGTGGTGATCTGCTGGACGCTGTCCTCAGACGAAGAGAAAGAGGATGGAGACGAGGAAATTGACGTAGTTGGAGATAAAATGGACAGCCCTTCTGTCATCGTCTCTAATGTGAGTAAGAGTGAACCTGAATACAGAAAAGATGAGGTGTTCTCCCATTAGCTATCAGTTATGTCCCTTTATCCCCCAGATTCATCTGATTTAGCTACAGAGCAGGTTACGCAACACCCGTTTTATTTTTATTGTCTTGTTTTATGCGAGGGATTTTTGTCTTAATTTCACTGAAATGGGAAACAACGAGCTACGTTGTAGCTTTAGAAAGAAAAGAAAAGAACATGCTTTATAAGCATGAACCAAAATAGGTTTGAGTTTGAAATGTGTCATTTATGGACAGATAGTTATTTTCACCTATCTGGATGAGTAAACAATTACCCAAAATAAGTTCCTTCATCTGGAAAATTTAGATACATTTTTTACAGTTTGTTGAGTAAAATTGTTCACCAATGTTTGTTTTAACTGTCAAACAGTTTAGAGAGATTTAACGTCACAAAAATCAGGTTTTGTACAATCCGAATCAGACGTTTTAGTAGTTGTACGTATGGCTTTGATGGATTAGTTGTGAAGGACTGATGTGTCTGCCTCTGTTCTGCTACAGTTCATGAATGTTTATAGAAATGTTTGTTTTCCTTGTTTTAATTGTTAGCTTGTGTTTGACAGTGTTCACTTGTCTATGATCGGATTTCATATTAAAGCGCTTAAGAAACGACCACGCCTTTGGTTGTAACTCTTCTTCACGTGCACATCCTTGGAAACCAGACTTTTGATCAGGATTTGCTGTAATAAGAAACAGTCAGTGATGCTGTCTGAGAAAATAGGCCAGTTGCAGAGGAGCGTTTCAAAGGGAGAGAAGTGGACGACTCCACCTTTATGTTGAAATCATCCATGATCTCAGTGACATTCCATTCAAACTTAGAAATAAACCCAGAGTACATGAAGTGAAAATGAGTTTATTAGTCATCAACCTATAAGGATCAAGCTCCTGCTCACAGTTACACAACACATCTGAGCTGCACCGAGGATGGTCAGAGTCTACCTCCCTCTGGTTGAGTGGGTCAGAGTACAGCACAGGTGTGTGATTGTGTAGGGGCCTTCAAACCAAATAAAAAGACACAGAGTGTCAGCATGTGTGTGAAGTGTGTTTCCCTGTGCTTTAACAGTGCGATATTGTCTCTTATCACACTCTGGCAGCAGCTGTAATCAGTGAAAGTGTTGTCAGGTCAGGGCGGCAGTCAAGTAAAGAGGAAGAGAGGATTAAAGAGAGAGAGAGAGGGGTGGGGGGGTGGGGGGGTCTGGGTGTTATGAGCACAGGCCTCAGTTTGGTCCTCCTCTCAGTGCTGGATACGCCTGATGGACTGGATCTGGGGGGTCTGGCAGTGAGAGCCCCAGTTCCTCCAGTGCTGGTAGTCTCCACTGTGTCTCTCACACTCCATGATGTACTGCTGACCTCTGTAGCCGGGGTACTGGTAGCACACAAAGCTGTGGGGACACAGACAGGACCATTTTCTACTACAGTTGTTGGTTATAGCCCCCTCTTGTGGTGACTGGGGAACATTGCAACATAAACATGACAAAGGCGGAAATTTATGTAAATGGTTAAATGCAAGGAAACAACAAACACTGTTAGCTGGTGCACAGTGATGAAAGAGGATGCAAATTATTGAGGACATCGATGTGATCGATGTATATATATATATATATATATATATATATATATATATATATATATATATATATATATATATATATACACACACACATACATACATATATATATATATGTGTGTATATATATATATATATATATATATATAAACGTTTATACCTTTAGTTCCCTTTTGCATTAAAGCTAGCAATAACAGAGTAGCACTGCTAAAAACTCCCATAGGTCACTGCTTTGAAAGTAAATCCCTGGGTCAGTTTTTATTTCTTAAAGCTACAATTCAGAGTATTTTTTTTATCCGATGCCACCATCTAGTGACCGACAAATGTATCGCACCTTAAGATGTTTTCACTTCCGTATTTACGGCCGAGCTAAAACACGTTTTACAATTATTCTCATGTTGTATCTCTTACTTTATATAGATATATATCTATATATCCATCTCTCTCTCTCTCTCTCTCTCTCTCTCTCTCTCTCTCTCTCTCTCTCTCTCTCTCTCTCTCTCTCTCTCTCTCTCTCTCTCTATATATATATATATATATATGCACTTTTTTTGAAAGACTGACTTGTCCACAAGAAATGTTGCCAACACTGTTGGTTAATGCTGAATGGCGCTCAGTTTAAATTGCATGGCGATCTACGGGACACGCTTAGCAAAAAAAAAAAAAAAAAAACACACACATATTTGCTACTTTATATCACAATACATGATAAGACTCGTTTTTATGGATTTAAAAAAAATCCAGATTGCAGCTCTACGGCAGCAATTTAGGCACATGTTGACATAAAACTGGCAATTTATTACAATCGTGATCAAAGTTATGCTGCGTCAATAGCTCAAAAAATCATGGGTTTCCCATTCTGGTCCTTAAAAAGCCCCTATCCAGCCTGTTTTAGTTGTTTCCCTGCTCCAACACTCCCGATTTAAATGAGTGTGTGATTCAAGGGCTTTTGCAGAGCTGAACAGGTGATTCAACCATTGACTCAGAAGTTTTGTAGAAGACTCTCAAGGACCAGGGTTGGAGACCCCTGGCTGTCCTAGACAGTGCCAGCTGAATCAGATGATAAAGAATATGGTTGTATTTCTGTAATTATGAAACTAAATAAGCCCAGGAAAAACCATCTTAAACACTTACGCTCCACACTGCACGTGCATAGAGCCGACCTCCGGCATCATCCAGCCCATGCCTTGCAGAGAAGGGTAGTCATCACAGACCTCCACACTGCGGCCCATGAAGTTCTCCTTCTCAAAAATGATCATGCGACTGCTCTGGTGGGACTGAAAGGAACGGGGTTTATGTTTATGTTTGGTACCAGTAAACTAGACTGGTTGTAGGCTGTTACTCACAGCACAGTAGATGGGACGAAGGGACATGAGGCGCTCCACGTGGTAGGAGATGGACCCACTGTAAGCATCCCAGTGAGGGTACTCGCCTCTCTCCAGGATGAACTGCTGGCCCTGGAAGTCATGGTGCTCGAACCCCACCCAGCTTCACAAACAGACACAGTCACTAGATGCTTCAGAACATTTTGCAGCAAATCTACGAGGTCCACTCAGACTTACGCTCCACTCTCCACCCTGATGGAGCGAATGTTGTCCAGTCCACACTCCTGGATGTTGCAGCACTCAGAAGTGAACTCCAAGCACTTTCCCTGGAAATGCTCCTGCTCGAACACAGTCACCTGAGGACACAAAGCTCCTGAATCCCACGTCCATCTCATCTGATCGTCGGATATTCTCGTCTGTTGCTCAGGTGAGTCTTACCTTGAAGAAAGGAGCCATGCCCATTCCTGAGTTGACCAGCGGCTGCATCATCGGGTACTTTGTAGTTCTGTACATCTTGACTCCTGCTGGGACAAACGAGGACAGAGATGTTGTGAATTTTATTTGCTTGTGACCAAAACTAAAGCAAAAACAACTGAAGGGGATCTGGGCAAAAACACCCACAAAGCTTTAAAGACCACTGCGTCTTACCTAGACGGGCACTTTAATGGAAGAGCTAAGGAGTGTTGTGCGCCTACCGCCTGCCTCGCGTAGAGTTTTGAGAGAACCTGGCGCTTCAGTTTTATACCAGTAACCAGGGGTGGGGGCGGGTCCACGCCCCCAGACTGCAGCAGATTGAAGGCACGCCCTTGGTGACCCCACGTGGCCGCTGCTAGATGCTGTTGTCCCGCTCCAGCGACCAGCTCAGCAGATCCTTTAGAGCTCCTGAGGCTAGAGAACAAAAGGCTCTCCGGCATGTTCGGACCCCGGTCAGCAGTCCAGCGGGTGTCCCGGCACAAAGGGCCGGGATCGGGGTAGAGAATGTGGGGATTACTGCCACAGCAGAGACAAGTGCTGGCTCCGTCTGAACCTATATGATAGGGCGACGGTAAAAGTGACACTTTCTCATTCACACACACCGTCTCCAGACACTGATGCACACTCGCCTTGTGCACGTGAGTAGGTGCGTCTATGTTTAGTTCTCAAAGCTGGGGTCATGACCCCACGTGGGTCAGGAAACACCAAAGATGGGGGTCTATAGAAGTCAGAGTAAAAGATGATTTAAATGGCCTGTATCTGATATAGCGCCTTCTAGAGTCCTAGAACCCCCCAAGGTGCTTTACAACACAATTAGTCATTCACCCATTCACACACACATTCACACACTGGTGGGGATGAGCTACAATGTAGCCACAGCTGCCCTGGGGCGCACTGACAGAGGCGAGGCTGTCGAGCACTGGCGCCACCGGTCCCTCCGACCACCACCAGCAGGCAACGTGGGTTAAGTGTCTTGCCCAAGGACACAACGACAGCGACAGACTGAGTGGGACTCGAACCTGCAACCTTCCGATTACGGGGCGAGCACTTAACTCCTGTGCCACCGTCGCCCCTTAAACATTTAACTACGGTGAGAAATAAATCAAACATCACGTCTGCTTCTGAGGTGATGTTGGCGTTTTGTCCTGGTTTAATCCCTTTATTACAATATTTGCCTCAGCTGTTGACAGATGCAAGATTCTGCTGCTGCTGGTTTTTATAAGTTTGGAAGCTAAAATGTGCAGAAAACTAAAACATTCACTCATGTAAATGAATTTAGTGCAGCAGCTTATCTTCTTTATATTAGGAAGATTTAATATAAAATAAAAGCACAATTCATGTACTTTCCTAAAGCTTCTAATTTCAGACTCAGCTAACTTTTTATTTTTTGTTCATTTATCATGAGACATTGTTTGGAAATCATTTACATAAAATCCTTTGGGACAATTATCATAAAGGTTGGTGTAAAATCAAGACTAATTTAATCTAATGTGTATTTTAAGTTGCAGCAGCTCGCTCTAATCTGTCCCCTAGCTTTGTCCTCTGCCTGTGCTCTGTGCCCGTCCCCCTCTGATGATGTGGGGGTTCTTTTGTCTCCATCCTCTGACCTCAGCAGGTTTGTTTCTCTCCCTGTAATCCCTCTCCCGTGGGCGCCAGCGTATAAAAGTGAGGGTCAGCCTCCGAGCCACACACACTCTGAGTGAGGCTCGGCACAGGCATCGCACACACATACAGGTAAGCTCCATCCGCAGGTGGCCACATGGATTAGTTGATGAAATTAGACGGGTTTAGTTTTTTTACAGACATTTGGTCAAATGACTTAAATCCTCTCATGGTGTCTCTGCTCAGTAATCATGTCCAGTGGAGATAAGTCCAAGACTTCTTCCCAGACTGACGGGAAAGCCACTCAGGGCAAGAAATCTGAGATGGGAATGATGTCCTACAAGGTAACTCCTCTCTCAGGTTATATGTGTCGTTACTCAATGGAGGATAATGAGTACCGTTGTCTATTTTCCCCCATCAGATGTACGTGTTCGACCAGGAGAACTTCCAGGGTCGTATGATCGAGATCACCAACGAGTGCATGAATGTGTGTGAGATGGGCATGGACCGTGTGCGCTCCCTGCGCGTTGAGTGTGGACCGTAAGTCTGAGGACACGTCAGCATTTGAAATCTTTGCACGGACGATTTCTGACTCCGTGTCTTCCTGCAGCTTTGTGGGATTTGAGCAGATGAACTTCTGTGGTGAGATGTACATCCTGGAGAAAGGAGAATATCCTCGCTGGGACTCCTGGAGCAACTGCCAGAAAAACGACTACCTGCTGTCCTTCAGGCCTGTCAGGATGGTAAAAACATCCCTCTGCTCTTCTAGTCCCGCGTTGCTTTAGATTCTTGTTTTAAACTGGATATTGTCTCTTCCAAGGACCCCGAGAAGCACAAGATCTGCCTGTACGAGGTGGGAGAGTTCAAGGGCCGCAAGATGGAGATCATGGACGATGACGTTCCTAGCCTGTTCTCTTACGGCTTCACAGACAGAGTGGGCAGCATCATCGTCAGCTGTGGAACGTGAGTATCAAACACCAAAATAGATTTAGAACAAATTGAAGTCATTCTCCCACTGAGGCATTTGCTCTTTGATCCCAGCTGGGTGGGATACCAGTTCCCTGGTTACCGTGGCAGCCAGTACCTGTTGGAGAAGGGCGACTTCAGACACTTCAATGAGTATGGCGCTCGCCACCCTCAGTTCCAGTCTGTGAGGCGTATCCGTGACATGCAGTGGCACCCACACGGCTGCTACACCATGGCCAGCAAGTGAGGCTCAGGGAAGGAGAGGAAGAGAAAGAGCGGAAATGAGGGAGAGGGGAGGAGGAAGAGGGAAAGAGGGAGAGACGTCTGAGGTTTTTCGTTACAGGAGTGAGGGTGAGGGTCATTTCTGCCCCTGACCAGAGACGAGAGCTCTGAGGAACAACCAGCTGGACCATGAGAACCACCAGACCATTCTCCATCCCTTCTCTGTCTCCACTCTTCTCTTTCTCCCCTCTGGGCTAAGATTTGCTGTCCCCTCCTTTTTTCTTCCCTTTTTTTAGGTCCCTCACCTCACCCCCCTCCAGTCCTCTGAGACACCAAAGAGGAAACACGATACCTCTTGCTGTTTTACACACATGATTCTCGGCTCAGGGTTTGGTGCATCATGGGAAACTGAGTCCCCGGAGCCCCACAGTCCTCCTGTCCCTGTGCTTGACACACCCGCTCTGCTGTACAGAATTCTGGCCAAGTTTTCAATAAAAGAAGAATCTTGATTCCAAAGATGTTTGTCCTCATTACATCTGCATAAAAATTACTGGAAAATAAACAATTATTAAGGAAAATGACCTTTTCCTGTGAATAAGAATGTTTGTAATGTTTCACTGTGACCACGGTTCGCTAATAAACACTGTAACTGTGTTTAATGCTTAAAAAACCCTTCAGCAACACAATAATCTGTTCATACTGCAAACATTCAGACACATTTAACAAAAGTATTTTAAATGAAACCAAAGCGAGACAAATATTAAATTATTTGATTTTTATGTGAAATACATCTAATTATTTCTAATCAATGACTCAGCATAAATATTATCAGGAGGTTGTCTTTCCTTTTTTATGTTCAGTCTGTTTTTATTTTAAATTCAATTGTTTTTTGGTGTTGATTTTCCCTTTTCTTGTTTCTTTGTGACATATAGTAAAGTAAAATGAACTAAAAAGATACGCTAATCTGGTAATAGACATTTAATACATTTATTTTAGTTTTTGTTTTCTGCTGCCTTGTCCTGCGTTGGCCCACACCATGACTCAAAGACACTATTTGTGTATTATATTTATTAAAAACAGTCTATTCTCCAGCTTATAAATAATATTTTACACTCAGAATACAAACACTCACATATAAAAATACATTTGAACAACAAAGAAAACCAGAAACTTGTTTAGTAAAGCTGCTGATATGTGTCACAGCTGCTCAAGCACGTTTTTCACCACCTAAATATTCATGTTTGTGATTACTGAATAGAAAAGTATAATTTAAAAAAGATGACTGCTTTCTAACATGTCCCCTGGTCCTGATGCTTGTCCATCTGGACCCATCACCTTGACATCATGCGCACAAACTCTGAAAAGACAGTTAAGAAAATAGATAAATGAATAAGGAAGCACATGATGATGATGATGATATGGCTTCTGAATGATTCCCACTAAAGTTCTCTTTTACCTTCAAAGTCCACAAGGCCGTCTCCGTTCAGGTCGACATCTTTGAGGATCTCGCTGATCTCTCTGTTGGTGACTTGTTCTCCCATCAGCTTCTTCATGGCCTCACGCAGCTCCGTCAGACTGATATGACCATCACCATCCGTGTCAAACTGAGGACAAAGCAGATACAATTATTTAGCTGGATGTGCAGAAACAAAGAAACTTCACTAATTTACAAGTTTTACTACTAGGGGGGCAGAAAAAACATTTTTTTCTCTGAAGAAATGGTTTTGTTTCCCTCTGAAAAGAGCAAAATCTGAATATTTCTGATGGCCGGGGTTGTTTAAAGTCACTTGTGACATAAAAGGACCTCCTTTTTACCCATCAGGGCACAACAACAGCTGTAAAGATAATTAGCTACTGTTGGCTGTTTATCTGTGAGTATTTTATGATATTAAATCACAGCATTGGTTTAAAATGAACTCATTATCCTAGTACTTAAACAGTTTAGTAATCAGTTCACAATAAGAATAAATATGTGTTGTATATGGTCTAAATGTTATGTGAATACCATTTGAGATGAAAAGAAACACAGTTATTTTCTTAAAAAGCACCTTCCACAACCTTAGCAGAAGCCCAAGGTGCTGAACACAACCACTAGGTAACAATAAATAACAGTAACAATAAAAACCAATAAAAGAGCATAAGAACAAGAAAAATCATTCAAATCAAGGCAGCGTTGCAATCCTCAAGGCTGAAGGTGAGAACACAGTAAACGGTATTCAGGCGGGGCTTAGGCACCTGCCTAACAGTCAAAGACAACTCCTTCCTGAGCTTTGGAGCAGAAACTGCAAACGTGCGACGCCCCTTCCATTTGCACCTAGAGCGAGGGACCACCAACAACTCCCACTCAGCCGAGCGGGACGGGACATGCCTATGCAGCAGCGATGACAGATAAGATGGAGCAGTACCGTGACGGGACCTGATAGGCTTTTAAATTTTGCTCTATACTGCACCGTAAGCCAGTGTAGTCCAGCCAGCACCGGAGTGAGATGTTGGGATGTTTTGTTTCATGCATGTGTGGGTTTTCACCCACAGAACAAAAACATGCATGCAGGTAATCAGAGACTCTAATTTGTCCCTAAGAGTGATGATTGTTTGTCTCTCTGTGCCTGTGATGGACTGGTGACTCGTCCAGGGTGTCCCCCCTCCTCTTACCCTCTCAGATAAGACAGATGAGGTTTTTTTTTTTTGGATCATGTCTGTTTCCCATTAACATCAATGAGGTTGTAAGTTAGTTTTAACTATTGAAGTCTAGCAAATGAGAAATACTCAAGAAAGCCCCCACATTTCACAGGGAAGGACATCCCAGAGAGTAGGACTTGAGTGCAGATAGAGACTTCAGAGAGATTATAGGTTTATGCTTGGATTACAGCAGCAGGAGTCCCTTCTTTCAGAGCTCCTTCATTGAAATTGTAAGCGGACCTCTTTGAACGCGTCTCGTAGCTCCTTCACTCCGATCATGTCTGCCGTCTCCTCCAGCATCTTGGGACCCATCAGCTCCACGAAGTCCTCAAAGTCTAGTTTCCCTCCAGCTAAAACACAAAAGCTCATGCTTGTTTAAAACTCTCTTGGTCCTGACCCGGCATTTCTTCTCCCCCACTCACTGATCTGCTGACTCAGCTCGATCAGCTCCATCTCTGTGGGCATGTATCCCATCGTCCTCATGCACTCTCCCAGGTCGTTGTGACTGATGTAGCCTTTTTTGTTCTTGTCAAACTCCACGAAAGCTTCACGGAGTTCTGAATGAACAAAACAACAGTAAAACACGATGCGAGCCGAGCTCCTTACTGGTCCAACAAGTGGGATTAGCAGTCACCTCACCATCGAGCTCCTCCGGTCTCAGCTCTCTGTCCTGTTAGAAAGAGACAATCGCAACAGACTTTATCAGATAAACAATAAATACAGAAGAAGAAGAACCAGCTCTGGCATTATTTATGTGTGATGGCTGATTATTAAACTTCACATTAGGGTCTGATTTAGCTTCTCTGTGATGGGTCAGAGACATGAAAAGCACCCTATGGAAGTTTTTTGTACTGTGGAAAGAAACTATGGATATCTGCGTTCCTTAGTTTCTTTAAAATTTGTTTCCAAACATAAAGACATTTTTTACTCTGATGAGGTGATTTTGGTCGATAGTTTAGGTTTTGTTTTTGTTTTGTTGAACTCTGGGTTTTCAGTTTTCTGTCCAGTTAATTTAAAAATAATGAGCGGAGGACAATTATTATTATTATTGGGAAAAATAATGACAAGTCCACCTGAAACGGGACCTGAAAATTTCACTTGATCATACCAGGGTTACAAATGTTGGTGTTGCGTCAAGTTTCAAGGTCTAAAAGTGAAGTCGCAGAGCCACCTCTGAGTTAAACTACTCCCTGCTGCACCATTGCAGCAGCAGCAGCTCACACATGTTGGATTTTCTCGCCCACTTTTGCTGTTTGTACACTCATCCTGAACCTCCACGTTATAAAACAAGCTCCACATATCTACTCAATGATTTTCCATTGAAGCCAGTGATCAATCCCACAGAGCACGAGCTGTGCTGCGGGATCTGATTCTGTGACGCAGGCCAGTAATGAAAAGAGGGCGAGGAGGAGCGTGGAGCTGGTGCGATGGAGGGTGAAGATACGAGTGTCTGAATAATCTGGATAGAAGGTCATCCTCCTCTTCCTCCTCCAGCTGCAGACTGGAACCTCCTCTTACTCCAGAGGGGCCGGTGGTAACACCAGCCGAAGACTCGTGAACAAGTGCATCATTTTAGTCTGATCTGTCAAAACAGAACGGATTTGGAAACAAAAATATAGATCTAATGGCGTTTCACCTCAGGCATGACTAAACCAGAGCATTCAGAGAACAAAAACCCAACAAACCAAGATTCAATAGTCAGTCAACTGCCTACTTTCTCAAAGGTGTTTAAATAAGAAAAACCCTGACTTTGACTTGTTTATGTGTCATTTGTTTACTTATGTTATTTTAAAAGTAAACATTTTTATGCTAAAAATGAAGGAGGAGTTTGCATCAAAGCAAAGCTAAAAACTGAGAACTGAACAATAATTTTTATTGTTGGTCAGAAGGATGTAAACATGTCTGACATGTAAAATCTGTATTTAAATGCACACATCACATGATCTAAAACAATCCAATCACAATCATTTTATGTTTAAACTGAAAGAAAATTGAATCAAACTGATTACTGGTCTGCTTTTCCTCATATTTATATTTTAAACTTTAGCGGTATAACATTACATTTTAGCTGCGATGTGACTCCTCGAGCGACAACAACAAATCCAATAGACTCAGAGAGAGGAGACAGGTTTTCCTACCTTCCTGAGGTTTTCCTTCACCGAGGGTTTGGTGCAGTTTCCCATCACCAAACCAATCAACTAAAACCAACTCAGTCACACCGACCTCACAGCGGAGGACGCAGCATCCTCCTGCAGCTAATCCCCCTCCCCCTCCTCTTTTCTCCTCTTTCTCTCCATCACTCCCTCCCTTTTTCTCATAATGCTCTGACGTTCAAACAACTTTAGCAAAGGGAATTAACACTGAGACTTTAATCTTTAAGGTTTTTGATTAAAGATGGAGGAATGATGGTGGCGACGAGCATTAGGAGACTTCCAAAAGAGCAGATACGGTTGAGATGAATGGAAATGATCCTAAAATCTAATCGGCTTTAACGGTTTTCTCAAAGCAACAATAAGAAAAAATATCAATTATTGCTGCAGGTTTAATGCTCTAATTTTTAAGGGAAGAGTTTAATTTAGCAAAATATGACCTCTTTTTTCCTGCAGACTTCTCTACAAAACACCATGAGATCTTTTTTCTCTGGAACAAAAGCAGTCATAGAATGAGATGGTGAGGACAACCCATAATAAGCTGTTTGCAGCTGATGACGTGGACTGAACTGACTCTTAAAAATACCTTACAGCTTTATCACTCACGTAAATAGCTTTTTATTTGGTCCAGATTTGTTTCTGATATCAATCATCAAAACTTATTTTAAATGTAAACAGTTGATAAATGACTCAACATTAAAGGAGAGGGACAGCAGAGTCACCTGAAAACACTAAAGGTGTCATTTAAGACTTTAGGAAAAGACTGAACTTCACCACTAGAGGTCACTGCAGGACAACCTGGATAAACCTGACAGTTGGCGTTTATGTCAAAAAACTAAAGCTGAACTTTCTCTGTAGCAACTTTTAAATGGAAAACAGTCATTGTGTGCTGATGACTCTTGTTTGATCACTACAGACATGAAAACTGACGACCTAAACTTTGTGTTGATTGTGAAAACCCTGTCAGATTTGTTAAGCTACAACGGCAAATTAGGAAAACAAATTAGCTTCAAACTTTTTTTTTCATTCCTCTTAACGTTCTAACATAGGAATAGCTATAAATATGTTGCAGAGATTAAAAAAACAATCAAACTAACAAAAATAAGTGGTTCTCTGGCATTTGCCTAAAAACCTCCACCAATAACACACTTTGGCCTGAAAGCAACTATTGGACCATCCGGTTGTCGGTCTGCTGAACCACCACACTTCCCTGGGTCCTCCACTCATTACACACTCATGCATTTAACAACAGAGCACCACTGGTGTGTGAGGTTCTCTGCTCATTAACATCAGAGAAGGAGAAACAGCCGGCTGCTACCACTTCAACTTTAGAACAAACTACCAGAGTCCCAGAGAGAAAATCACCATTTGAAGACACGGACAACAAAAAATGTTTGGACCTAGGAAACGGCGACTGGTGTTTAGTGCTATCTTGTTTCCTCAGGCTGTGTGGGTTTCTGGTTCTGGTAAATGCAGAAGATACCTGAGTGGAGGTGTGTGATTGCATTCAAAACCTAGCTTGTTCTGCAGATTTGCTAAAGCAGCTTTAAAAGCAGAGAATTGTGTAAAATGCTGATTCAGAGTGAAATAAATCTGTGCAAAAAAGGAGCCACAAAATGTTTATGATCTTCAGGAATTCCTGATTTAAAAGAAAACATCAATCTGTAGAGATTTGTCATGAAAAACGCAAAAGAAGACAAAAGACTTTAACTAAACAGTCTGTTTCTGCGTCCTCAGATTAAAGTTTAAATTCCATCACTCGAAGAACATGAGGGAGAAAAAAGGATAGGAAGTATGTGAGCGTGTGGAAATGACTGAAGGAGATTTCTCAACACCGGTTTGGCTGACGCTTGTCATTGATCAGTTCTCTTTCTTTACAGAAAAGATGTATCTAAACAGGAAAAGGATGAACCACCTCTAAACAGGTTCAAAGGTTGATCATCAGGGAATAAATATTAATACCAAGCAGCAGACAAAGGTCATAGGGCACGGCAGGCTGATTTATCACGCTTTTGTGCCTTTTCAGGCTGCAGTGACTGAAACACTTCTTATCAATTAGCAACAGAAGACCTGCTGATGTCAAATATTTCCTTAGTTTGCTGAAGAGATAACAATCATCTCTAACACGATGAATCTGATTGGTCTACAGAACAACTCAGCTCCTCCAACAACTGTGACACAAAACTGACACCAACTAGGATACACAACACCTTACAGATTAATTACCTGGTTGATTGCCAGCCTCCTACTGAAAAATTCAATTAAGGAGCTCCTAAATGTGTGCGCGCACACACTCACACACACACACACACACACACACACACACACACACACACACACACACACACACACACACACACACACACACACACACACACACACACACACACACACACACACAAGGTACTCTGTGTAATAAGAGAAACTGGCAGTTGTCAGGTATGTGTGTGTGTGTGTGTGCGTGTGTGTGTGTGTGTGTGTGTGTGTGTGTGGGGGGGGGGGGGGGGGGGTGCAGAATAGTTTGATCTAGTGTCAGATGTTGGTCAGAGGATTTTAAAGAAATGACATTCAGCAATAAGGAAGGGAGGAAGAACACTTTCCAGATTGTGACGCTGACATAAACGTGAGACAAGAAGAGAAACTGGATCACCAGAACAGATTTGGACTTTTATGGCAGTGTTGCATCACCGTTTCTTGGAACAACAAAATGAAGTGAGATCAACAGCTGGAGCGTTTCACTAAAAGCTAGTTTACTAGTCCTCTAGTTTGTGGATCAAGCAGTTTTAGATGCCCTACGGTACATTGTCTTTGTTTAACTTTAATGAGGATCTATTTGACTCCCAGAGAAAAATCTACTTGAATACAAACTTGAATGTCATTATTGATCATTGCTCGTGTTGGGATTATTATTTTAATTTTGCAGTTGTAACTTCAGCAGTAGATTAGAATCTTTTTGATGTGAAGTTTGTGACATGACGCTTTTATGTCATCACCAGATTTCATCCGCTTCTTCACGACCTTTTTGCTTCAACAACAAAAAGATGAGAAAAATACGGCATATACATATATTTTATATCATTTGCCTGCATTGTGTCTGATTGGATCATAGAGTTTTGTATTGTATGTTTTGTGTGATCTCATATGACGTTTCTATCACATTTAAGTGTACAAAGTGGCCCTTTATTGTTCTTTCTACTACAGATTAAGTCTCACTAATGCTGAAATACAACCATAGAAAAGGACATCACTTCCAGAAGTAGAAGGATCTGTTAAACCCAAGTGTAACGGCTCTAGTGTACTGTCCTGTAGCTCGTTCAGATTTTCAGGACCTTTTAGTGAATCCAACATCTTGCCGCTCCCTGACGAAGTGAGTCTAGTTTTGTTATCCATCCCTTTCAGGACATGAGTTTGTGCCGGCCATCTGTTTCACTTGCGCTCATCCTGTGGGAGCTGAGGTCTTTAGGAGCACTCTGTGTCTGACTTGTCTGCTCAACGTAAGCTTCGTGCCATAATTCACCGACTGTCAGTTTCATATGATCTTCTGTTCTCTTTTCTCTTCTCTCCAGACTTTCCTGACTTATCCTTCTCCCACTCACTCAGCCGCTCTGGCTGTTTTTGGATCACTTGCATCAGCGCTGACATCACATATTCCTTCATAATGTTTTTAATCGGTGCCTTTTGTCTAACCTCGTCACACTCAGGGGAGTTTCTGCATCAGGTAGATGTCTCTCTCTCTCTCTCTCTCTCTCTCTCTCTCTCTCTCTCTCTCTCTCTGTGTGTGTGTTTCTGATTCAAACTGAGCTCAGGTCAGCAGCAGGAAACAAGAACAGCTTTAACTTTATTCTGATCTCCTATGGTTTTCATTTCACATCCAAACTGGACACTTTCTCGCTGTATGGTGGTCTGACCTTGAGAGGATGGATGCTGCGTGTCACCGTGTCGTGTGTCGTTCCTGATGGGATGTGATGTGATACGGAGCTTATAGGGTGACAGCAGAGACGAGACGCTCATCTGATCTCTTGCTCTCTGTAGTCGTATCTGTTACGGATTACCCTTTCCTAATGTTTCTCAGAGTATAGGAGCTGAAATCCTCTCAGATTCACACATGCTCTCAGCTTCAGACAGCTCATCCTAGCCTTTCCTTGAGGGTTTAAGGGGTCAAAAGGAAAGATGAAGTGGTTAATTTTAGTTGTGAGTGTGGTTTCAGGACCTTCAGCTCTGTGAGGTCACAGAGGTCAGGAATCTGGAGGAGGCTGCTGGAGGATGTAGGGTTTCAGCTGACAGGAGCAACACAATGAAACACACACACACACACACACACACACACACACACACACACACACACACACACACACACACACACACACACACACACACACTGATAACTCTAGTCCTACCTGTCCAAAGACTGAGTGTACCATAGGCAGCAGATCCAAGGGTTCCTCCTCCTCCTCTTTCTCCACATTTCTCCTCTGTGACCCCTCCATCATCTCCTCCAGCTTCTCCTCCAGGTCCTCGCTGTCCTCGGCTGCCTTTGTTTCTGTCGCGGTTTTAGGTAACTGTTTGGGTTTCGGGCGCTGTTGAGAAGCCACACTCTGAGTGTCTCCTCCAGGCACGCCCTGGTCGATACTTTGCTTCTTCTTCTTCTCCATCTTCTTCTTGATGGCAGCCTGAACCTGTTTAGGAGCAAACACACAACGACACATCCAACAATTAAAACTGGTCAGTTATTCAGGCGTGCATTAATGCAACATCATACATGCAAAACCCTCAGATGTCGTCTCAACGCTGAATGAAACTTTTCAACTTGTTAAATTTATATTTCCAGAGAATTTTCAGACCGGTGCATGAAATGTTTCTACAGAATAGCATTTTTAACCTTTCAGTTGATGTCAAAACCTAAATCCTCTCCCCAAAAAACCAATAATTTACCATTTATTATTTTCTAAGTGTTCATTTGTTCATCAGTTTTACTTGCACGTGGCCTAAAATCATCCCTACGACTGTAGAACCATGCAGAACTTCACCGTTGCAAATGTAACCGCATAAGAACAACCCACGACAGAAACAAACACATGAATCTATAGAAATCTGTGTAAAAATATTTCCTCCCCCACACACACCTGCTTAGCGCTTCTCTCTGGTGGTGCGCTCATCGCTCCAGCACCGCCTCCTGCGGCGGATGGCTCTCGAATGAGCATGAACATGTCGCTGTGACAGGCTCAGACTCACAAACACACTCTCTCTTCCTCCCCCTCCCTTGCCGTCTCTCTCCGCTTCACTTCTCCTCTGCAGCTGCTCTGTTCGATTTTACATCAGCGTGCTCAAAAATCCACATAAACTCTGTTCAAAAAGAAGATCCTCGGACATGTCTGATGCCCAGCTTTGCAACAAAAAAGTGTTTTAATATTTAAAGCCAAAAAAAAAAATGAAAGTGAGATGATGAGTAAATGAGTTCCAGGAGAAAATGCAGCTCAGTTTCCCCTCTCCCCTTTTCTTTCCGTCCTCTTACTTCCTGCAGGTGGTTTCCTCAGAGTTTCTCTGTGCTTCTGCTCATATGTGTCTTTAGGTGTGTTCAGGTGAGGTTTTTATTATCATCAGTTGTCTTGGCTCTGGGATTGAGTTCCTGCTCCTCTGCCCCCACCAGCTATCTCCTGATCCTTCAGGTGACACTCTATCCCTCCTGAACTTTACCTCCCCTTGTGTTATCTACCTCTAACATGTCGATCTCTGGCTCTCCTTCCCTTCCTCACCTTTTTCCACCTTTTCCCTTCATCACAGGTAAACACCTCTCTTGTTGCCTCTGCATGAGCTTTCTCGCCCGTCATGCAGCTATCATGAAGATAACACTGTTGTTTATGTTGCCATGGACTGGTGATGACGATGGTTCGGGTTGGGGTTTGGGTTAGGCAACAGAAGCAACTACAATGTCCCTACCACTGGAGGAATTACAATGAAACTCTCAGATGGAAGTAAGTGCACATATATTTACAAATCAGTCTCATTGAAAATGTTTGTTCGCTGAGAAACCATGTAGTGTGTGTTCTGTGTGAAATACGATCCGTCACTCTGAGTTGCATGTGTGTGATGCGTGTGAAAATTTTCTTCAACCCCTATCGTCTGCATTAGCTGCAGAAATAATTTAGACGGTGGAAGGATCCGGTCAGAAAAAGCCACTCTCTTCTACATCACAGGGAAATATTTGCATTCATGGCCAAGTCCACCTTGGTTCAAGACTGCAGGAACCTGTTTTGATTGAGTGGCCAGAGTGCTTCACGGCTAGTAGAAGCTAACCATTAGCAAATGCAGCTACATAACAAGAAGGAACAAGCTTAGGGCTTGTTTTATTTTTGAATATGACACAACAATGTTGCAGTTTTGCAAATAATTTTCTTGAGTCAGTATGTGCTAAAATGACCCTTTACAGGGTTATTTAAAGGCCACCCAGCCCATATCGCCCCCCTGTGGCCAAAATATTCCACTTGCAACTTCAGACTGGCAGGTCACTCTGTTGGGATGATTATGTGATGAATCACTCCTGTAGACACTAATGAAGGCTAGGAGATGTTTCGGCTGTTAGATTACGGTGTTAAAAAAGACGAACGCACAGGGAGGAGATAGGTTTTGCTTTCAGTAAACACAAGCCAAAACTTATAGTTCCCCTTTAAGAGAGTTTGTGCTCTGCTTACTAATTAAAACATTGACACATGATGCTGTGGTGCCAATAGGGAGCGTCTCTTCCAATTCCAGTTGGCTCATGGGCACCCCGAAAGAAACAAAAATAAATGTAAGTAGACGGGGCTTTAAAAGTTGTTTTCTGATCCGCTTTGCCTCATTCCCTCAGTCACACATATGTTGTACTTCAGTTAAAATGATAAATTAAGTGTTTCGACTATGTCTGTCACGTAATTTGGGATTTATTTTCTTGGAAAAATACATGAACAAATTGGCCACAAATCAGAAGTTGCAAGTATGACATCACAGCAGAATCTCTTCTGGCCCAGCGTAGCTGCTACTCACCACATGATCAGATTAGTGGTTTTCTCCACGTTTAATCCTCATTCTGTCACCCTGGAAGCTCACTAAACTCACAGTCATTTTTTCTTCCCCTTGTCAGGTTTGATGATGTGAATTTGGTGGGACGAGCATTTACAATCTACTGTGGTTTCACACAAAACCTACATTTTTTCCACCGATTGAAAATAAACACTTTCTTGGCCACAAAATGTGCCTTCAACACACCGTATTTTAAATCCATGGCGCATGTCAAACAGGATCAGAAAATAACTTTTATAGCCCCATCGACTCCCATTCATTTCATTATTGTTTTTTTTTTTTTTTTTTTTGGTAATCGGGGATCCATAGACTGGACTTATGGCTCCTATCAGCGCAACCTAGTATATTAACCATTTCAATGTATGAAAGGACTATATAAGGTTAGTTCCCAATCCCAAAAGATCTCAGCTTTGCAAGGTTACTGAGATTTTCTACAAATAAAAGAAAGTGTGGAATTTATTTCCCAGGTTTTTGGGCTGACTCCTGACACCTGCTATAATTTGAAAGTGGAAGCTAACTAGCCTACCTGTAGCTAGCTGCCAGAACACTGGCTGCCATCAAGCCAAGCAGTATTGTGAATTTTGTTTACAAAGCCAGCAGAAGAGTCACATTGCTGTTAGCTGATCAGAGGCAATACATTTGCATTTCATGAACATTAATGAGCAAGACTCATAATCCTGTGTTCAACTCATTTGCAGTGGTCTGTAGTAAGAATGAATACCTTGTAAGTCGTGCTGTGGAGGGGGAAAAAATCTCTGGTGCGCCTGTTTCAGCATGGAGAATTCAGCCAGAGGAGATCGTAGCTTCAGACGGCAGGATTTGGAGTTTTATTTCCTGATATTTGGACATCCCACCCCGGACTGGCTAAGAGTAAAGCAACTTTACCACTGACTCCATTTTCTTTGCAACGTGAATGTTTTATCTCCACAACTATCACAAGCCTAAAGGAGTTCTGTCCTGTGGTTGCTAATGCTAATGGTTAGCTTCTACTAGTCGAGACATTCTCTGTTGTTTCCTGGGTGCTAAACCAACAACAGCGAGTCAAGATGGGCGAGTCTATGGATGTGAAGTGACAGTGCCCATGTTAAACTCAGAGTGACCAATCATCTTCAAAAATAATAAGTAAAAATTTGTTTCTCAGTGAAGCTTCTCTTTTAACGAATAAGACTTTAAACCCTCTGGAGGCAGGCGTTGCAGATTTGCAACAGTTAAAGCCTACCTACCTGGTTACTCCACATACGTATTTCATGACCATATTTAAACTCAGAAGTACCCCTGAAGGACTTAGTTGCTCGTCCTTTTATCAAAACTTATTTTGAGCCTGAGAGGGTTAAGAAAGCTGCCATTCTATTTTATATCTACATAATCTATATCTATTGTGTCTATAACTCAGTAAAAGTCAGTTACTGAGCTCAACATTGTGGTGTCAGTAGCTGAATGCATCCCCAACACAAACTTTGACTGTTAGCTAAATGTGTCAACCACTGGATGGGCTTAATGAAAAAGAATAAATCTGAACCAAAAATTAAAGCTTCCTAATCTCAGCAAACACAAAAACTGTTATAATCTAATTAGGCTAAAATCTGATGTTTGTACTGAAAGTACACATAGCATGAGTAACAGATATTTTAACCTAAAAAGCTCTAACTCCATCATTTTTCAACATAGGACGATTAAAGCTCTGAAACCAAAGATGGTGAGCTATATGAATCCCTTCAAGCAATGTTAGCCCTTGAATTTATTTTTTATCACCCAATTTCTTGTCATCATCCATCCCCTCCATCACTAATCCTGAAGATTTCTCCTCTCAATCTTTACATCCTCAATCCTCCGTCAAGGCTGAAGCTTTTGTTGTAACACAAATGGGATTTTTTAATTTTGTGTGTGTGTGTGTCTGTGTGTGTGCCTCTGTGTGTGTGTGTGTGTGTGTGTGTGTGTGTGTGTGTGTGTGTGTGTGTCTGTGTGTGTGTGTGTGTGTGTGTGTGTGTGTGTGTGCAGAGCCCAGGCCAGATATTCATCGTGTTAGAGATGGAGGAGGAATGAAGGGATGCAGCAACCTCAGTTGTGATGCAGTGATGAAAGGCTTTTGTTTAGCTGGAACACATCACCTCTGTGTTGTCCCGCATGCATAATCTTATCCACCAAGCATGACTGAGTAGACACACACACACACACACACACACACACACACACACACACACACACACACACACACACACACACACACACACACACACACACACACACACACACACACACATACACACATACACACAGGTGGGCATGTCACCACCAACCTCTATTTTTAGACCAGTGTTCATGCAAGCATGTAAACATATTAATGTGCTTTTTGGTTTTCTGGTGAAATCTGATGTTAACTTTGTAAAGGAAGTAATCCCACTAAAAGCATCAGGTTTCTATAAATAAAATTCATTTTTCTCTCATCAAGGATGTCAGCAGGTGTTTCAGTGCTCTGAACTAACGAAGCAGCTCACTTTTTGTCCCCGTGTCACCCTGAATTCTCTCCTCACAGTCCTGTTAACCTGCATTAAAAATTTCTGTTTCAAACCGAAACCCTGACCGATAATGTATAGCTTGCCCTCTTTCCAGTTCCAAATGAGGTTTCCATTGATCACTTTGACTCCATCTTTTAGCGGCCTCCCTGTCAGTTCTCGGCCCCCTCTTCCTCATAGATTATTGACGAGAGGTCAGTGACAAATTCTCGTGTCGAAGCAGAACCGAGATCCATTACAGAAAAAAACAGAAGGCTTGAATTAGAGCTCGTATTTTAGGAACAGACTTGCAGAATAAAAAACGGGGAAAAGACAAATGGACTCAGTGATGAAGATGAAGCTGACAGAGTGGAAAAGTTTCAGTGGAAATTATTCAAAACAACTTTTTAAACATTTTCATCTCAAATGTCACCTTGACTATTAGAAACTGCTCAAAGTCGAGTTGAAGGAGGAGTGACATCTGAGCAGCACCAGCCTGTGTCTTTACATGTTGATCAGCCTTTTATAATATCTGATTACATATAAGCAGTTAGTCTATGATTAATGTATAGTCACATGACACAGAAAGATTAAGCAGCAGATAAGTTTTATTCACGTCAGACTAATTCTCATTATTTATTTCTTTGTAACTGTAGTCACAGATTACTGAATTTCTCAGCTGACACAAAGGAACTCATTAACCTAGCTTAAGCAGACAACGACTTTGGGTATCTGTGACAGGTAAACACCACAGTCAGACACCACCAGGACACAGCTAACCACATCATTATCTTAAGGAAAATGGTATTTACAGTCCTACAAATCTGATACTCTGTATTTGGCTTTGGTTAAGTTTAGCTAGACCACAATTTAAAGAAACGGTGTACGGTTTTTACCGTTAATCTCTGGAAATATCAATCAAAATGTTGTTGAAAATGAATTAAATGATGCCCAGTTTTTGGAAAATAATGGTGACATGGCAACATATAATCATAAAAATCAGGTCTAAAATACATGAGAGCGGGTCTAAGTCTCTGGGCAATGCCATATTAAACTCCATGTTTCCTTCTACAGTAGCTCATGAGGACAAAATTCATTTACTGATTCATGTACCTCTTCACTTGTTGCCAGTGACGAAAGGGAGTCTGGTGTGCTGGTCAGTTTGATGGAAGTTGCACTCCCAGGGATGTTTGACCCCAATGGCCATCCGTTGGTAAGGTGTCACTTGAACACAAAAGTACTGCTTGCTTGCAATGATTTAAGTATGTACCGCCCCCTATCACAATGGAAAATACACATAGTAAATTTAACGTACACAGTGGTTCAGAACAGCAGCGTAGTCAAAAACTGCCTTTCAGCTGGGCCGGTGGGGGCAAATAATTGCCGTTGAAAAAGAGGGTATTTGTAAGTTCCACTTTTGCTTCAACATATACATCTATAAATATCAGAAATACTGTTAATTTATATTTTATTCAGTTTCTTTTTATATTATGATGACCTGAAATGCCACCCCTCCAAAAAAATGTACATATAATTTTTTTAATGAAGCCGTTTGACTGGGTGGGCCTGGGTCCATGGTCAGAGGTATGAGACAAGGGCCACGGGTGTGTGATGGTTTTAATTTAGACTTAATTGAATTCAACTATAAGATACACTACCCAACCAAAAAAAAAAAATAAAAATAAAGTTGTCACCTGGAGCCTCCTATTGGATAATTACTGCATGGGCGATTATCTGTCAGCTGACGAGTTATTTAAGCCCAACTGGTGCAATAAGTTGCTTCTCTTTTTTTAAACAACCAGGTGGAAAGACACATCTGATGGTCATGGAATAGATGTTAGTCTGTGTGAGAAAGGTCAGATCATTGGTATCAAGCAGAGGAAACATTGAAGGAGATTGCTGAAACGACTAAAACTGGGTTAAGAACTGTCCAACACATTATTAAAACTGGTCTGATGAGTCCAGATGGACCCTGTTCCAGAGTGATGGTGAATGATGATGAGATGAAGTGATGCACCCATCATGCCTAGTGCCTGCTGTACAAGCCTGCGGGGGCAGTGCTATGATTTGGGGCTGCTGCTGTTGGTCAGGTCTAGGTTCAGGTCTACCCGTTCCAGTGTAGTGTGTCTGTCTATCTAGCTTAGTGAAACTCCAAAAATAAAGACCTTTGTTAAACAAATAGATCCTAAATTCAGATTTGGCTTTGGTTGCCCTCTGGTGGAATCAGCACAACTAACAACAGCTTCAGATGTAAATGTATTGAAGCAGAATTTAATGGAACATTAATATGCAAACAAAGGGAAATTGTGAATTTTTTCCCCAACCTGGGATCTTTCTGCATGGAGTTTGCATGTTCTCCCTGTGCGTGTGTGGGTTCTCTCCGGGTACTCTGGCTTCCTCCCACGGTCCAAAAACATGACTGTTAGGTTGATTGGTCTGTCTAAATTGTCCCTAGGTGTGAGTGTGTGTTTGTGTGTGTGTGTGTGTATGATTGTTTGGCCTGTGTGCCTCTGTGTTGCCCTGCGATGGACTGGCTCTCTGTCCAGGGTGTACCCCGCCTGATTGCCCATTGACCGCTGGAGATAGGCACCAGACCACCCAACCCCCACCCCCCGCGGCCCTACATGGACAAGCGGGTTCAGAAAATGGATGGATGGATGGAAAAGCATTGGAAATTTTTAAATAATGAGCACCTTTAAAAATAACTTCAATCTGAGATGTTAGTTTTATATTTTTATAAATATAAAATAAATGCCTGTACAAAATACTCTTAAATCTACAACACTTTACCATTTACCAACTGCTGTTGTTAGATATAGCAAAACCATAAAAACTGACACATTTTAAAAGCCCTTTCAAAATTTTTATGTGAAAACATAAAAAAAAACATTTCATTTTCACAGATAATAATTATTAAAGATAAATATATTATAGATGCCCCAGTGTGCATTTCTAGGTTTGATTCGAACCAAGGTAGACAGTGAGTGCTCATACTACAATGGTATTTTGTGTATAAAAGTTAATCTGGCTCAATAATAGAAAAAGCACCAATGTGTCAAAGTAAAACCTTTTAAAGCAGTTCAAATGTTGGGCCTAAATGAGATCTTTTCTGTGGTTTGCAGCATGAGTCAGCTTAAATTGGACTTCAGGCAGGGGCACCTCCAGAAACTTTGTATACGAGTGGCCAGATGGGGCCAAAGAAACTTTTGGGTTGGCACACCAAATTGATCTTTGTGGTAACTCTAGTAGCGTTTAGCCTGTGGAGATGCACTGCATTGTTTCTTTGTTTTATTAAAAAAAAAACTAAAAAAAATAAACAAAAAAATAAAAAAACCTGTGTGTATCCAAAACATTTAACCCAGATTTTACAAACACAAACAATTCATAAAAATACATTTAATTATTTTAAAATGTCATTTCAAAATGTATTTTTAATATCATTATTTTTTTTTATTCAGCTGTTGCTGTGTTGACAAAAAAACTACGGAAATAAAAACTTTTTTAGTGAAAAGCAGAAACATGTATTTTTTAAATTTTGATTATTTCTTTACTCATTAATTGTATAAATTTTATTGTGTTTTACATCTAGGTCTTGAATAAATAAGATTAATTTATAATTTGAGTGAACATTATTATGACTTATTAACACTGGCTTTTCCGGGGGGGGGCAGCAATTTCCTAGAGACAGCCATGGCCATCCCTTGGGGACGCCATTGACTCCAGGTGCTTTTGAGATCCGTGCTCTTGCTTTTCTGTTTAAACAAAAGTTGAATGAACACACAGACACACAGGACAGAGACAATAGTTGTTAGGGGGAATAGTTCTTCGATAGATTTTTGTTGTTTTTGTGGAGATGTTTTGCATTCCTTATATTGCTTAATCATGTCCCCTTGTTCAGTCCCCCTGCTTTGATTCCATTGAGTGGAATGATCTAGGTTGGAGTGGGTTGTTGTGAACCAGTATGAGTTATTTCAATTGCCATTTCCTACTTGTGTACCGTATTTTATGTGGCTATTGTCGACAACAGCGAGGAATGTTTTTAGTTCTGAAGTCAACCAAACCTTGCTACTTCTTGCTGGCATCTTCTCACGACCGTGGACAAATAACGATACAAATGACAGCACTTAGGTGTTTATTTATGATGCCATTTTTCGGTTTCACAATCAAATAACTTGTGTGACGCTAGTCACTCCGCCCTAGTTGTACCGCTCCAAAGTCCTATGGACCTAAAACTGAAGGGTCCATGTTCATTGTATGTTCTGTTTTTACAACAAAAAGACAGGACAGCGTCCAACCTGTCCTGGACCACTCAATAGGGAGCCTAACCCCGGTTACACACTGAAAGCATCAGCAGCACAGAACGGCAGCAGAACGTCACTGCTTCAAATAAAATCCATTGTAGTTTATGAAGGGTTTCATACCAACCGCAACACAGCAATTTTCAGACGTGTCCCTGAAGTGGCTCGCTGTGCCGCCAAAAATAGGATCGGGTTCCACTTTTGCCATTAACTGCTTCTGGGACACGTTAATTTCCACATTTAACATAGAGCTAGACAGGAAATCGCACATGGTTTCAGTGTAAAATCCTCAATAATTTTCAAAATAAAAGTTCAGCAGTGATGCTATTTCATATATATGTAGCTTAGTTGTTACCCAACAGCTTATTTACTCCCAGTATCATTCCAGAAGTGCAGTGGTGTGTTTTTCATGGCTTTAATCCTGGCAGTGGAGAGGAGAAACAGCATATATGACATCATACAGTGACATCAAACGCGATTTCCTTCTTTTTGGTTCAATGGCGGATTGCATAAACAAACCGTGACCTTTGAAGTCTTGAGGGAGCTTGTGATCTTTCGAGTCAAGCAAAGAGCACAGCGAGGAAGCCGTTCTGCGGCCAAGGCTCTCCCAGTGCGAAAAGGACCGCTTCGAAATTTGCGAGTAAACTGCTGCGCTGCCATTACATGCCGCTGATATTTCCAGTGTGAAACTGGAGGAAGTCTCCTCCCCTTCTGGTCGGCTCATGGGAACGACGGAAAACTGAAAGCAATTCAACGGGCCAGGACTGTCAAAGTTATTTTATAATCTGCTTTGCCTTATGCCCTGAATAACAAACATGTTGCACTTCAGATTTGTTAGCTTGTAAAACTTTGTGAATAAAATGACTACAAATCAGATGATGCACATATGACATCACAGCAGAATAACACTTATCACATTGCCAGATTGTTTTCTTTGGTTTTCTCCACGTTTAATGCTCCTTGTGTCATCCTGGAAGAAAGATTTGAATATTGTTAAACTCAGTTATTTTCTTCTCCATGACTGGTTCGATGACATCAATATAGTGAGATGCATTTGAAGTCTTTTCACACAAAACCTGAAGTAACTTTTGCCACCGCTTTCTGGGCGTGAAATCATGTGTCTTTAAAATTCAGGGACATCATACGTGAAATCCACTGCACACATAAAACGGGATTCGAAAATAGCTTTTATAGCCCCATTGACTTGCATTCATTTTTTCTTATTTCCGGCCCGGAGACCCGTGGTCCAGAAATAGATGGATGTGACTTTGTCTCTCTATAGAACTGATGCTAAAAAAAATCCGAAAGTCATTATCAAGCAGAGATCAGATGGATTCAATGACTCTGGTCTCCAGTCTATCCCCAGAATGGCGTTACGATGGAGAGCGGCTCCCGGTTCTGCCCGTTGATTATTGGCCAGGGATTGAAATAAGGAAAAACGGGCTCTTTAAAGTCTGCTCTGTAGAAAGTGTACAGGTGGCTCATGTCTGCAGCATCATAAAAACCCACCTCCCCACGCCCAAAGTCCAGATAGACCCCCACCCTCTTAGGGGGTTTCAGTGGATATATCAAATTCTCGTCTAAATCGGTGCATGCTTCATACTCGCTGGTGCCATTACCGTTGTCCCTCCGCACCAGAGTCCAGAATCCATCATCTGGGCAGAGGCTGATTTCCTCCTTTCTGTTGACGGAGGCTCTGGCGACGCCCAGACCCCATGCGGTTTTGCAGCCCACTTCCACTTCCCAGTAGTGTCTGCCTGAGGAGAAGGCTTCAGAGCCCAGGACAATGTTATAGCGAGTGAAGCGCTCAGGGTTGTTGGGCAGGTGTGCTTGGATTCCTCCCACCTGGACGCTGGTGCGACAGGGAGACACCCATAGGCAAGGGTAGGCTGTGTCTGGGTCAAGGGTCACAGCTGAGACAGCTGGGAGGACAAAACACGAGTTAGAACAGAATCAGTGCAACTGCAATTATGTTTTTAGGAAGATGAGTCAACTTTTAGCAATAACATTCGGATGCTTTTGAATACCTGGAGAATTAAAACAAGACAAATAGTTTTCCACAGAGATGAGGAACCCAGAAAGATGTGGCTGAAAAATCTTAACTTGAAAACCGCCAAAAACCTAATGTGTTCATTTCATTTTGTTGTGAAAAAACCCAGAAAGGAACACCCACACCCTACTTTGTTGTTGGATATGACAAACCCGCAGAGAAGAGACGCCGGGCCTTATTTCATGTACGGATGTCCAATATTATCGGTCGACCAATATTATTGGCCGATATTGGCATTAAAACATTGTATTGAAAAATATTGGTGTCGGTTTTTACTTCTTTAGTGACCCAGCGTTTACATGTGCATATTACTTTTCGGCTTCATCTTCTTTTTCTCAAAATGTCAAAATATGACAGATCCGAGGTTTAGTTTTTGGGATGTTTAGATACCTATCTTTGATCAAGCAGTGTTATGTTAAACTCACAGCATTTCCCCATTCAACCAGCGAAAAAAGGACAGAAATATAATTGTTCTTACTGATAAAAATAAGCAGAAACTGCTTAAATGATCAGTTAGTGCAGTCAATAACAACAGCTTGCCCTCTTTGTCCAGATAATTCCATGAATAACACCCAAACACAAACACACAGAGGACACAACTAAAGTTCAGAGAGTGGAAATGACCGAATATTTATTAATGTTAGGCCCAGGCTGAGGCCTTTCCCCAGAGCTAGCTCCTAGCGTTAGCTTTTGGCTCTGATTCTCATTTATTATTCATAACTTCAAGCATTTAATTACACTTAAAACTTAAGGAAGAGTTGCAAAACGTTTCACCCCCCTCAGAGTTGTCATGGATGTAAACTATGATCTATTAAACCAAAAATGGTCTTTTGAACCAGGCTATAAACATGTTTATTTCTGAGTGAAATTGGTGTTTTTAACATGGGAGTGAATTGGAACTTGCTCTTTTGTGGAGCCAGACCCTAGCGGATGAGGGTGGAACTGCAGTTTTTGGCACTTCCTTGTTGGGAGCAAAGCCAGCGGCTTTAACTGCCCCCTTGGTTTAGACCCAGACTGCCATTATTTACCTAAAAGTGCCAACCTGTTTGTATTTCACCTGATGCAGGAACTAAAACCCAGGCTAGGTGAAGAGGGATTTAAGGATCTGACTCAACTCTACGTCTGTTTTTAAGTAAATAATGTGTCCCACCTCTTTCAAAGAACATGACCAACCATATTACTATGTCGATACTGATAAGGCTCGGAGCTTTGAGGGTAATTTATTGCCTCGCTGTAGCTAAGTAACTAAAATGCTATTATATGTGAGCTTTGGCCAGATTTTAAGATCCTCCCCCCACCCCTCTAGACCAGCAGACAGAAGTAGTGCAACGGTGTCCTATAGGAGCTGTGACAGCTGGTGTTTACGCATGTTTTCTGTCTCTAAAAGTCCATAAATTGAGGATTTGTGCGACGTGATTGCATCGTCTCAATGTAAATGTATGCAGACCGGAAGATTCTTACATCTTTCACGCAAAGCCAGCTGAAAAAAAAACCCAGCATATGAGATGTTTTTAACTGGATTCTAGACATGCAAGTTAGACCAGCATCCCATCGTGGACCAGCATGCTGCACCAGAGTCCAATTAACAGCATCCCATGCCAGACTAGCATGGGGTGCTGGACCAGCATCCAACCCCCAACACATGCTGTTTTTTCAGCCAGGGGGCCATAAGAATAAGGTGGATATGCTACGAAAGAGATTAAGAGATGAAATCTACATCTCCAATAAGGTTTTTTTTTAATTTAAAATAAAAAAATAAAAAAAAAATCACACAAACATACAAGAGTTTGTTCTTGTACTCTGAGCATAATCTTGTTCTGAAACTTCAGAGGACTCCAAGCGTTGAACTCCAGCCAGACTTGAGACAGAAGCTATATTTATGTGAACATCATGTGACAGCCAGAATGTTTCTTCCTGCCCTGACATGCTCTTTGCCAACGCCTTGTAATAAATAATCAGTTCTAAACTAATATAAATAAATCAATCTGATAGGCAGATAATAGAAATCTGTGCAGGTGAGCCTTCATACCTGGTTGAAAAATTGAGCTCATTTTCCTCCCGGTTCTGTACTGCAAAGGTCCCAGGAATGGTCCTGTGTGCAGATCCACATGGACCTCGGGGAGGGAGTGAAACAAGCTCTGAGCCCTGGAAGGAACACAAATGAAACCATTTATTTGAAGGTAACAAAATTACTGTAAGATCAGGTAGTAATACCAGCAGAAACAAGTAATCTTTACTATCTTTAACTGAAAAAAGTAAAGATTTAGGGCAAAAGGTTTAACAAATCTACTAAAGTCAACTACCAAACTATCAAACTACTAAAGTCAACTATCTTTAACTATTTAAATACATTTCAAATGAAGCAAATATTTATTTTGAAAAGGCATGTAAACCTTGCATCTCTGCAGTCTGAAACCATGTGATGAACATGAGTCATGAACATACTTGGTGCCCTCGCTTCCTGTTGCAGCTAGATTTCATAACTGATTACAAAACATCACCCTCCCTCTGTGACGCTTAGGCTCTCACACAGAACTAAATCTGGAAAACAAAAACTCAAGTATCTAAATTATCTTGGGAAGATAAAACGAAACTCACCCTCCAATTAAGTCTTTTATTCCCTGAAACAGAACAAAGTTACGAAACACGTCAGACTCTGCTGAAACATGCAGAAAAGCCGACGGAGGAATAATCCGATTGGCTGGGACTAAGCCAAATTCTGCTGCGTTCTTCCCCTCACCTTGAGCTGCTGTGGATTCTCTTCCTCTCTCAGTTTGATGTGAAGTTTTTCAGCTGTAGTCTCCAGCTGGCTGATTTGCTCTGTGGCCCGAGTCAGAGCCTCCTCCAGCTGGCTGAGCTTCTCCTCCTTCTCCTTCTGCAGCTTCTCCTTTATGAGCTCCTCTTCCTCAGTGAGGAACTCCTTCAGACGAGCGAATTCTACCACAACCAGCTGCTCCAGGTCTTCTGCTCGCTCCTGAAACACGTTACGGGAAAAAAAAAGAGTCCTGAGAACACCACAGAACAGAAAATATTCATCTGTTGTGTTGCTGCAAGTTCTTCATGCTACTTTTATTTGTTTTATTGTATTTGGCTGGTTTTTAATCAGTAGCCTAACTTTATGTTGGTCACCATTTGACCAAATCACCCCAAAGAAAAAACAAGTTTTAAAATCAATGAAATCTAAATCTTCAATGAAAGAACTGGGCTTAATAAAGTTTATTTTCCTGTCAGAGGTCAAAGGTTAGTTCAAAGGTTGAACATTCAAGAGCAGTGAAGTCCTGTATTTATTTTCTATTTATCGCTATTTTAATTTCCTCCAGATGCTGAAGAAAATGTTTAGTTTTTCAGCAGCAAAAAGCGAGATAACTTATGTTTAAAACCCATCTAACAGAAGCTGTGAGAGTTGAAACAAAAGTGAGTCAAACTCAGATGAAAACCAAAAGCTGACAATTTGTTTTTCCTTCAGTTTAAATTTTATTTAAAGGTGGGTTTTTTTCTATAAACCAACAGTCATACTTGAAATATTTTCAGTAATTGTATAAATGCAAATACAGTTTTATTTCATTATTAAAAGCTTGCATGTTTTAAAAAAACGAATCGAAACCGAGCTACAGCCTGTGGAAACTCCACCTGGAGAGCACCAAGCTGGAATTCTGTGCCAGTTCTGCTCAGGTACCACAGACAAAGACGTCCTGGTAGAAACCTGTGACATTTATTTGCAGCAGCCTCCACATTCCTGTTTGCTCCAAAACCTCTGTTGAAATGCAGAAATCCACTTTAACACAAGAAGTTAGTAAGGTTGTTGTTTTTTGAAGGTTAAAGCCACTCACATCCTTTGCGCCTTGTCCTGTTTTTGTTTAAAGTATAACATACACACCTTGCTGTGGTAAAATCTAGCTTTACGGGGAAAACGAGCCGGCTTCAGCTTGAAACGTTAATTAAGCCAAAACACCAGAACAAGTTCTTTTTTTGGACAAATTTGTCAATTCCGTTAGAAAATGGAATATTTAAAAAGCAATTAAACAATACAAAATACGTATGGATTAATTAATTAAAGTTCTTCATCATTACTGCTTAGTTTAACAACATTATTCGGCACAACAAACGTGTAAAACGTGTGTTTAACAGAACAGCTGCCTAAACAACAGTAGATTACATTGTGTCTGCTGTAGATTTGGCGAACACTTGTTTTTACATCACAGAGTAAATTCTGCAGGAAAAGACATGTTGACAGACTTCTGCTCAACCTTGTTGATCCACATCCTGTAGCAGAAACTGAGAAGTGAAAATCTGTGAATCTGCTGTGAAAGTGGGTCAGAGAGACAGCAAAACAAACAGGCGCTCAGTTCCACAGGAAGGAACAAGAGCTCCGAGTGTTAGCAGCCTACAACACAACGTAGGTGCAGAAATATTCCTGCAGCGTGCTCGTATCTCAGGCAAACACAGGTGTGTGTGTGTGTGTGTGTGTGTGTGTGTGTGTGTGTGTGTGTCACATTATGACTCCAAGGGTGTGAAACACACAAACAGAACTTGACGTGTTCATGGACAACTAGCATGACAATCATCACGGTCATGAGGACAAGTCGTCCCTCAGTTTTGTCTGTCAGCACATGCAGGTGGAGGAATACAGATGAGTGTTGCCGAGTAACCAGACAATCTGGATGTATTCCAAATAAAACAGAAGTTCTTCTCACCTTCATGAGGAGAATCTTCTCACTGGTCTGTTTCTGGAAGAGCATGGCCTCCTCTGCATGCAGCTGTACCCTCTCAAAGGCTGTGGTCAGCTTGTCCTGTTGGTGGAGCAGCAGGAATAAACAACAACATGTTAAAAATAAATCAAGTTAGAAGTGGAGACTTTCAGTTGCTGCTTTGCTCTGAACAACATCCAAACTGAAATGGGAGTCAGGTGATTCTTCACCAAGCTCGAAAACAGGAATTTAGCTCAATAAAATGTGTGGAAATACAGCGAGGAGCCTCCAAACCAATGACAGTCAAATGAGCCTGAAATTGTAAGACTTAGCACTGGCCTGGGGAATTCCTGAAAGAAGTTTAAAAAACAATCACTGACAGTGCAAACAGGAAGAGTTTTTATTCAGACTTCCTGACTATTGAAAGAAAAACCTAAATTAACGTGGAAATGTCTTTGAGACTAAAAGAAAACGTTTTATCTTGCCAACAGGGAGCTGGAAAGAGGACAGTACCCTGTAGTTCTCAAAGGCTTCTATGATGGGGATGACATTGTGGGTCTTGTGTTCCCGGGACATCCCACACACCAGACAGATGGGGAGCTGGTCGTCCTCACAGTACAGCTTCAGCTTCTCCTCATGCTCCTCACACATATCCACCGCCACATGTGCCCAGTGTCCGGTGGACGACACGTCGCTGCTTGTGCTGGAGCCGGTCTCTCGTTCCTCCAGCGCGTCCGGAACAACCTCCTGTTCCCATCCCAGTGTCCCTGCGGCTGCGTCCGTGGTGCGGGCTCTGCGCACGCTGTCCACCACGTTACACAGCAGCGAGTTGGGTCTCAGTTTGCGGGCGCACGACTTCCTGCACTTCGGACAGTTCGAAATCTCGTCCGACTTGGCCTCCCAGCACTGGATGATGCACACCTGACAGAAGTGGTGTCCGCACTCGAGGATCACCGGATCACGGAACAGCTCGAGACACACGGGACAGGTGAGCTCCGACTGCAGCTCTTCAAGCGCGTTGGCGTCCGCCATTCTCCGCAGTGCGCATAATCATCAGGAGAGAACGTCTGATGGCAACAAACCCAGCGGAAAGTGAAGACTACTCTAGACTTCCGTTTAAACTGAGAGAGGGAGTGGTCTGAGGCTAGAAGGAGAAGGAGAGGACGGAGGACACGCAGAGACGAGCTGAGCGCAGCTGCGCAACGGAGCTGATCCATCTGGGGACGCACCTCCAGCATCAGCGTTATAGGAAGGAATACAATCTTAGAAAGAAAGAAAGAAAGAAAGAAAGAAAGAAAGAAAGAAAGAAAGCTAAATTAAATGAATAGAAAAAAATAACTAAAAATAAATAATATTTGATCCATATTGTCATGGTCTGCGTCAGCCCCCTTCCTTTATGTGCCTCCTGGTGTCCTCCATCCCTCTCTAGATTCCCTCTTGTGTCCCTTTGTTCCCCCAGCTCCCCTTGTGCTCTCTTAGCGCCCTCATGTGTCCTTGTCTGCATCCCTGTTATGTGTCTTATGTTGTAGCCCTTTGGCGCCCTCTTGTGTCCTTTTTCTGTGTCAGTTTCTATGTGTCAGTTTGTGTGTCAGTCTAGTGTCTGATGTTATCTTTTACTGTTTCCTCCCAGGTCAGCTCCAGCCTCGTTGTCCCCAGCTCAGTGTGTGTATGTACTATGTCCTCCTCCAGCTAGTTTGTGTGAGTCCTTCCCTCTGTCTTTAGGAAATTGTTTAGTTTTGTGTTAAGGTATTTGCCATCCTCTGTTTCTGTTTTCCCCATTGAGTTGATTAGTGTCACCTGCCTTCCCTCCAGCAGCTCACCCCACACACCTGCTTCCTGTTTCCCTGATTGCTCCTCCCAGTGTATTTAAGCCCTGTCTGTCTCTGTGTTCTTGTCGGTCCATTGTTGCTTGTCAGCGTTATTAGTCCTGTCAGTCTGCTCGTTCCTCTGGTGTTTTTTGACTCCCTGGATTCTTGGATTTTGGCTCCCTCCCTGTTCTTGGATTTATTCTTTATTTTGGACACATCCTACAATAAAAGGATTTTCTTTATTTCAATTCCTGCCTCGTGTCATCCTGGGTTTTGCAATTTGGGTCCTACTCTCCTAAACGTGACAGAATGGACCGACCCACCAGGACCCAGCGGCCACGGATGTACACCTTCCACGGCGACCCGGACTCCTGTAAGACTTTTCTTCTGGACTTTGTTATGCTTCATGACACGGACACGCCAGACATTGATCTGGTAATTAACCTGGTGTTCCTCCTAAGGGGGAGAGCTCTGCAATGGGCCAGCCTATATTTTGATCAGAATCCAATTCAGGAGTTGGTGTTTTGGGACTTCGCAGAGGATCTGCTGGATGCCTGCAGCAGCCCACAGTTTCCCTCCTTCTCTGTAGATTATAATCCATCAGCAAGTGCCATCTTAAGAGCTGCCTTCTCAGCGTCTAAAAAGCACCATGCATCCACATCTCCGCCTGGTTCTGACAGCACCACCACTTCCTCTACGGTGGGCTGCCACCACACTTCTCCAACTGTTCCTGCCATCTCCATAACTCAACCTCCTATGGTCTGTGTCACCACACCTCCACCAGTTCCAAAGAGTTCTACCACACCCTCACCTGGTCCCGACAGCACCACCACTTCCTCTCTGGTGGGCTGTATCTCATCCTCAGTGCCTGCCAGCGTCACCTCCACACCTCTGTTGACCCAAGACTCCCCACGTCGACGACGTCGCCGCAGCCGCCGTCAGAGGTCTTCTGGGGCCAAAGCAGCAACAGTTCAGGTGGCTCCTGCTCCAGCGGTGGTCCCGAGGGTCGCATCGCCTCCTGCTCCAGCGGTGGTCCCGAGGGTCGCATCGCCTCCTGCTCCAGCGGTGGTCCCGAGGGTCGCATCGCCTCCTGCTCCAGCGGTGGTCCCGAGGGTCGCATCGCCTCCTGCTCCAGCGGTGGTCCCGAGGGTCGCATCGCCTCCTGCTCCAGCGGTGGTCCAGGGGGTCGCATCGCACCTCGCCTCAGCGGTGGTCCAGGGGGACGCATCGCACCTCGCCTCAGCGGTGGTCCAGGGGGACGCATCGCACCTCGCCTCAGCGGTGGTCCAGGGGGACGCATCGCACCTCGCCTCAGCGGTGGTCCAGGGGGACGCATCGCACCTCGCGTCAGCGGTGGTCCAGAAGCAGACGTACCCGGCTCGAGCCCCGAAGCAGACGTACCCGGCTCGAGCCCCGAAGCAGACGTACCCGGCTCGAGCCCCGAAGCAGACGCTCCCACGTCCCCGGGCCCCGCGGTCGTCTCCTCTGACGACGGCCCCGCGGTCGTCTCTGGTCGGATGTCTCTTCTGTCTCCAGTTCCAGTGGTTGTTCTGAAGGTCGCACCGGTCCAGCCTGTGTCTACAGCCCAGCCTGCAGGGCTCCTCTACCGCAGGCGCCGCCCTCCAAGGGACTGTCGTCACCTCCTCATCTGCCCCAGGCGCAGGCCCCCAAGGGTCCATCCTCGTCTCCTCATCTGCCCCAGGCGCCGGGCCCCAAGGGTCCGTTGCCTCCTCATCTGCCGCAGGGGCAGGTCTCCTGACTCTGCTGATCCCTGCCGCCTCTCCTGTGGTCCCACAGTTTCTCTGGGCCCTCCCTCCGGGTCCCCCTCCTCCCGCCCTGCTCCTGGTTCCTGTGGGCGTCTGGGATCCGCCCTTTGAGGGGGGGGGGGGGGTACTGTCATGGTCTGCGTCAGCCCCCTTCCTTTATGTTCCTCCTGGTGTCCTCCATCCCTCTCTAGATTCCCTCTTGTGTCCCTTTGTTCCCCCAGCTCCCCTTGTGCTCTCTTAGCGCCCTCATGTGTCCTTGTCTGCATCCCTGTTATGTGTCTTATGTTGTAGCCCTTTGGCGCCCTCTTGTGTCCTTTTTCTGTGTCAGTTTCTATGTGTCAGTTTGTGTGTCAGTCTAGTGTCTGATGTTATCTTTTACTGTTTCCTCCCAGGTCAGCTCCAGCCTCGTTGTCCCCAGCTCAGTGTGTGCATGTACTATGTCCTCCTCCAGCTAGTTTGTGTGAGTCCTTCCCTCTGTCTTTAGGAAATTGTTTAGTTTTGTGTTAAGGTATTTGCCATCCTCTGTTTCTGTTTTCTCCATTGAGTTGATTAGTGTCACCTGCCTTCCCTCCAGCAGCTCACCCCACACACCTGCTTCCTGTTTCCCTGATTGCTCCTCCCAGTGTATTTAAGCCCTGTCTGTCTGTGTTCTTGTCGGTCCATTGTTGCTTGTCAGCGTTATTAGTCCTGTCAGTCTGCTCGTTCCTCTGGTGTTTTTTGACTCCCTGGATTCTTGGATTTTGGCTCCCTCCCTGTTCTTGGATTCTTTATTTTGGACACATCCTACAATAAAAGGATTTTCTTTATTTCAATTCCTGCCTCGTGTCATCCTGGGTTTTGCAATTTGGGTCCTACTCTCCTAAACGTGACACATATAACAAAAACGGAGTTCTAGATTATAACATGAGGCCCTCAGTAAAAATTGCTGGTAAAAGTTCTCAGTCATCCAGGTCATGGTAATCAAAAAGGGTTCAAATGAAGGCAACTGGACTTATTTGGTTTCTTGAAAACGTTTCGCTTCTCATCCGAGGAGCTTTGTCAATTCTGACTGGAATATGGGAGAGTCAAGTTTATAAGCTGTAGCTGTCTATTATTTAACGAGCAGAAACTACTCTGAATACCCCGCTTCTCCGTCAGAGCCAGATTAACACTTTGTTGTACCCTGGGCAACAATATTCAAGGGCCCCATCATCACGACCCAAGGATCACCATTGTTGTGATTTGAAGTGGTATAGTAATATACTGTAATTAGATAATTTAATCATCTGATTTTGTATATTTATACACTGTAATTAAATCAATCAGAAGTGGCTGTTTTTATCATCAGGGAGTTTACTTAAACACTTTGTATTGACTGAGAGACAAGAAAGAGAGAGTTGGGATCGTTTAAGAATCTTTAATTTCTATAATTATAAATTCTTACAATCTACCAGGACTGTCTCAATGATGAATGCATATGGATTTAGATGTTTCGTGTTGGTGTGTGTGTGTGTTTTGTTCAGAATCTCTAGGCTGACGTAGCAAATCTGGTTGTTATGACTAGGCTACCACGAGGCTTCAGAAGCTGATGACATGAGCCGCCATATTGCCGTGACCACGTACCGTAGGGAGTCTCCCGTGTAGATCAGGAATTGCCAGGTCCTCGGACCTTCATGGGTACTGGAGCTGGTTGAAACAGCGGTCGCAGCACACAACGCCCGTCTGAGGATAACTCCGGTCGTAGTTGGCAGGCGTCAGCAAGTTCACCCTTATTTTGAAGGAAAGTCGTCTCGTTGGTACAAACAACGGAAAATCTCCAGCTTGACAGATTTCAGCTCAAAGTAGGAAGTACATCTGGCCAGTCTGCACTTCCAAATGATGACGATGGAAATCCTTAGGAACTCGGATGTCCTGGAGCTGAGTTTAACACGCAACTGCTTAAAGTGGAACTGAACGTGGAACTGACTTAAAATGGCGTTGCCTTCTTTTTATATCTCCCAGTTGTTTATGAATCTTAGTAAACCGGATTGGACTACTTTCATAAACAAACCAGATTCTGCCCTACCACAGACGAAAGTTCTGATTGGTTGAAAACAATGTGTCATGCGTTTCCATGGTAATGTATATCAGTGTGTCTGGTACAGCCCTGTTTATTCATTTAAACACATAACTCATGACATCTTTATTTCACAGATCATTCACCTGATTATTAATGATCAACAAATGCTTTGATTAGCTTATCACAAATAAAGTACTTTGATTAATCAATGAAAAGCGTTCTTCTTCTGTTCTTCTCTCTCTTCTGGAATGTAAACATATTGAACCAAGCGTCCGACCTTGTCGGTGTTACGGTGTGAAGGGGCAGCTGTTAAGGGCAGACCATTATAAACTTCCTAACGCTACACCATAATATGGTCATATACAGAATATTTTACTGTAATTTGCAGTAAATATACTCAATAATTGAATGCCTGACATCACGTAACCCGCTCAGGGTAACCTTTGACCCACCTTGTGTGGACTGACCAATGAGGAGAGGGTCTTAACTTGAGGCCCTCTCTTCATTGGTCAGTCTGCATGAGACTGACTCTCAACTGACGTTCAGTCGTAGGCAGCGAAGCGTCTCTGTGCAGCGCAAAAGCCCGGGTGGACAGTTTGTTTAATGTAGGGTGACCAT